TATACCCTTACCCTGGTCCCTTCTGCACTTACCTCCCTGAGTGATACAGTGTCACCATCCACCCAACCCAGTGCGGCAGTCCTGCTGTTTGGAACCCACACTTCTTCCTCTTTCACCAGGATGGATCAGACTGGTTCTGATTGGTTAGCACAGGCACTCGTCACTGCTGACTAATCAGAACTGTTCTGAGCTGTCCTCGTGTCTCTAGGGAAAGTCGGAAAGTGAAAATAATGACATGGTTTCCAAACCCCAGAACCACCACACCGGGATGCATGGACAGCGAAACTATCACCCACAGAGGTAAGTACAGTGGGGGGTGCTCACTTTTCATTTTTCCCCTCCAAAGGTGAACTTAAAGAGGTTTTTCAGTTCTCATCCCAAACATTGAAGTGGAGGGGGAAGTGGCAGAAACGTGGACCTTCCCTTTAGGGGTGAAGTTGCGCTATAAGCTATAAATTGGACGCACACCCAACATGAATGACGTTTAGTTTGCAAAAGCGCTTTGGGGTGGATTCACTAAAGGCAAATAGACTGTGTACTTTGCAAGTGCAGTTGCACTCATTTCCCCAGAGCTTAATACCTGTGATAAAGCTCTGCTGGTTTCCATCATCCAATCATGTGGAAGCAAAAATTTTTTTTTTTTTTAAATATCCTTGCACCTGATTGGATATTCTTTGTAAAGCGAAGCATTACCACATAACATTTACTAAGGAAAATGAGTGCAGCTGCATTTGCAAAGTACTCAGTCTATTTGCCTTTAGTAAATCAACCCCAGAGTACCCTCAACAATGACCCTTGTCCCCTTCCCTCCAATAAAATACTCCGTCAGAATCGCACCACTTTTGAAAATAGTTCCTGCACCGTTTTCAGGTGTGATTTGCATTGACATCTGTGCTGAAGTCGCACAGATATCAGGCAAGCCACATATGAAATCTCACCAGGTCCACGGGTTTTAAATCTTGAAGTAGCACCATTTCAATGTGGCATTTGATGTGAACTGGGGCTAATGCCGGCCATAGACGGGTCGAAAATCAGTCGAAAAAAAAATCGGCTGATTTTTGCACCGTTAGTGGGTTAATTGGTCGGTCATTTTTTGGGGGGGTTTTGCACATTTTTTTTATCGGGCATGTTGGAAAATTTGCGGCCGATTTTCCCAGCAATGATGGGAAAATCAGCCGATCGTTTTACTGATAAAAAATCTGCGCATGAGCCGTGACCTGCAAGAAGAAGAAGAAGTCCAGTCCACTATTATATTTTATATGAAAAGTCTTGTGGTAGCAACAATGTATCTATTTGTATCCGAATAAAAACATCTGTATCTGAAATGGATACATTAGTTGCAACCACAAAACTTTTCATATAAAATATAATAGTGGATTGGAATCCTCCTCCTCCTCCTCTTCTTCTTCTCCTCTCTTCTTCCTCCTCTTCTCCTCCTCTTTTCCTTTTCTTCCTCCTCCTCCTCTTCTTCCTTTTCTTCCTCCTCCTCCTCTTCTTCCTTTTCTTCCTCTTCCTCCTCCTTTTCTTCTCCTCCTCCTCCTTCCTTTTCCTCCTCCTCTTCTTCTTCCTTTTCTTCCTCCTCCTCCTCTTCTTCCTTTTCTTCCTCCTCCTCCTCCTCCTCTCCTCCTTCCTCCTCTTCTTCCTCCTCCTCCTCCTCTTCTTTCCTCCTCTCCTCCTTTCTTACTTTTCTTCCTCCTCTCTTTTTAAAAAACGGACAATTTTCGACCAGTCTATGGCCTGCTTAACTGTATAGTTTCAGTGTAACCTGGCATTAGCCCCTTGCAATCCCCGTACAGCAGGGCTGGAGTGTGAGAGGAAGAAGCAGAATAAGGATCCCATCAGTTTCTACTCTGACAAGAAGCATGCTGATAGGAGAAAGTAGAAAGATGAGCTCTACATTGAAAATGCAACAATGTACCAGCTGGTATCACAAAGTTTTGAGACTAGCTCTGTTTACTTATCTACGTTTACACACCATCACCTTCAAAACAGTCCCCTTACACCGGGTGTCGGCAAACCGCGGCTCCGGAGACCGCATGCGGCTCGGGAGAATTACTACGGGGGATGAATTACTATAGGGTGATGAATTACTATATGGGGGATGAATTACTATGGGGATGTATTATTTTCAGTTTTAAAAAATGTTTCTCTCAAAATAAATTTCAATCGTTGGTTTTGGCGAGATTTGGCTCAGTCGAAAAAAAAGGTTTGCCCACCACTGGACCTTAAGGCTATGATTGTGATTATGACTATACACTGTGGCCCCTGATTTAACCCTTTGCTTACTGGGCCCTTAAACCCCCCATCATGACCAGAGCGTTTTTTGCAATATATGCAGTGTCGGATTTGTTTTAAATGTTGCAATGGTTTTGCGGCTCCCAGTCTTTTTTTCCACCTTCGGAAACGGGTCCAAGTGGCTCTTTATGTCGTTTAAAGGTTGCAGACCCCTGCCTTACACAGTGCTCCTGCCACAACCTGGAATGTGTCCTGGAAGTCTTCTTTATCGAAGTGCGTCTCAAGCATCTGCTATTCGCGTTGGAATCTCCACAATGTTTGTCAAAATGGCGATCTTTGAGCTGATCTTCATCTTCGGAAAGAGGGCGAGTCCCGTAAAGTCAAATCTGGAGGCGAGTGGGGTGGGTGCGCAAGTGAGATGCAACTTGCGGTTGCAACAATGTAATCTATTTGTATCCAAATAAAAACATCTGTATCCGAAATGGATACATTTGTTTGCAACCGCAAGACTTTTCATATAAAAATATAATAGTGAACGGGAATCCTCCTCTCCTCTTCATCCTCCTCACTCCTCTTTTTAAAAACTGAATGATTTTCGACCTGTCTATGGCCTCTTAACACTGTATAGTTTCAGTGTAACCTGGCATTAGCCCCTTGCAATCCCCGTAACAGCAGGCGCTGAGAGTGTGAGAGGAAGAAGCAGAACAAGATCCCATCCATTTTTCTACTCTGACAAGAAAGCATGCTGATAGGAGAAAGTAAAAGATAGCTCTACATTGAAAATGCAACAATGTACCAGCTGGTATCACAAAGTTTCGATACTATTTCTGATTATTTATCTAACGTTTACACCACTCCATCACCTTTTCAAAACAGTCCCCTTGCACAGCGTTCCTGCCACTCCTGGAATGTGTCCTGGAAGTCTTCTTTTCGACAGTGCAATCAAGCACCTGCTCTCTTCCGTGTGGATCTCCACAATGTTGTCCAAAATGGCGACCTTTGACTGGATCTTCATCTTCAGAACCGAGGGGCGAAGCCCGTAAGAGCCAAATCTGGCGAGTGGGGATGTGTGCGCAAGTGGGATCCAACATGGGCAGCAACACGGCGCATGTTGAAATCACACACAAGGATTGCCTAGACTCTTCCGTACGAAACAGCGGCAGCACATGCTGTGTTATCTCCGACGATTCATCATGCACAAGTTGCCGGATATGGTTTCGACATTTTTTCGGGGGGTTGAGCTCCTTGAAGGACTTCCTGCTCGCCACTCGATCGTCTTCCAGTGATGTTCTTCTGCTCTTGAAGTAAATTGCATGTCACTCAAAACACCTTCAGCGACTCATCTCAGTCATCTACGTAAACTTGCCGAATCACATCAAACATCTCTGTGGCAGATTTGCAAAGTTCCATGCAGAACTTCACATATGCACTTTGTTCTAACCTGCTGCTGGTCCATGCCTGAAATAGCAGACGTGGTAAACACACGTGGTCAGAAGCACCAGTTTGCACAGCTCCCCCGATGTACGCAGGAACGATGTAATTTTGGCACACTGACTTATGAAGGTTGGTGTTTCCCTGTGACTGCGTGCAGCCCTGTGCTTTGTTGTGTTAGAAAACTAGTCTCAAATCCTTTTGATATCACCTGTGTGTGCATGCATTGGAATTGTAAGTCTTCATTCACACGGGAGAGTCTTTTACAACGGCTGTTTTTTTGGCTTTTTGACACACAGCCATCCAAAAGCAGTGTGACTACATGAAGCACAAACCATAGGCCCCCTAGTAAAGCACACAATATAACCCCTTCCCTGCCCAGAGCCATTAGTACAGTGTCAGTGATTTTATTAGCACTAATCACTGTATTGGTGTCACACTGGGACGTCAGTGACACCAAGTCATTCCCCCCCCCCACTGCCATTACTGGCGTACAAATAAAAAAAAAATCCCCAGTATCTATACCGCCATTTGTAAAACGCTATATAACTTTCACGTAAACCAATTCATTTACACGATATTCTGGGTAATGCCTGCAGCAGCCATCATCGTCCCTGTAACAACCACTTGAAGACCAAGACGTACCAGGTACATGACTGATTCTGCAGGTGCCTATACAAAGAAGCTGAAGTCCTCAGCTTTTTCTAGGGATGAAATTGGAGGTAATACACTATAAATGTTACCAAATGTATCAGACCTCTCTGCCTTTCCACGCACATGAACTTTAATTGGCCCCCCAGTCTAGTCCGTAGGGTTCAATAATGAGTTGGCCCATCCTATGCAGCTATAACACTTCAACTCTTCTGGGAAGGCCGTCCACAAGGTTTAGAGGTGTCTAAGGGAAGGTTGGACCATATCTTCCAGAAGCGTATTTGTTAGGTCATGGCACTGATGTTGGATGAAAAGTGCCTGGCGTATCGTAGTCACCGCTCTAATTCATCCCAAGGTGTTCTATGGGGGTTGAGGTCAGGACTCTGTTGCAGACAGTCAAGTTCCTCCACCCCAAACTGCTCCTCTCCATGTCTTTATGGACCTTGCTTTGTGCACTGGTGCGCAGTCATGTTGTAAAACAGGAAGGGGCCATCCCCAAACTCTTCCCAAGAGTTCCCTTCACTGGAACCAAGGGGCCAAGGCCAACCCCTGAAAAAAAAAACCCCTCACAATGCAGTCAGGCAAGCACCGTTCTCCTGGCAACCGCCAAACCCAGACATGTCCATCAGATTGCCAGACAGAAAAGCATGATGGATCACTCCAGAGAACACGTCTCAATTACTCTAGAGTTCAGTGGTGGCATGCTTTACACCACAGCATCTGCCGCTTTGCATTGCACTTGGTGATGTAAGGCTTGGATGCAGCTGCCCGGCCATGGAAACCCATTCCATGAAGCTCTCTATGCACTGTTGTTGTGCTACTCTGAAGGCGACACCACGTTTGGAGGTCTTTAGCTATTGACTCTGCAGACAGTTGGCGACTTCTGCGCACTGTGCGCTTCAGCATGCGCTGACCCCGCTCTGTCATGTGACGTGGCCTACCACTTGGTGCCCGAGTTGATGTTGTTCCCAGTTGCTTCCACTTTGTTATAATCACACTAACAGTTGAGCGTGGAATATTTAGTAGCCAGGAAATGTCACGGATGGACTTATTGCACAGGTGGCAACCTATCACGGGACCACGCTTGGAGTCACTGAGCTCCTGAGAGCGAACCAATCTTGTTTGTAGAAGCCGTCTGCATGCCTAGGGGCTTGATTGTATACACCTCTGGCCATAGAGGTGATTGGAACACCTGAATCACATGATTTGGAGGGCCGGCCCAATACTTTTGGCATTATAGTGAATAATTGGTTTGCTTTTAATTCAGGTGCCCTGGCTTCCCCAGAAGGACCGATAAGGACTTGGAGTCCATAGCAAACCTGTTTTCTTTTTCCATTAAATGGAAAATACAACTTAAAACTGCACTACATGTAGCTACATATAAAAGAAAAATGAATGATGTTCTGTAATCATTCAATGTATTTTAAATGCAGTGTAAATTCCAGGTATCAGCCTGCGGGCCCTGCACAGCAGGGGATCAGGGGGTGAGAAGGAAAAGCAGCGCAAGCACCCAATCAGTTGATGTGCTAACAAGAAGCATGCTGGTAGAAGGAAAGTGTAGAGATGAGCTAATCAGTCTGCTGCTTCTTCTTCTGTCTAGTCACAAATTGGGGAGGGTCCAGGAAGACCTGGGCTCAGAGGACATGGGCTGAATGATGCTGGTCATCAACCAGAGGACATCTCTGGATTGTAGATGGTTATTGCAGCAACAGCTTGTTAGTTGTCACCAGTAGTGGGACATAATCTGGGGGTACAGGTGTAGGGACTGTCATCTTTATCTAATTTCTGGTTATCTTCTAATCCTGATTAGGATCTAGACACATACCGTCACCTACTGCCACTGAGTTGTATTACAGGGGACACTTGTGTTATTGCAGGTTTTCTTGCCCAGGTCATGTCTACTGCAGCACCTCCTACTGGCAGAACATGTGTTAGCCCCACGCCTCCAGCAAAATATCAAAGACTGTGGCAATCCATGCATGGCAATAATACAGGTCTAAGCATGGCGTGTATCCATTAGGGTGTGTAAGGTTTACCTTGCAAGCATTAATGAGAACTTGCTAACCTCAGAACTGCATGTTACTGGCAGTGACATTCCTTACCCTTTGTCATCAGACATGGGGACATCCCTCCGCTCTTTGTTTCTTCCATTGGTGGTCAGTGCAGGTGTGACCTCTCACATTTGTGGTCAGTGTAGAAGCACCCCCTTACAGAGATGGTCAGTGCAGGCGTGACCCTTAAAATTTGTGGTCAGTGCAGGGATGACCCCTTACACTGATGGTCAATACAGGTATGACCCTTAATATTGGAGGTCAGTACAGGCATGACCCTTTACACTGGTGGTAAGTACAGGTATGACCCTTAACATTGGCGGTCAGTGCAGGCATGACCCTTTACACTGGTGGTCAGTACAGGTATGACCCTTAACATTGGCGGGGTCAGTGAAAAAAGTGCCCCCATTACATCGGAAGTCAGTGAGAAGAGAGCCCCCATTACATTGCTGGTCAGTGAGAAGAGTGCCCCCATTACATTGCTGGTCAGTGAGAAGAACTTCCCCAATACATTGCTGGTCAGTGAGAAGAGCGCCCCCGTTTACAGTGGAGGTCAGTGAGAAGGGTGCCCCCATTACATTAGAGGTCAGTGAGAAGAGTGCCCCCATTACATTAGAGGTCAGTGAAAAGAGTGCCCCCCTATTACAGTGGAGGTCAGTGAGAAGAGTGCCCCCTATTACAGTGGAGGTCAGTGAAAAGAGTGCCCCATTACAGTTGAGGTCAGTAAAAAGAGTGCCCCCATTACACTGGTCGGTGAGAAGAGTGCCCTCATTACAGTGGTGGCCATTGAAAAGAGTGCCCCCATTACATTTGTGATCGTTGAGAAGAGTGCTCCCATTACATTGGTGGTCAGTGAGAAGAGTGCCCCCATTACATTGGTGGTCGGTGAGAAGAGCGCCCCCATTACATTGGTGGTCGGTGAGAAGAGCGCCCCCATTACATTGGTGGTCAGTGAGAAGAGTGCCCCCATTACATTGGTGGTCAGTGAGAAGAGTGTCCCCATTACATTGGTGGTCAGAGAGAAGAGTGCCCCCATTACATTGGTGGTCAGTGAGAAGAGTGCCCCATTACATTGGTGGTCAGTGAGAAGAGCGCTCCCATTACATTGGTGGTCAGTGAGAAGAGTGCTCCCATTACATTGGTGGTCAGTGAGAAGAGTGCTCCCATTACATTGGTGGTCAGTGAGAAGAGTGCTCCCATTACATTGGTGGTCAGTGAGAAGAGTGCCCCATTACATTGGTGGTCAGTGAGAAGAGTGTCCCCATTACATTGGTGGTCAGAGAGAAGAGTGCCCCATTACATTGGTGGTCAGTGAGAAGAGTGCTCCCATTACATTGGTGGTCAGTGAGAAGAGCACTCCCATTACATTGGTGGTCAGTGAGAAGAGTGCTCCCATTACATTGGTGGTCAGTGGTGAGAAGAGTGCTCCCATTACATTGGTGGTCAGTGAGAAGAGTGCTCCCATTACATTGGTGGTCAGTGAGAAGAGTGCTCCCATTACATTGCTGGTCAGTGAGAAGAGTGCTCCCATTACATTGGTGGTCAGTGAGAAGAGTGCTCCCATTACATTGGTGGTCAGTGAGAAGAGTGCTCCCATTACATTGCTGGTCAGTGAGAAGAGTGCTCCCATTACATTGGTGGTCAGTGAGAAGAGTGCTCCCATTACATTGGTGGTCAGTGAGAAGAGTGCCCCCATTACATTGGTGGTCAGTGAGAAGAGTGTCCCCATTACATTGGTGGTCAGAGAGAAGAGTGCCCCCATTACATTGGTGGTCAGTGAGAAGAGTGCTCCCATTACATTGGTGGTCAGTGAGAAGAGCACTCCCATTACATTGGTGGTCAGTGAGAAGAGTGCTCCCATTACATTGCTGGTCAGTGAGAAGAGTGCTCCCATTACATTGGTGGTCAGTGAGAAGAGTCTCCCATTACATTGGTGGTCAGTGAGAAGAGCGCTCCCATTACATTGGTGGTCAGTGAGAAGAGTGCTCCCATTACATTGCTGGTCAGTGAGAAGAGTGCTCCCATTACATTGGTGGTCAGTGAGAAGAGTGCTCCCATTACATTGGTGGTCAGTGAGAAGAGTGGTCCCATTGCTGTGAAGGTCAGAATGCCACCCTTATCCACAGCTAGAAAGATTGTTCATCCCATGCCGCTTGTTTGCCCCAGAACTATGTAGGCACCATCATATGATACTCCAGAATGTCACAGCTCAAGGAACCCCTAGAATCCTCTGGAGGATCCATGGAACCTTGGTTCAGTATGACTGGTCTCAGTAAAGAGAAGTACACTTCTCTCTGAAACCTAAGCTGCGTGGATGATTCCCTGTTGCATTAGAGCAGGGGCAGGCAAACTCAGCAACCCAGCTGTGGTGAACTACAAATCCCATCATGCCTCTGGGAGTCATGATTAAAGTCAATGCTTCGTTTTACCACAACTGGAGTGTCGAGGTTACCTGCCTGTGTTAGAGCATGGCCGACCATCCCCCACTATCGCCAGTGTACTACTTAGGGCATGCTATGCTATAGTTCAGACGTTAACGCCTACTGAGCCACTGATTCCACGGAGATGATTAGCAGTTCCCAACCATTTTTCAGTGGCGGAACCCTTTAAAAGTACGAAAATAGCAAGGCCCCCCAGTCTAAAATGCTAAACATGTACATTTTCCATGGGAAACCTGAGCCTTGCATGATGCAAACAATTAAAGTGCTTGTAAACCGCAGACATGAAATATGAACAAAGCATATCCTTCTATAGTGTGCACTTGTCTCAGTCCAGAGCACTAAGTGTCATTTCTGCCTGCTGCCTCCTTCCTCTGCTATCAACATAAATCACTTCTGACAAATTTTTCTGACAAGAGAAAAATGGTGACGGGGAGGACTCTCCAACTGATTGACAGCCTCAGCTCTGTTCCTGTGAGCTGTGTGGAGGGGGTTGTCTCTTTCCTCCAATCAGCTCTCAGAACTCCCCCCCCTGAGATTTGCAGAGTGTAACTTCAGTTCTCCACCCCCTTTTTTCTGTATGCTTAGACAAGCTGTATACATTCTGGACTTTGAGCGGATATAGAGAAGACCGCAAATAAACTGGTACAACTTATGTGGGAGGATTTGTTTCATCTCTGTGTATCACCAGTCATGTCACTGGGTATATGGAAGGGTTTACAACCACTTTATCTTCACAGCAGAGGACCCCTCATCAAAGACTTCCCTTAAGGTCAGAGTACCCCATTAATGTCAAAGGGCTCCCCTCACATCAAAGCCTCCCCTTCACGTTAGAGTCCCCATCACATCAAACCCTTCTCTCACACCAGAAGTCCCCCCATCACATCACAGGGTCCCATCATGTCAGAGGTCCCCACTTCACATCAGAGGGCCCCATCATTTCAGAGGTCCCCCTGTACATCAGAGGGCCCCATCATTTCAGAGGTCCCCCTGTACATCAGCAGGCCCCATCATGGCAGAGGTCTCCCCTTCCCATCAGAGGTCCTCCCTTCACATCAGAGGGTCTCATCATGTCACAGGTCTCTCCTTCACATCAGAGGGCCCCATCATGGCAGAGGTCTCTCCTTCACATCAGAGGGCCCCATCATGGCAGAGGTCCTCCCTTTACACCAGAGGGCCCCATCATGGCAGAGGTCTCCTCTTCACATCAGAGGGCCCACCATGGCAGAGGTCTCCTCTTCACATCAGAAGGCCCCTTCACACCAGAGGTCTCCTCTTCACATCAGAAGGCCCCATCATGGCAGAGGTCCCTCCTTCACATCAGAGGGCCCCATAATTTCAGAGGTCCCCCCTTTACATCAGCAGGCCCCATCATGGCAGAGGTCTCCCCTTCACATCAGCGGTCCTCCCTTCACATCAGAGGGTCCCATCATGTCAGAGGTCTCCGTTTCACATCAGAGGGTCCCATAATGTCAGAAGTCCACCCTTCACATCAGAGGGTCCCATCATATCAGAGGTCTCCCCTTCACATCAGAGGGTCCCATCATGGCAGAGGTCTCCCCTTCACATCAGAGGGTCCCATCATGGCAGAGGTCTCCCCTTCACATCAGAGGGTCCCATCATGGCAGAGGTCTCCCCTTCACATCAGAGGGTCCCATCATGGCAGAGGTCTCCCCTTCACATCAGAGGGTCCCATCATGGCAGAGGTCTCCCCTTCACATCAGAGGGCCCCACCATGTCAGAGGTCCACCCTTCACATCACAAGGTCCCAACATGGCAGCGTTCTCTCCTTCACATGTTCTCCCTCTTATCAGAGTACTCACCTGACAGAGTTCCAGCAATCTTCACATCAGAGGTCCCCACATCACATCAACCCCCCCCCCCCCCGCCCCCCGCTATATACATGAAAGTCTTCCCTTTCATCAGAGTACCTACATAGCAGAGTCTCCCCCCTTCACATCAGAGGTCCCCCATTATGTCACAGTACCCCACATCACAGTCTCCTTTTTATATGGGGGTCCCCCATCACATCATAGTCCCATCACAGAGTCCCCATAGGACATCAGAGAACCCCCCTTCATGTCAGAGGCTTCCATCACATCAAGGCCCCCCCTCCCATTAGAGTACCCCCATGGCAGAGTTCCCCCATGACATTGGAGGCCTCCATCACCGCAGGGTGCAGTGACACTGAGAAACACTGAATTAGATGATGAGGAGTAATGAGTGACAAAGCTTAGCTGTGATAGAGCGCCATCCTCTGGTGACCTGCTAGATCTCCTACCAGCTTGCTGCATCTTGAAGCCACACTTCAACTGACACACACACACACGTGTAATCCTGCTCAGCCATTCCTGTGATGCAGACACACCTGACGAACAATGTAGCCAGGTCCCTGATCTCAACCTGCTGACTGGACAATGAGGGAGCTGCTGATGCCAGCCCTGTGCTCTCTGGTCTTGTATGTATGGTCCGTGTTTAATGTTGCCTCTTTCTTGGCCAGTCTGGTGACTCCAATATAAAGACAGACACTGGGCACTTCTACTAGCTGCATGCTGAACAACATGTATAATGAATGCCTGGAGCTCTGTAATTACTGGGCTTCCGCAAACATGTTATTCTTCCTTCATCAAAAAGATGTACACTCCTAGTTTGCTGAAACACGGCTTTGTTTTAAATATTCTTTTCATTTTACAGCCACTTCCTGTCTACCTGCACCACTGCCGGATGTGCATCATTGCTTCGGGCCGGATGGGGACGACGTTGGACCTTGCCTGTCGAATGTATGCCAGCATGGCTGCCCAGGACAGGTGACAACACTGGAGGGCGATTCATGTTCACCATATCACGGGGTATACCCGAGTACAGCTACACACAGTCATGCATGTCAATGGCAGGCTGACTGCTGCAACTGAATGGGCAACTGACATTCGTCCGATTCCAAACAACTGGCATTTTTACCCTTACAAGCAACTGACATTCTTTTGCTTCCAAGCAACTGAAAATTTTTTCCCTTCCAGCAACTGACATTCTTCCATTTCCAAGCAACTGGCATTTTTATCCTTCCTAGTAACTGACATTCTTCTGCTTCCATGCAACTGACATATTTCCAGCTTCCAAGCAACTGACATTCTTTTGCTTAAAACAGCTGACATTTTTCCAGCTTCCAAGCTACTGAAATTTTCCAAGTTCCAAGCAACTAGCATTTTTCTGCTTCCAAACAACTGGCATTCTTCTGCTTCCAAGCAACTGACATTTTTCCGGTCCTGTCCAGGGGGAGGGGTACATTGTACAATGATGACATGTTCCAGTCCTTTCCAGGGGGAGGGGTACATTGTACAATGATGACATGTTCCGGTCCTTTCCAGGGGGAGGGGTACATTGTACAATGATGACGGTGTTACGGTCCTGTCCAGGGGGAGGGGTACATTGTACAATGATGGCGGTGTTCTGGTCCTGTCCAGGAGTGGTGATGGTGAATGCATGGAGTGGTGACGGTGAATGTGCGGGGTGGTGACGGTGAATGCGGGGTGGTGACGGTGAATGCTCGGGGGTGGTGACGGTGAATGCACGGGGTGGTGACGGTGAATGCACGGGGGTGGTGAACGGTGAATGCACGGGGTGGTGAAGGTGAATGATCGGGGTGGTGACGGTGAATGCACGGGGTGGTGACGGTGAATGCTCGGGGTGGTGACGGTGAATGCACGGGGTGGTGACGGTGAATGCACGGGGTGGTGACGGTGAATGCACGGGGTGGTGACGGTGAATGCACGGGGGGGTGTCGGTGAATGCACAGGGTGGTGAAGGTAAATGATCGGGATGGTGACGGTGAATTCCTCGGGGTGGTGACGGTGAATGCACGGGGTGGTGACGGTGAATGCACGGGGTGGTGACGGTGAATGCACGGGGTGGTGAAGGTGAATGATCGGGGTGGTGACGGTGAATGCACGGGGTGGTGACGGTGAATGCACGGGGTGGTGACGGTGAATGCACGGGGTGGTGAAGGTGAATGATCGGGGGTGGTGACGGTGAATGCACGGGGTGGTGACGGTGAATGCACGGGGTGGTGACGGTGAATGCATGGGGTAGTGAAGGTGAATGATCGGGGGTGGTGACGGTGAATGCACGGGGTGGTGATGGTGAATGCTCGGGGTGGTGAGGGTGAATGCTCGGGGTGGTGATCTCACAGGAAATGAAATAGAAATGTATGTCTAGATGGTATTATACACGGAGTGCGGCACACAGACACCCAGGAGAGATGTCACCATTGTGTTGGAGGGGTGGGGGGACAATGGCCAACATATGGTGGGATTGTTCAGAAATACAGGTGTTCTGGCAAGAAATGATCCAACATATACAGGAGATCTGGGAGATACCAATTCAGGAAGACTCGGGGGGTGTCCTTTCATAAGACTGAGATGTCAGTGAAGCAATATAGAATAATATACTATACCATGTGATCAGTGCGGGGAAGGGAGGGATCTCTACGTTTTGTCAGGTCCAACCCCCCCAACAATGAAGGACTGGATGGATAGAATGGACTATATTAATGGGATGGAGGAATTACACCACACAGAGGAGCGGGTGGTATGAACTGAAAACATCGGAGAAATATCTAACATGGGGGGGGGGGGGGGGGGGGTGCTGGCAGAAGGAGAATTATGGAATAAGTTCATAGATATTGGTGGATGAACAGGAAGGAGAGAGATGGGAAGATTTGATTGGACAGGAGAGGGCTTAGGGGGGATGGGAGCGGGGGGGGGGGGGGGAGATATATGTTGTGATATAAGATATACAGTGTGAAGGTTTATGGATTGTAGGAAATCACATTCAATAAAAGATAGAAATAAAAGATGACATTTCCAAGATGACTCTCAGGACAACTCAGGACGACTCCCAGGATGACTCTCAGGAAAACTGTTGGGGCGACTTTCAGGACAACTCTCAAGATAACTGTCAAGAAGAGTCTCAAGACGACTCTTAAGAGGAATCTCAGGACGACTCTTAAGACAATTCTCAAGAGTACTCGCAGAACGACTCTCAGGATGACTCTCAGGACAACTGTTAGGATGGCTTAGGAAGACTCTCACTCTCAGGACGACTCTAAAGACAACTCTCAGAGACACCTCTCAAGAGGAGTCTCAAGACAACTTCCAGGATGACTTTCAAGTCGACTCTCAGGACGGCTCCCAGGACGACTCTCAGGAAGACTCTCAGGACAACTATCAAGACTCTAGGACGACTCCAACTTTAAGACAACACTCAGGACGACTTTCAAGAACACAGTCAGGTTGACTCCCAGGACAACTCTCAAGAGGATCCTCAAGAGGACTCTCAGGACGGCTCCCAGGACAACTCTCATTAGGACTCTCAGGACAACTATCAAGACGATTCTCAGGACGACTCCTAGGACAACTTTAAGACAACACTCAGGACGACTCTCAAGACAACTCTCAGGACAACTTTCAAGAACACAGTCAGGTTAATTCCCAGACAACTCTCAAGACGATTCTCAAGGACTCTCAGGACGACTCTCAGGACGACTCTCAAGACGACTCTCAGGACGACTCTCAGGACGACTCTCTCGACTCTCAGGACGACTCTCAGGACGATTCTCAGGAACTCTCAGGACGATCTCAGACGATTCTCAGGACGACTCTCAGGATGACTCCCAGGACAACTTTCAATAAGACTCTCAGGATGACTTAAAAGACGACTCTCAGGACGACTTACAAGACGACTCTCAGGACGACTTACAAGACGACTTACAAGAACTCTCAAAACGACTCTCAAGGCGATTCTGAGACTTTACATGAGCTTAATACAATATAGGCACATGCCATGACTAGTAAACCACGTGACCCTATGGGTGACAACGCTGAGTGGTGTCAGGTCCTCCTCTCACCCCCAGGCACCTGTGACCCTCCCATCACACTGGCAGCCATCAGACACGCCCACCTACAACATGGCAGCCGCCCCCTCCACATGTCGTCATTCTGGAGCCAGCTGTGTCCTCGCGTCACTAGTTGCCGGGGCTCGCCTAGTCTGCCTACCCGGGCCAATCAGGGAGCCCGACGTCACCCGCCCGGAGAGACCCGCACAGAAGAGTGCGCAGTAAAGAAACAAGATGGGCGCCCCGCCCCTTCGGCGTGTTAGTGGGCGGGCCCGGCGGCGCGGTTTATTAATGAAGGTGGTGGGCGGCGCCTCGCAGTCCGGGGGGGTTCCTCAGGTGGCAAGGTGTTAGAGGGGACTCCCTGACAAGGCCGGCAAGATGAGCTCGGGAACGCCGTACATCGGGAGCAAAATCAGCCTGATCTCCAAGGCGCAGATCCGCTATGAGGGCATCCTGTACACCATCGACACCGAGAACTCCACTGTGGCCCTGGCCAAAGGTGCAGTCGGGGGCCCCGGGCCTGGGAGAAGGAGGGGGGTGCACTGGTTGTGGATGTGCGTCACTTGGGAGGACACCAGCCTGTGCCCGATGGTTGTGCGGGTTTCCCTGCAGAGGGCTGACGTCATTCTGGGCACGGTGCTGGTGCCCGCTAGGGGGCGGGGACGGAGCTCTGTCACCCCGGGGGAGCACTGGAGGCCATGATGGTCTTTAGTCGTTGCAGGGTAGCTGTAACCTGTGTGCAGGCACTCTGCAGATGGGGAACTACAGGTCTCAGCATGCCCAGGGGCTCTGGGTGGGGTGTATGGGTATGAGGTGGAGGGTCTCGTGGTCTCACAAGGGTTGTTCATTATACTGGTGAAGTCTAGTCTCTGCCAGGTTAGGATGGAGCTCCCTTGAGACCTGGAGATGGGATTCCCCCCTGAGAAGGTGGGTTGGAGCTCCTTTGAGAGGTTGTTTTGGAGGTCCAAACCCATCTGAGTTTTGTGGTAGAACCTCCTTGAGATCTTGGATCATGGTTCCTAATTGGTAAGGTGTTGCCCAGCAAATCTTGAGGCTGTTGAAGGTTGTAACTCCCCCTTGAAATGTTGAAATGGAGGCCTGTTGGGTTCGAGTCCCTTTGAGGATTTTGGGTTGGTGTCTGCTAAAAGATCCAGAACTCCCTTGAGATTCTGGGATGGGGCTCCTAAGTGGTAATTCTCTGCCGAGCTTCAGACGGTTGAGTATTGGAGTCCCTCTAAGATGATCCCCTAGGGATCTTGGGATGGATGCTTGTTGTTGGTGCCCCCAGGGTTTGGTGATTCAGGGCCCTCAATCTTGGGATAGAGCCCCATTGAGATTGTTGGCTAAGGCTCTTAATCGGTAATGCATTACTTGCAGATCTTGATATGCTGGATTGGAACCCCCCAAGAGATCCATAGCCCTCTGAATCTTGGAATGGAGATCCTAACTGGTAATCCTTAACCTTCTCTATCTTGAGATGGAGTCCCTTTGAGATCTTGACATGAGTCTCCTGTTAACTTGCCCTGCTGATCTTTAGGCTGTTGAGTTTGGAGCCCCCCTAAAATTTTAGAATGGAGGCTGATTGTTGGTTCCCTCAAAAGATCAAAATTCCTCTAAATCTTGGGGCACAACTGCCATGAGATCTTGGGACAAAACCCTTTATTGGTATGGTTTGCTTTTCAGATTTTGATATGTTGGGATGGAGTCCCCCAGGAGATCCAGAGCCTTTTGAATCTTGGGATGGAGATCCTAATGGTTAACTTTGCTGATCTTGATGCTGCTGAGGTTTGAAGCACTTCTGATCTTGATGCTGCTGAGGTTTGAAGCACTTCTGAGATGTTGGGAAGGAGGTCCCTTAAGATATTGAGATCGAGCCCTGTTGGGTTGGGGTCCCCCAGGAGTTCCTGAGCCCTGTGACTCTTAGGATCGAGCCTCCTTGAGATCTTTGGACAAGGCTCTTCTTTGGTAATGTATTGCTCTGCAGATCTTGGAATGTTGGGTTATAGCCCCCCCTCCCTGTAGATCCAGAGCCCTCTTAATCTTTCAACAGAGTCTCCTTGAGATCTTGGGACTGGGTTTATCATTGATATGTTGCAATGCAGATTGTGAGGCTGCTGCTGGTTGGAGCTCCCAGGAGATGTTAGGATATTAGGATGGGGGCCTGATGGGTTTTGTCACCCAAGAGAGCCAGAGCCCTATGAGTCTTGGAATGGAATCTGCTTGAGATCTCTTGACAAGGTTCTTGAGTGGCAATCTGTTGATCTGCAAATGTTGAGACATTGGGTTGGAACAGAGCCCTCTAGATATCTTGACTGGTTTTAGAATTGGAAATGTTATGCAGATCTTGAGGTTGAGGGTTAGAGCCTCCCTTTGGGATGTTCGGTTTGAGCTACCCAGAAGATCCAGAGCACTGTGACTCTTGATTTGTGTGATGGTACTTGAGGTGTTTGGTCAAGGCCCATAATGTAGAAAGGGTTGCCCTGCAGATTGATTTGTTGGGTTGTGCTCCCCTCTCTCTGGAGATCCATATGCTCCCTTGAGATCTTGGGACAGGGCTCTTAATTGGTATTGTTGCCCTGCAGATGTTTATATGCTGGGTTGGAACCCCCCCCCCCCCCAAGAGATTCAGAGCCCTCAATCTTGGGATAGAGCCCCATTGAGATTGTTGGCTGAGGCTCTTAATTGGTAATGCGTTGCCTTGCAGATCTTGATATGCTGGATTGGAACCCCCCAAGAGATCAAAAGCCCTCTGAATCTTGGGATGGAGATCCTAACTGGTAATCCTGAACCTTCTCAATTTTGAGATGGAGCCCCTTTGAGATCTTGACACGGGGGCTCCTAACTGGTAATTTTCCTTGCTGATCTTGACTGATGAGGTTTGGAGCCGCCCCCCTAAAATTTTAGAATTGAGGCTGGTTTTGTTGGAGCCCTCAAAAGAGCACTCTGAATCTTGACAGTCACCTAGAGATTTTGGGACAGTGCCTTTTTTATTGGTAATGTTCGCTTTTCAGATTTTGAGATGTTGGGTTTGAGCCCCCAAGGATATCCAGAGTGCTCTGTATCTTGGGGCAGACACCTTGAGATCTTGGTACAAGGATTCTTTTTGGTTAGTTCCTTTGGAATGTTGGGTTGGAGCCCCCATGAGATCTTGAGCTCTCTGAATCCTGGGGTGGAACAAGGCCTATCTTAATGGGTAATGTTGCCTTGAGATGTTAGGTTGGAGCCCCCTGAGATGTTGGGTTTGAGGCCTGTTAGGCTCAAGCTCCCCAGGAGATCCAGAGACCTCTGAATGTTGTGACAAAGCCCCCTTGATATCTTGGGACAGAGGACAGATAATTGAAAATGTGTTGCACTGTGGATCTTCACTTTAGCCCTACTCTAGTATGAATATAACCCACCCCTCCATCTGATTTGTGGGTTGGCGAATATATAAAATAACTTTTAATCCCCATTTTCAGTTTACTTGAACTTGTGGTCACGTGATCATTCATCACCAGGTTCTTCTGATTCCCTTCATGGAAGGGTTCTTCAGCGCATCTACATTGTGATGCAGACATATGATCCATGATTTGGACAATTCTCCTTGGCTGACCGGCGGAGGTGTTATCTTAGGTTCTGAAAGAGATGCTGTTGAAGCCATGGGCATGAAGAGGACCGGCCAGTAAGGTTTACAAGTGGCGCAGGATTAGAATCTACATTGGCAAGCGACCTGGATTGGGGGGCGGGGGTGGCTCTATAACGGATTTCACCAAGTAGGGAAAACTTAACTCAGGATAGTTTAGAGGGGGGAGGGATGGGCAAAAATTAACTTTTTGGTGATGCTGGGCTTTAAATAGAATTTATATGCAATGTAATATCAGACTGCAAAACCTGCTTGAGGCACATAAAATAAAGGTCAGAAGATCAACTACACCTGTCAATGAATTTCTAATTTTTTTTAGAAGTGATTTAAAACTGATGCCATTGATTCAAGCTCGAGGCCTGACATGGGTCCTTAATTGGGGTGGTTTGTGGTGCCTGAAGGTAGGAAACCTAGTACTCTGGTAGAAGGTATGAAGCCTTAACTTTCCCTCACCTTTCTGGCTGGGTTAATCGGCTAAATTCGTTGTACCTTTAGCGACTGATGCTAATATGCCGCTTTATAACCTGATTTTTCACAAGCCCCGAAGGTCAATGACCACCTAGATTGGTGCTGCAGATGAGATTTGCAGATGCGGGCCCTAACCGTGCAGTTACGAGGAGCTTCTTGGGGTGTACTAAACTGTTTGGGATGCAGGCCTGGTCATTGTGTGGCACAGTAGTCTGACTTGTTAGACTGCTCTGGAAGCTGGTCAGTTGGGTCTAGGTAGGATGCCCTTGTGATAAAAGCCATAAACATCCAGGCAATTCCTTGCAAGAGGGGTTTGATAGACCAATTTGGGGCCCATATAGCTGCATCTAGGCTCTAGGGCATGAATATCCTGGCTATTTTATGTTTCCTATAGGCATGGTTGGCTGCCAGTGTGCACATTGCTATCCTCATAGCAACCAATGAGGAGCATTTCACTGATCTGGGTGCGCAGTCAACATCAGATTACCGTCTAATACTGCACAGCATTGCCTCTTGGTGGACCTGGTGTGTAGGTGTCTAAAAGCAGGGTAGCTTATAGCACCCACTCTGTTGCCCTTGGCTACAACTGACACATTTATATACCCTGACCCTTGAGGACCAGTATACGTCAGTTCTTTCCTGAAGATTTTTTTTGTCTTTACAGTACGATCCTTTGGGACCGAAGACCGTCCAACTGATCGTCCAGCGCCCCCTCGTGAAGAGGTGTATGAATATATCATCTTCAGGGGTAGTGACATCAAAGATATTACAGTGTGTGAGCCCCCTAAGGCCCAGCATGCCTTGCCCCAGGATCCAGCCATTGTCCAGGTATGTAGCAGCTACTCAATGGTCCTACATTGGATGGTTTCCTAAACTGCGTGCCAAGATTTGTGCAGCTACCAGAATTGGTGACCCTCTACTTTATACTTGGCTGTTCTTCCCTTCCTTGTGCCAGAGCATGTCCATATTCCTCAAGCAAGCTCTGACTTCTGAATGCTGTAGCCTGCCCAAGACTTGGCAAGCTGCTCCTTTCTCCTCATGTGATAGTGCATAGATCTGGTCATTTGGCGCTTAATTATTGGGAAGAAGGGGGAGCGACCTATCATATTAAAGCTCCACTCTAGGATCAGAATTGGTGTAGTCAGCACGATCAGTGTCCCCACCGCTGGACTATAGAACACCTTGCTGCTGAGATAGGACATGTCCTGTATTTTGGAGATGTGTTACCATAGCCCAGTCAAGGACTAGGCAAGGCTGACAACAGTGCTTGGGATTTTAGTGAAACAGAGGCACTGTTGTCAGCTCACTATAGGAAGCATATAGGGCATACAATACTGACTTTTGGGCTCCAAACTGCTCCATAGTAATGTTAGATACCATTTCTGTGCTGATGAGACACAAATCTATCTCCTCCTCAGCTCACCCCATTAGTTTCCATACGTATCACCGATTTACTAACAGACATATCAGACTGGATGTCACAGCACTTCCTAAAACTCAATCTATCCAAAACTGAGCTCATATTCCCCCCCCCCCCCCCCCCCCCACATGCCTCTTCCCCTGATTTCTCAGTCAGGATCAATAGCACCACTATCAACCCATCCCTGCATGCCAGTGTGCTAGGGGTAACCCTGGATTCTGAACTATCCTTTCAGGCCCACATCCAATCCCTGTCCAAATATGATGCCTCAACCGCCAACATCTCCAGAATACGTCCCGTTTTAACCAATGATACCACAAAGCTCCTAATTCACTCAGTTATCTCTCACTGAGACTACTGCAACTCCCTCCTCATTGGCTTACCTTTACATAGACTATCCCCCCTCTAGTCCATCATGAATACTACTGCCAGACTCATCCACCTTACCAACCATTCAGCCATTCAGTGTCTGCTACCTCTCTTCCAATCCCTCCACCGACCTCAGCTCACTGTCCTCCACCCCTCTCTTCCAATCCCTCCACTGACCTCCGCTCAGTGTCCTCCACCCCCTCTCTTCCAATCCCTCCACTGACCTCCGCTCAGTGTCCTCCACCCCTCTCTTCCAATCCCTTCACTGACCTTCGCTCAGTGTCCTCCACTCCTCTCTTCCAATCCCTTTACTGACCTCCGCTCAGTGTTTTCCACCCCTCTTCCAATCCCTTTACTGACCTCCGCTCAGTGTCCTCCACCTCTCTTCCAATCCCTCCACTGACCTCCGCTCAGTGTCCTCCACCCCTCTTCCAATCCCTCTACTGGCTTCCATTCGCCCAATGAATAAAATTCAAAATACTAACCACAACTTACAAAGCCATCCACAACTCTGCCCCCAGCTACATCACCAGCCTGGTCTCAAAATATCAACCAAACTGCTCTCGTCAATCTTCCCAAGACCTTCTGCTCTAGTTCCCATGTCCCATGCTCGCCTCCAGGACTTCTCCCGAGCTTCTCCTGTTCTATGGAACTCCCTACCCCAATCTGTCCAGCTGTCTCCTAATCTCCACCTTTAGACGATCCCTAAACGCCTTTCTCTTTAAAGAAGCCTATCCTGCTTCTATCTAGTAAACTGCCATTTATTTCCTCCATCAGCTCATCCCCCCACAGCTAATACCTTTTTGTATCACTCAACCCTTCCTCCTAGATTGTAAGCTCTGATGAGCCAGGCCCTCTGTCTCCTCTTGTACCAAATTGTATTGTAACTGTAATGTCTACCTTCATTTTGTAAAGCACTGCGCAAACTGTTGGCATTCTATAAATCCTGCATAACATGGGTGGCTGATGGGTTAACCTGCCAACTTCTTTCCTAGCTGTGTACGTTATAAAATCTAGAACTGGAGCGAGCAGCCCCTTAATCCTCTGATGCCAGATATAGTCCCTATTTATGTAACTTGTCCTCAAATTCCCGACAGTAACAAGATAATTATAGGCTTCAGCAGCGAGACAGATAAAGCTCCGTAACAAAGCGAAGGTGGGACGTCATTGTCACCTGCAGGAAACAATAGATCTCAGCCTTGTGAGATCTGTGGGGCTCGAGGTTTCCAAGCCATGAAGACTGCCACAGTCAGGTGGTTGGGTTAGGTTCTGGGGTGTATTTGGAGGATCCGAGGCGGCTTAGGATTGTAAAATAACAAGGGCAGCCATCTTCTCCCATTGGAGAGTTATATGTTGCCCTGCATAGGAGAGGAGATCATTAGGGGGACAATGTCCTGTTGAGAAATTTGTTCTTATTGGTGCAGTTGTCACCTTTTTGTATCCTGTACAGGGGCGGACCGACATTTGGAAACTCTGGCATTGCCAGAGGGTCAGTAGGGGCCCCATGAGATGCCCCTGGTACTTTTTTTCATAGGCTTTTTTGAGTTTAGGCAAGGACACTGGCCCCATGAGTTGTCAGTCCGCCCCTGATCATGTACCCTTTCCATGGCTTGTGGTGAGAAGCCACCAGTGGGGTTTCGGCGCTATACTGAGTAGGTGGACAGATGTTTTACCGTTTATCATCCCATACCCGGCAGCATTTTGGCATTGGAGTTCTGCAGTCCTTGGCTCAGTGAGCTGCTCCTTCTGCATGCCATCATATGCTTTCCCGTGATTTTCTGTCACTCTGCTGCTTTGGCTGCTGGGCAATGGACTTGGATAGGGAGATAAGACTGAAAGCCCACCTAAAGCAGGGGCTGATGGCAGAGCTTCTTTGCTCACTGCTCATCTTTTTAAAGAGACCCTGTTACCAGACCATTCAACAGGCTTCCCATTAGTTTGTAGTTATTTTGATTTATATCTATAAAGGTGTCCTTGTGGTGACCACCAAAAGCCACCTTAGAGTCCATCTTGAATGTGGTGACAGAAGCCCCAGCAGGCCCAGCAATGACCATATTCTCCCTTCACTCTTCCCAGCAGCTACAGGATATGTAGGGAGGTGAAGGAGCTGGGCCAGCACAAGCAGTAATTGCACTTTTAGAAGAAGGCTCCTTCCATGGCTTATCTGGTGAGAACCACCAATGGGGTTTCAGTTCTATGCGAATGAGTAGGTGGACGGATGTTTTGCCATTCATCATTGTGACGGGAGTGACTTTTGGGGGTGGGGGGACCGCTTGGTCAGCTCATGTCCCCCTCATTATGTTTAACCCACCCTGTGCCTGTTAAGGGGTACAGGGTGTGTATGTGAATGTCTGAGTCTTGTGTGTAGTGGGTGTTCCTTTGTCTAGGCCACATGGCTGTCCATTGTCTGTTTGCCATGTGCTACCCCCCATTGTGCTGTGTCTTCCTGTCCAGCCAACTATTATGGGATGTACTGTTTGTGTATTGGTGTGGGGGTTGGGTCAATGTCCTTTGCCGCATGGCTGCATCCCATTGTTCTGTGTCTGGTTGGATGGGGAGGGGTGATGAGGTGTTTCCTGCCTATACTGTAGCCCTTCCCACTGATAGGGTGGGCTGATGATGATGTGTTTCCTGTTCCTGGTTGTCTTTCCCCGCCCTCTGTATAAAACATGTTTTGTGTACAATAAAAGTAGTGGGCTTTCTGTATTATGAAGAGCTGGGTATTGTCTTTTTCCTGAGGGATTTCAAGGGTGTGGTCCGTGGATGGTGTTCGTACAGGGGAAGCTGCAGTATAACGGAATATACCCAAGTGCGGTCGGGTACCGGTTCCGTTACAATCATCTTGCATCTGACTAGCATTTTTCCTTGCAGTTCTGGAGTCCTTGGCTCAGTGAGCAGCTTTCTGCATGCCATAGTACGCTTTCCCCATGATTTTCTGTCCTTCTGCTGAGGAAATGACTTCAATAGGTAGATTGGACTGAGCCCACGTAGAGCGGAGTGCTGATGGTAGTTTCTTTGCTCACTGGTCATATCTTTTTTTAAAGGGATCCTGTCACTAGACCATTCATTGCAACATTCTTCCCATTAGTTTGTAGTTATTTTGATGCATTTGTATCTAGAAAGGCGTCCTTGTGACAGCCATATGCCTTCTTGGCATTATTATTTCAGGTACTTACATAGCGCTGTCAATGTACTCAGCGCTGTACATATATATTGTACATTCACATCAGTCTCTAACCCTCAAGGGGCGTACAATCTAAGGTCCCTAACCCTCAAGGGGCGTACAATCTAAGATCCCTAACCCTCAAGGGGCGTACAATCTAAGATCCCTAACCCTCAAGGGGCGTACAATCTAAGGTCCCTAACCCTCAAGGGGCGTACAATCTAAGGTCCCTAACTTCACATTCATACATACACATACTAGGGACAATTTAGACAGGAGCCAATTAACCTACCAGCATGTCTTTGGAATGTGGGAGGAAACCCACACAGGCACAAGGAAAACGTGCAAACTCCAGGCAGGAGGTGCCGTGGTTGGCATTTAAAATTGATTCTCATGATCTCATGATAGGTGTTTTTCTTGCTGCAGTAATGTGTGTTGCTCGGATTTTAATAGTCTTCCTCGCCCTTTTTTTTTGTAGTCGTCATTGAGCTCGGCTTCAACATCGTCCTACCAGTCATCCGTGCCTTACAGTCCGTTCCGTGGTATGCCATCGTATGGCCAGCTTGCCGCTTCCTCTCTCCTTAGCCAGCAGTATGCCGCATCCTTGGGCCTTGGTAAGTGCTTGTATTAGTAATTGCTGGGAGTCATTCATCTCAACTTATCTAGTCATGTTGGCCTGCAGGAGAAAAAAAAATCATTTTAGCATATTTTGATTTGTGGTCCTAAAGTTCCATGAAGGGGACATGTTTATGAAGGTGCAGCTATCCTGGTATTGGAGTCCCTGACCTTGAAAACGTGTATAAAGTGTTCTGTCGAGTCCACATCTGTCTGCTTGTTTTGGGTCAGCTACAAAATGATGGCAGTGAAAGCTGGAAATGCTGGATTGGAATGTCTTCAATCCTTCTGTGCCCGGGGATCATGGACACCTGAATGCCCAGGTCAAGTTTAGAAATTCTTCAGTTGTCACTACCCATATCAGATTTATAGTCAACAGCCAAAAATGTTAATTAGATTTATAAGCTATATAAACACAAATGCAAAATCTTGTATGTTACCAGGCCTTAGATGCGGTGGCTACATTGTATAGTGCAAGTATGTTCTCCAAATAAAAGAAAAATGTTGGCCTTCCCAGCTATCTTTCATGAACAACAAAACAGCCCCCTATACCATAGAGGCAGAGGCGGACTGACCATTTGGAAACTCGGGCGCTGCCCGAGGGCCCGGGGTCAGTAGGGGGCCCCTTGAGATGCCCCTGGTACCTTTTTCATAGGCTTTTTTGAGTTTGGGCAAGGACACAGGGGCCCCATGATCCCCTATTGCCTGGGGGCCTCACGAGTTGTCAGTCTGCCCCTGCATAGAGGAGAGCAGGAGGTGTTCCTAGCATCCTGTACCACAGGGGTCTCCAAACTATGGCCCTTCAGGTGTTGAAGAACTGCAAGTCCCATGAGGCCTTGCAAGACTGACAGCCACAGGCAAAACTTGCAGAGGCATGATGGGACTTGTAGTACTTCAACAGCTGGAGGGCCATAGTTTGGAGACGCCTGCTGTACCAGGATAGCAACGCTGCTCCTCCATACAGTGAGTGAGCATAGTCGTCCTAGGACAGGACATGTTCCAGGTAGAATCGGGTGTGCTTGATCCTGTAATCTCAGCAATTTGGTTTTCAGGCATGATGGCTGCATTTTCTGATGTGAGTATTCGGCTTATATGTCTATGTGAAGTCCGTTGCGATGTTTTTAAAAAGGTTGAAATGGACGGGTTCTGACAGTCTGTTGCAGTACCTAAAGAATCTTTGCATCTGACACTTTGCGGAGTAGCTGGTGCCCATCTGAGCACTGTGGGTCCCGTGCCTCCTGTGTCCCTGAAAGTGCCAGCAGATGGAGCCAAAGTGTACAACGGGGAGCTAGGATTCTGACACTCCTGGAAGTGTCAGATGCTAAAGAATAATTAGCTGCTGTACTTCCAGAGTGAAGACTGGTCACTTCAGGTATTTTTAAAGTGTAAAAAGCAACAAGGGAAATGACTAATGTAAGATGACTTTTACTTTTGATCTAGCAGTAATCATGAATTGAGTGTTTTTAGCTCTTTTTTTGCTTATGTAAAGACACAGGAAGCACAGGTGAGAGCAGAATCTTAAAGCTGCCCTTAGTACAGTTTCCGAAAAATTTCAGCGTGCAAAACCATACCCCCCCAAAAAAAAAATAGAAGAAACCCTGTATTGACACACAGCCACCATCTCCTGTGCTTAGGGGCTTCGATCAGAGGAAGATGGTTCAATAAAGTGTGTACATCCAAATCTGATCAAAGGTGGTGCAGCTCTATCACGAAGCTGGGGAAGCTTGATATAGACCATAGTAGAGAGTAAAAGAAAAGAGCGAACCGACCTTGTGCATTACCTCAGTAAACAGTTAATGAATTTATCCTGTTAGGAAATGACTCACAGGAGTAGCCGTAAAAAAGGCAGTTTTTATAATATCCATAGCCAACACTTTATATAGGGTTAACAGTCATGTGCAGGTTTCCAGGTTCCCAGAAGGGAGTGAAACTCTTGGTCAAGCTAACGCGTTTAGAAGGGTGATCCCTTCATCAGAGCTGGATTTTAGATTGGACTCGACCAGGGGCGGACTGACCATTTGGAAACTCGGGCACTCATTCAGAAACTCGGGTCAGTAAGGGGCCCCATGAGATGCCCCTGGTACCTTTTTCATAGGCTTTTTTGAGTTTGGGCAAGTACACAGGGGCCCCATGATCCCCTAATGCCCGGGGGCCCCATGAGTTGTCAGTCCGCCCCTGGACTTGACCATTAGGATTCAGTTCACATTGATAGGAGGTATTCAGCCACTAAGTCAGTATTACTGTCAGTTTTACTGACATGCCTCCTATCAATGTCAACTGAACCCTAATAGTCGAGTCCGATCTAAAATCCAGCTCTGATGAAGAAGGGATCACCCTCCTAAACGCGTTAGCTTGACCAAGAGTTTCTCTTCCGGATGCAACTCTCATGTGACTGTTAACCCTGTGTTGGCTATGGATATTATATGCCTTTTTTTACTGCTACTCCTGTGAGTATAATTTATTAATAAATTCATTAACTGTTTACTGAGGTAATGTGCAAGGTTGGTACGCTCTTTTTTTTTTTTTTTTTTTTTTTTTTTTTTTTTTACTGTACTACACACCCTGTATTGTTGGACTGAACGGTCCTGGCTCCGGGAAGAGGATCAATTTATGCTGGTTAGTACAAGCATCCTGACTTCAAAGCTGCTAACTGGGGGAAACACTTCTTGTACCCCAGCCAGTCTACTTCTGCTAAGAAGCCTGCTTGGCTTTTCTCAGCATTGCAGCTCTTTAATAGAGAAGTATGTTGTTTTTTTTTTTTTTTTTTTTTTTTTTTCTTTTCAATCATACTTACCTAGGTGGATGCAGCATCGATCCTATACTGCATCTGTTCCCTGCCGGCTCTAAGGGTGAGAACTCTGATCAGACATCAATGATCGTTCAGTTCTCACTGCCGCTCTGAGCAGAGAGAAGTGACTCGGTCTCCGGCTCTCTGCTCTGTCCCTCCAGTTCTCACTGGAGCACTGGGCTGTGGAAGGGGAGGGAGCAGCTGGATCAGACTCTCTGCAGCTCGCTGCCAGTCTAGGTTCCTTGTTGGATCCTGACCATATGGTTGCGATCTTTCCCCAGCCTGAACAGATGGAGTGACAGTCAGCAGTGGACTTCAGCCTGCTGTTGGCTGAAAACCAGTCACAGGAGTGGAGATCCTTCTGTGATCCACAGAAGTACAGCCAGACCAGCTACGGCTGTACATCCCCTTTGAATCCAACCTCCGTTCTTTCACACTAGTCTGTCGTACTGGTACATTAACAGCTGTCATAGTATATAGGTGTCTGAGCCCACAAGCTGTAGATGAAGCATAAATATGTGCATTCTTCACTTACAGAACATGGTGTGGTCAGCTTTAACATTCAAAGCTTTGTAGGGAACCTAATTTAGATGAATGAATACGTAAAATTGTATCTGCAGCACGTGTACTGAATGCTGAGTCAGAGATCAGTTGGAGGGGTTTCCAAATACCAGCTATCGTTTTTCCTGTGTAAGCTTGAGCATGAAATGGACAATTCTGGATGTCCACCTCCCTCATATGATTTTGAAACTTGAAGCCCATTCTGTGTTAATGACTTGTTGATTAATGTTTTGCCCTGTCCATGCAGAGAAGCTGGTAAGTCCTTCGGCCTCAGCCGCGGAATCCAGCTCCTCATCTTCCCCATCTCCGCAGCCTGCCCTGCCGGATCCCGACATACTGGCGGAGCCACCGCACCTCGCCGCAAAGGGTAACATGGCCGATGTGTCATTTGTAACGCTCTGCATGCTTTTGTGATCTTCTCTTTAGGCCTTGCATGCATAGACTAGTTGAATGTTTAATGTTGTCCAGTCATACTTTGACAGTTTGCAGATTCTGATCAATTGGGAAACAAGTGAAGTTGTGCCATACTGGACTAATCTTGTCTTTATGTAGTTTTCCTGGTCTCTGCGCTTCTAGAATCTTTACTATTTTCCACAATTTTAGTCCGTAGCCTTCTGTTGCAGAAATGCTCCCACCTAAGCCACTTTATACTGTTCTGTCCTCTGAGCCATCGCCAAAATACCCAGTGTCAGTCATTTAGGGAAGTGGTCAAGTCACTCCTCCATGTGGTGGTGCTTGGGGTTAGCAAATGGGCTTCTCCGTACTTGGGAGCACCGGGTGTTTTGCAATGGTGGCCATTGGAGTGTCATGGAAGGGCTGGAGAGATGACTAGCTCAGGAGGTGGACTATACACACTTCTGCCCTAAATGTCATGGTCAGCTGGCCTAAATGGGAGTCTCAAGAAGGCTATAGATGTTAAAACGTAAGTTTAGTCAACCTACCCTGATTCAATTCTAAGTCTGTTTAACCCATGCTGTGTGCAATTACATATACGTCTTCTATTCTCATCTTCTGCACATTAGAAGTGTGGTAGTGTAGTCGCTTGCTTAATGTAGGGTTTCATTACCCACCTCTAGCTTAGACTGTCCACGCAAATATTTACAACGCTGGTTGACTGGATTAGAGCCAGACATTTTGTATTATGCAGTTGTTTCCAAAAGTAGAGCACATTTGGGTAGATGAACTAATTTCAAAGAGGGGTTACATATGAAGCCATTAGGGCTAAGTGGAAAGTGGGGCTAGTATGCCCAGCCAAAACTTTGGTTTTGGATAGTGGGTGAAGGATTAGAAAACCAATCAGGTTTCCACTATTACCCTAGGCTTCACCCACTATTTCCCTGAACTTTCTTAGAACTATTTCATAGGAAGTCACGGAAAATCTCCCAACCAGAAGCTGATTTTTTTGGTAGTGGGGAAGGCTGCAACCGCATTCGGCTTTTTGCATGCTCCCAGTTTCAGATTTTCTCTTGCATGCTATCCGTGAGGTGAAACCGCCAACCCCTTCCCCAGTCTGTGTGAAAAAAGGAAAACTACAGTTGGAGTCCAGGATGGATAACACTGGTTTCAACATTCTCTTGGAGCTTGTCACAACAGAATTGTTTAATAAAATCTTCAAAAGATTTTATTGAGTTTTTCCAACAATGCTGTCTGATTCCTATAGTGTTAGTAATTGAATTCTAATGTCTGAAACCCACTGTACTGGGTTGGCCCAATATAGCATTTTCATTCTTTCATATGTCATTTTTTCACATTTGCTGTTCAATAAACCAAGTTACGATTTGTCAATGTGATTCTTCAAGGCTAGTGAACTTTGATTGTATCATTATTGCCTAAATGATAAATTCCTACCACAAATTCAGTAGAATCAATGGCTTAATGGCCTGGTGACTCCATAAATTTGGGTTTCCAACCTACGGAATACCCACCCTACCACAGGCCTTTATTCTGAGATTCCAACCTACGGAATACCCACCCTACCACAGGCCTTTATTCTGAGATTCCAACCTATGTAATAACCACCCTACCACAGGCCTTTATTCTGAGATTCCAACCTATGGAATACCCACCCTACCACAGGCCTTTATTCTGAGATTCCAACCTATGGAATACCCACCCTACCACAGGCCTTTATTCTGAGATTCCAACCTATGGAATACCCACCCTACCACAGGCCTTTATTCTGAGATTCCAACCTACGGAATACCCACCCTACCACAGGCCTTTATTCTGAGATTCCAACCTACAGAATACCCACCCTTCCAGACCTTTCTTTATTCTGATGCAGAGTGGGTTCAAAGCTCTTGAATAGTTGATCTTTACAGAGTTTCAAATGATTTGAAATTTCATTTTAGGATCAGCAATGGGTGAAGTCATTTCATGTTCTTCAGTCCTTCAGGGACAGAAAGTTCTCTCTATAGTTTATAGCTCTGTTCTGTCACCATGTTTTCGGGGGTTCCCGTTCTTGCTCTGTCCAGAATATAAATTGAACAGGGAAAGTTGATACCCCAGAGATGCCATAGCAGATCAGGGTACGATCAGATCATGATTGGCAAGATAGGTTCACCCTCCTGTGATATACTACTTCTGATATGGAGGAGCGCTTTACAAAACCCTCTGCCTTACTGCAGTGCAGAAGTAACTTGCACTAAATTTTATAGTTTGATCTACAAAAGCTTTTGTTGGACTGGATCTGTGGAAAATCCAAATAAATTTGACTAAATCTTGCTTTGTGCCTAACAATTTGTTTATTGAAACCTCTATGGTTGTGGATGGCCAACTTTGACTAGCTCCTTAGATCACAACCTGCCTACAGGTTCACCTATCAAGTTTCTACTAAAAATCTGTAAATCTGTGGATGCTGAACCTTTAAAATGATTAGCTATAAAAGTAGTTTTAGCTGTAGCGATGTCATTGTGATGTCTGGTGGAACAATAGTCGTCATTGCAATGTTCTGTATTCATCTCGCTTGCTTGTGTAGATAAATGTTAGATGTTGAAGTCTGTACAAAGCATAACGCTAACCTCTGATTGTAGCTTATAAGGCTGGTCTTGTTGATGGAACAGTGCCACCTGACATACTAGATTCTTAGTGTATCTAAAGCCAAATTGTTGATTTTAGGTAGTGAAGGTTTGTCAACCTTGACCGGTTTTATTGAAGTCTGTGTGCACACTGTGGACATCCACAGTCTGTTTGCCCTGCTATCCAATGTCTCCAAGACTAAGCGAGGGAAAATCCAAATTTTAAGTTTACAGAACAGAAAATTGGGAACTCTTACAATGTGGACACTTAAACGTGGCAACGAAGACCTTTTCCCTCCCTTTGGAGTGTTTTATTTTTTTTTTTCCCTGTTGTACCTTTGGAGCAGAAGTGAAGCGAGAACTCCCCAATAGGGCACGGCTTTAAAGCACAGTGGGCTTTTAACACTTCCCTAGCTATCCAAAACTACAAATCCTGGCTTTAAATACTCTAGGCTTGTATGGGCTTGCTAATGAGATTGTCCTGGGACCATCAACTTCTTTGAGGGACGCTTATCGGGGGAATTTTCTGACTAGTCAAATTCCCCAAGGCTGTAAGTCGCCTAATCGTCTGTATTCAGCACATATCCCTTACGTAGCTTATGTCCTTTAAAAGGACAGCAAAACAATTGGCCTTCAAAGGTTACCCACCTGAGTGTAGTCAATCAAGTCCAACATGGCCACTCTGCTTGGAACGACACAAACTTTCAACAGACCATCTCCACCCCACCAGGTGCTCTTCTGCACATGAGCACCATGGACCGGCTCATTCCTATGGGGAGAACTGTGCTCTGAAGGCCGCCAAGAGTTTAGATCCCGATAGGATTGAATGTTGCTACAATGCACATGGGCAGAAACAGGACCTGACGGATGATTTCTGTAGTGTTATATGGCTGCAACCAGTGAAGATTCTGGAGGCCAAGGTGTTGGATTGAATGGGCTGTACTTGGGGGTGAGGCAGTCTTTAAAGGACAATTGTTGCAGAAGTACTTTTGTCCTTCAAGATGGCTTGGCTGTATGAAGTGTAGATAACAAATAGAAGCCAGCTAGATTTCATTGGATTCTTCTGCAGGTTGGGAACAGATTTTGGTAGTCTAACTTAGAGCAGCTGTTCTAATGGCAATGCAGCATATGTTGTAGCTACATGTGCAAAGTAGGTTTCACCAAGTTGGACTAACCAACTTATTTCCATCTAATATTTTGTCTACATTAATCGTTCACGTGTTTTATGATATGAAAGCAAGAATTTGTGACTATCATGAAGTGTCAGTCTGTGGGGAGAAACCTTGCTGTAAATGGCAGTTGCCTCAACATGTGCACAGCCTCAGAAGCACATATAATAGAAAGCATATGCTGCTTTGACTTCTATGATAAAGATTTTGCCTTTGCATAGGAAGGAATTGATTGTCACCAGGTGCTCTTGAAATGCTCTCCTACCCCTCAAACCTACATGGTGAATGGGGCCACCTGTCACTGTGAGGTGCCTGTTATTTACATTATAGCAGGTCTAAACCCATCCACAAAATCTCATAACCTTTAACAAATTTAGAGTTTTTTTTTAAATAAACTTATCTGGCATGGTGGTCCTTGTTCAGGCACTTCCAGGAGCTTGTGTTGTCACCCTCACATGTCTCTGGAGACTACCACTTGCTGGGCTAACATTGCCCAGTCATGGTCCACCTTTGCCACCATTAGAAATCCAATGATATGCAGACAGCATTGGAGGGGAGAAAGTAAAAACTGCATTTAATAGACCGGGTGGTTATCCATTGTCACCTAGTTGGGGTTTGGATCTGTATCTAAAACCAAATCACTGAGTTTTATTCCCTGTTCTATTGGGGAAATGACTCCATGTACCAAAGGCACAGGTGTCCCCATTGGAGATTTTTCACTTTATCCTACCAGAAGTTTCCCATCTCTTCTGTTCCATTGACAGTGGACACGGTAAACCTCCTCAGTGTGGGTTTAGACTGCAACAAAAACCTGTCAACCCTTCCACATGCTATCAAAAACCGATTTGGCTTTAGATGTAAGTGGCACATTATACATTATATACTATGTTTGTTTATGCATTGATTTAATTTAAAGTAGACCCATTGATGGCACAACAGCTTTTATAACCTGAGCACACTGCAGATAACTGTGGCCTGAACTGCATGCTGTAGATGGATCTAATCTACCTACACTGCAAATTTTTGTTCAAATGCAGAAAAGGTAATGCAACTTGAGTAATTGTATTCGTTCTATTTACGGCAGTATGCCCTGCAGAGGTTTCCAGTATGGACCACGGCCTAATTGCAGTTTATTGTAATGGCTCTGGCTGTTGCCCTTGGAGAGCCAAGTGAGAGATGCCCATTACCCCTTCCTCCTGCCCTTACTGGGGGGCACATGAAGTGTTTCCTCATAAACCTCCACTACACTCCAACTCTGGGCCCCAGTATTTGAAAGGTTTATAGTTCTCGGTATGTTTACCTCTCCTGCGTAATTTCATGGTGTACTTCAAAAGGCTTAGACTCCTTTTGGCATTGCTGGGTATTTCTAGCTCACTGCCAGTATCCATTCTGCTGGTATGACCAGCGCAAGTGTCGTTTCCTTGCCCACTTACAATTGGCCATCCTCAAAATATAGCTTCTGACTAAGCTTTGGTAAATGACTAAACGTGGTGGAGACATGCCATCAGAAATGGTGTCCGACATGCAGGCTGTGAAAATTGGGCCCAGAGTTGAACTTGACTATGGAGGCAACTCGACTAGTTGACTATTGGGGCACTTCAAAGAGCCTCTAGTGTAATCAGGAGCAGGCTATGGTTTTAACATGATCTTTTGGCCACTGAATATAGCACCTTTCCTGCTGTATAGCAGATATAGTGACAGTAGTAAGGCTGTGCCCCCCTCATAATAGATTTTAGATTGTTTCCTGGTCCAGAGTGTCAACTTGCCATGTGGTCATACATCTTTAAGATGTGCTATTTACACATCATAGAAATCCATAGGTCCTCATGCACACTGGACGGTTTTACAGCGGCTGTTTTTGGCTTTTAGTGTTTTTTTTTTTCTACAGCCAGTTAACTCCCCAGCATGTTATCCTATGTGCCCATGCACATAGACCTGTAATCAACGTTTTTTGGCTGGAAAAACCCCCCAGAACTAGTGGTTTTTTAGAGGAGTTTTTCAGCTATAAAAACGCTCTAATGCTGAAACGCAGCAAACTGGCGGTTTTTGCAATTTTTTTTTTTGGCATAAGTTTCTTTTGTAAAAACTCAAAGCAGCTAAACTCTAAAGCAAAAATGCTGAAAAACTCACGTTTTTTTTTTTTTAACATGACTTTATACAGCTAACATAACCAGCGTTAAAACATCCCGTGTGCATGGAGCCTAAAGGTTGCTTTCCTAAAACTGCATTCAACCTGTCGCCAGTTGCTTGGCAATATTGGTAGTGAACTTTTTCTTTAAAGCGGAACTAAACACTCTCCTTTTCAGCCAAGGAAGCTGCCATCTTGGCCTTTAATCTGCAACTGCTATGGTACTGCACATGTGAGCCCAGCCATTTGATGGTTTGGTTGAAAGCTCAAGCAAATGTGAATGACTAATTTTTTTTTAAACTATTAAATTGATGGGTTTAGTTCCCCTTTAATGGCAGTGTTTCTGTGCTGCTTGATGGGTCTGTTTTATAAAAATTTGTTGCCTGGTGCATCCAGTTCAGCAGCCTAAACTACTTCTCTTTTATAGGAGGTGGCTTCCCATCTGTCCCAGTACGGAAGAGTCCAATGGTGAGTGTGGAACAAGCAGTTCAGACTGGTCCAGTGGAGAATCTGGCACAGAAGAAGGTGCAGCCGCCCAAAGGACCCCCTATAAGCCAGCGTGGGAACAGACCAGGCCAGGCACCAGCACCACCTGCACAGATTAATGGTAATGGAGAAGGCTTTGCCACGGTTTATGGGAAGGTGCTGTGATATCTTGCCACTGAAATGCTTTGCCAGATACTGAGGTCTTTTAGCTAGGGAGAACATTGACAACTCTTGTGTGGCTATCTGCTGTAACTTGTCCTTTCCTGATTTAGTGGATCTAAACTCAAAGCTTGGGTATGCTTCAGAAAAAGTTGGTTGTCCTAGAGTGTAAAACGTTCCATTCATCCAGAAACCGCAGGTTGTGGTCCAGCCTCCGTGTTATGAGTCAGTGGCAGTGCGCTGGACTCCATCAGCAGACTTCATTGGGTGACCCAGAGCACCATGGTGCCTTTTTGTTAACCTTCAACCTGCTGTACCCATTTTCTGAAGCCAACAAAGGCTTGATTTGGGTCTACTGGAAAGGGTCCTAAACCATATTATAGCTTAGGCCCTGTTCATACATGCTCTTATTTGACCAACTGCAAAATGCATGACTAAATCTGCTTTTGCAGTCGTCGGCCCTCTTTCATATCTCTGCATTTCTAAATTGACTATACTGCCACTAACACTTGCAACAAATGGTAGTTGTGTGCAGATCTCAGCTATATTTAAGTTCCTTCTACCTCTTTCAGTACCAGCTCCTGCCACACAGGTACAGAATACAGTGAATGACGAGAACAGACGACCCCCCAGACGGAGATCAGGTAATTTTAAAGGTAGTGAGGTTATGTAACGGTAGTGGGGGTCAGCAAGGTTTACGTACTGGTGGGGTCACAAAAGGTTCACCTCTACTGATGAACTGAGAAATAATGGCCACCTAGAAGAGATACACATGAGTTCTATTAAACATTTGATCTTTAGGTTACATTTTGTAAGGTTTTTTTTTTTGAGCACTGACAGACCATTGGTGTACTTGAACGGATTTGGTACAAAGATGGTCAACAGAATTTAGTGAATTCCATACATCATTCTTAAATTTTTCAAGACTTAGCTACTCATTCATAGCGAACAAGTATTTACAGGTGAAACTCAAAAATATAGAATATCGTGAAAGTTCATTTATTTCAGTAATGCAACTTAAAAGGTGAAACTAATATATGAGACTCATTACATGCAAAGCAAGATAGTTCAAGCCGTGATTTGTCATAATTATGCTGATTATGGCTTACAGCTCATGAAAACCCCAAATCCACAATCTCAGAAAATGAGAATATTGTGATAAGTTGCAATATTCTCGGCTCAAAGTGTCCCACTCTAATCAGCGAATTAAGCCATAACACCTGCAAAGGGTTCCTGAGCCTTTAAATGGTCTGTCTGGTTCAGTAGCAATCACAATCATGGGAAAGACTGCTGACCTGACAGTTGTGCAGAAAACCATCATTGACACCCTCCATAAGGAGGGAAAGACTCAAAAGGTAATTGCAAAAGAAGTTGGATGTTCCCAAAGTGCTGTATCAAAGCACATTAATAGAAAGTTATGTGGAAGAAAAAGGTGCACAAGCAGCAGGGATGACCGCAGCCTGGAGAGGATAGTCAGGAAAAGGCCATTCAAAAGTGTTGGACTTTCACAAGGAGTGGACTGAGGATGGAGTCAGTGCATCAAGAGCCACCACACAGACGGATCCTGGACATGGGCTTCAAATGTCGTATTCCTCCTGTCAAGCCGCTCCTGAGCAACAAATGTCAGAAGCGTCTTACCTGAGTTAAAGAAAAACAGACCTAGTCTGTTGCTCAGTGGTCCAAAGTCCTCTTTTCTGATGAGAGCAACTATTGCATCTCATTTGGAAACAAAGGACCCAGAGTATGGAGGAAGAATGGAGAGGCACACACTGCAAGATGCTTGAAGTCCAGTGCGAAGTTTCCACAGTCTGTGTTGATTTGGGGAGCCATGTCATCTGCTGGTGTTGGTCCACTGTGCTTCATTAAGTCCAGGGTCAACGCAGCCGTCTACCAGGAGATTTTGGAACACTTCATGCTTCCTTCCACAGACGAGCTTTATGGGGATGCTGACTTCATTTTCCAGCAGGACTTGGCACCTGCCCACACTGCCAAAAGCACCAAAACCTGGTTCAATGACCGTGGGATTACTGTGCTTGATTGGCCAGCCAACTTGCCTCACCTGAACCGCATAGAGAATCTATGGGGCATTGCCAAGAGAAAGGTGAGACTGAACAATGCAGAAGAGCTGAAGGCCGCTATTGAAGCATCCTGGTCTTCCATAACACCTCAGCACTGCCACAGGCTGATAGCTTCCATGCCACGCTGCATTGAGGCAGTAATTGCTGCAAAAGGGGCCCAAAACAAAGTACTGAGTACAAATGTATGCTTCTACTTTTCAGAGGTCCGATATTATTCTATGTACAATCCGTGTTTTATTGATTGCATGTAATCTAAGTTTCTGAGATTGGATTTGGGGTTTTCATGAGCTGTAAGCCATAATCATCACAATTATGACAAATCACGGCTTGAACTATCTTGCTTTGCATGTAATGAGTCTCTCATATATTTCACCTTTTAAGTTGCATTACTGAAATAAATGAACTTTTGCACCATATTCAAATTTTTCGAGTTTCACCTGTATGTAGCACTGCCCTAGTTGCATTCGGATTGCACTTGTATGGGTTGACCTCCCTAAATCAAACTTGTGATTTGCCCATTAGTGGGAGGTGTCCCCGTTGGCAAATGATTCCTATTGCTTTCTGTAGTCATTGGATGGCTAAGTTTAGGGAACTTCCTAATGTGATAAGGCAGGAAAAACATGGCAAGGCTTTTGGTCATTACCCATCCTATACAGAAATAATATATATATATATATATATATATATATATATATATATATATATATATTATACTGCAAAACAGACCTCAACTGAGGTCTTGCTGGAGTTTGGCTATGCATTATGGAAGGATGGTTAGGAGTTTGGGTTTGCCTTATGGAAGGATGGTTAGGAGTTTGGCTATGCATTATGGAAGGGTGGTTAGGAGTTTGGCTATGCATTATGGAAGGGTGGTTAGGAGTTTGGGTTTGCCTTATGGAAGGGTGGTTAGGAGTTTGGCTTGCATTATGGAAGGGTGGTTAGGAGTTTGGGTTTGCCTTATGGAAGGATGGTTAGGAGTTTGGCTATGCCTTATGGAAGGGTGGTTAGGAGTCTTAGACAGTCTACAGTAAAGTATTTGTGGTGTTGGGTTACATGAGCAAGTGAATGAAGACTGGCTTCTGTGCCGATACATTACTGCTACAGGCCATATGATCTACTGCTGGTCTTGGGTCACTTCACTTGGAAGCTGAGCACCTTGTAATCTGCTTGATGCAGACAGGTAAATAGTTTATTCCAACGTCTACACACTCATTTCCATGGTTAATGCAGACCTAAACTTTTGACTTCCAAAGAGCAGTGGTGACAACCATTGTTGGCCTATTGACTTGTATCTAATAAGCCCAGAAACCTGTGTCCTAGCCTGAAAAGAAGTTGGCTGCTCTTAATATGGACAAGTAATCAAGCTGTAATCCTGTTTTCGCCATGCCTTTACACAGGTAACAGACGGACAAGGAACCGTTCTCGGGGTCAGAACCGCCCAACGACTGTCAAGGAGAACACAATCAAATTTGATGGAGATTTTGATTTTGAGAGCGCGAATGCTCAATTTAACCGCGAGGAACTGGACAAAGAATTCAAAGACAAGCTTAACTTCAGAGGTAATTCTTTATTTTTTCACGCTCCCTCTTTCTAAATAAGAATCTGTACTTAAATACTCATCTTTACAGATGACAAGCCGGAGAAGGAAGGGGATGAGAAGGGAGATTCTGGTGTGGAGACCCAAAATAGTGATGGAAACCCTGAGGAGGACCCTTTGGGGCCCAATATTTACTATGACCGGTCAAAGTCATTCTTCGATAACATTTCCTCAGAGATGAAATCCAGGTAGGATTTAAAGTGCTGTCTTTTACTGTGGAAAACAGTTGCCCATGGCCACCTTCAGATTCTTGTGTAGTACTGCAACAAAAATCTGAGTGCCTTAATGCCATGAGAGCAGCCATTGCTGGTACAAAACTTGACAGACTGGGGAGATTTACTAAAACTGGTGCACTCAGAATCTTGTGCAGCTGTGCATGGTAACCAGTCAGCTTCTATCTTCATATTTAATGTGGTTCTAAAGGGTCAAGGGTATTTTACCTTCATGCATTCTATCAGCACTGTCCAAACAGAGGCCCGGGGTTCTGCATCTTCCTAGGTCAGAAAGAAAACTCCTGAAAGTTTTAACCAGTGCTCTGCTGAAGTCACAAGGCTGCTCTAACTGCTGACAAGTTATTTAGCAGTTTATATTTACTAAAATAATTGCACTTCCATGTTCTGTGTACTGTGTGAGACCAGATATAGTGAATGCAGTGTCCGGGGAGAGCGGATATAATGAATGCAGTGTCCGGGGAGAGCGGATATAATGAATGCAGGTCCGGGGAGAGCGGATATAGTGAATGCGGGGTCCGGGGAGTCTGGATGTAGGGAATGCGGGGTCCGTGGGAGACCGGATGTAGGGAATGCGGGGTCCGTGGGAGACCGGATGTAGGGAATGCGGGGGGTCCGTGGGAGACCGGATGTAGGGAATGCGGGGGGTCCGTCCGATGTGGGAGACCGGACCGGATGTAGGGAATGCGGGGGGGTCCGGGGGATGTAGGGAATGCCGTGGGAGACCGGATGTAGGGAATGCGGGGGGGTCCGTGGGAGACCGGATGTAGGGAATGCGGGGGGGTCCGTGGGAGACCGGATGTAGGGAATGCGGGGGGGTCCGTGGGAGACCGGATGCGGGGGGGGTCCGTATGTAGGGAATGCGGGGGGGTCCGTGGGAGACCGGATGTAGGGAGCGGGGGGGTCCCGGGAGATGATGTAGGGAATGCGGGGGGGTCCGTGGGAGACCGGATGTAGGGAATGGGAATGCGGGCCGGGGTTTTAGTAACACTTTAAGCTGCACTAATTTTATGTGGAAGTGTTGTTTTCTTGAAAGTTTAATTACCAGTGGTGATTCCTTCCAGACGAACTACATGGGCAGAGGAGAAAAAGCTGAACACTGAAACCTTTGGGGTCTCCGGAAGATTCCGTAGAGGACGCAGTTTCCGTGGAGGCTTCAGAGGAGGTAGGGGTGGTGCAGTTCCTCGAAGAACCCAGGCAACGCAGAGGGCTGGCACTGGGAGAGTGTGAAGACCTCTGCAACCACAATGGACAGAAAAGGGGGTTCTCGCGTCCCTGACCGACCTGTCTTCCATAAGTTTTCTTCCCTGACGCATTGTAGCAGTCCTGTAACCCTGCACCAGGCAGGCTTGAATCCTGCCATTGCTTTTCATCCATGTAACACTGTATAAGCCACAGAGCCGACTTGACACAAGAATTTGTGCATATAGGAGGAATGATCAATGCTGAGACTATGGGGGGGGGGGGGGTGGTATGTGGCACTTTAGTTATGGTGAGCAATTATGTTTTGTGCCCAATTGAGACGGAATCTCCTTTTAGCAATCACTTTTTTTGTTTTGGAAGGATTCATTCTCCTTCCTAGTGAGGGAGTTTTACTGCCCTTTGATCTGCACTCAGATGAGTGATATGCTCACCATTAAACACTACTTTTTTTAGGTGTGGGGGGGCCATCCAAGCTTTTGACATGAGGAAATTGTAAATTGTACCAAAGCATTATGGGTAGCGGGCACTTAATTTAACCCCTCATTTTTGATTTTCAAAGCACTTAGTACCGAGGTTACAGTGCAGCCAGGTAAAGGTGTCTTGTATGCAGTAATATTGGAGATCTGTCAGGATAGAAGTATGGCAGCTACCACTGTGGGACTTGATAAAGGTGCATAAGGGGTTGTGTTCTGATCTATTTGTCACTTTAATTTGTGACCTGGAGCAAGCATTTGCATATTGGGTATACAGATGTGTACATGCTGTGCAAGCAATAAGGAGAAGGTGGCACCTTCAAAAGCAAGTTGGCAGTGAAAGTTCCTATGTACTACCCTGAATGGTTCTTAACTGCCATACGTTACACCAGTGTGGAACAGTCACATACAGTGCAGGCAGGTGTATCCGCTAGTGCTTAAAGCTGATTGGGTGATCATGGCTTACAAAACAGGCCAACACAACTGCCAAGCTGTACGCATGTGACTCGTATGAACCCAACAAGCAGTGTGGCTTTCCCAGCTAGAGCATGCCTATTCAGCAGTTCTCTAGAATCAAATGCCACAATGTTAATTGCATGAGGTGGGTCTGCTTTTTTCTTTTGTTTTTGCATTAAGCATTACCTAGTATTGTCAAGTTTCTCCGTAAATGACAATTTTTAAGTTATAAGTTTATGAAAAGTTAAGTTAAGAAGTGTCTTTATTTTTGTAGAATCCTGGTGCTGAGAACCAGTAGCCCATGGGGATTTGATCTCAATTGTAATCTACAAATAAAAGACTACCATTTAACATGCTGTGTTCTTCTTTTTTTTTTTTTTTCATCTGGAGGTCATTTTGCACTGAATTTAATTTTTGTATTAAAAGGAAAGTACAATGGGTATCAAAGAATCACCCACTTTTTTTTTTTTTTTCTCTTTTCTTTTTGTCTGTGTTTGTATTTGTGTGTTTTTTGTTTTTTTGCAAGCTGTATTTACTGAGTGCAGCCTATAACCAAGTGAGAGCGCAGCCTATAACCAAGTGAGAGCGCAGCCTATAACCAAGTGAGAGCGCAGCCTATAGCCAAGTGAGAGCGCAGCCTATAGCCAGGTGAGAGCGCAGCCTATAGCCAGGTGAGAGCGCAGCCTATAGCCAGCCAGGTGAGAGCGCAGCCTATAGCCAGGTGAGAGCGCAGCCTATAGCCAGGTGAGAGCGCAGCCTATAGCCAGGTGAGAGCGCAGCCTATAGCCAGGTGAGAGCGCAGCCTATAGCCAGGTGTGAGAGCGCAGCCTATAGCCAGGTGAGAGCGCAGCCTATAGCCAGGTGAGAGCGCAGCCTATAGCCAGTGAGAGCGCAGCCTATAGCCAGGTGAGAGCGCAGCCTATAGCCAGGTGAGAGCGCAGCCTATAGCCAGGTGAGCGAGCGCAGCGCAGCCTATAGCCAGGTGAGAGCGCAGCCTATAGCCAGGTGAGAGCCAGGTGAGAGCGCAGCCTATAGCCAGGTGAGAGCGCAGCCTATAGCCAGGTGAGAGCGCAGCCTATAGCCAGGTGAGAGCGCAGCCTATAGCCAGGTGAGAGCGCAGCCTATAGCCAGGTGAGAGCGCAGCCTATAGCCAGGTGAGAGCGCAGCCTATAGCCAGGTGAGAGCGCAGCCTATAGCCAGGTGAGAGCGCAGCCTATAGCCAGGTGAGAGCGCAGCCTATAGCCAGGTGAGAGCGCAGCCTATAGCCAGGTGAGAGCGCAGCCTATAGCCAGGTGAGAGCGCAGCCTATAGCCAGGTGAGAGCGCAGCCTATAGCCAGGTGAGAGCGCAGCCTATAGCCAGGTGAGAGCGCAGCCTATAGCCAGGTGAGAGCGCAGCCTATAGCCGAGCGCAGCCTATAGCCAGGTGAGAGCGCAGCCTATAGCCAGGTGAGAGCGCAGCCTATAGCCAGCCTATAGCCAGGTGAGCGCCAGCCTATAGCCAGGTGGAGAGCGCAGCCTATAGCCAGGTGAGAGCGCAGCCTATAGCCAGGTGAGAGCGCAGCCTATAGCCAGGTGAGAGCGCAGCCTATAGCCAGGTGAGAGCGCAGCCTATAGCCAGGTGAGAGCGCAGCCTATAGCCAGGTGAGAGCGCAGCCTATAGCCAGGTGAGAGCGCAGCCTATAGCCAGGTGAGAGCGCAGCCTATAGCCAGGTGAGAGCGCAGCCTATAGCCAGGTGAGAGCGCAGCCTATAGCCAGGTGAGAGCGCAGCCTATAGCCAGGTGAGAGCGCAGCCTATAGCCAGGTGAGAGCGCAGCCTATAGCCAGGTGAGAGCGCAGCCTATAGCCAGGTGAGAGCGCAGCCTATAGCCAGGTGAGAGCGCAGCCTATAGCCAGGTGATAGCCAGGTGAGAGCGCAGCCTATAGCCAGGTGAGAGCGCAGCCTATAGTGAGAGCGCAGCCTATAGCCAGGTGAGAGCGCAGCCTATAGCCAGGTGAGAGCGCAGCCTATAGCCAGGTGAGAGCGCAGCCTATAGCCAGGTGAGAGCGCAGCCTATAGCCAGGTGAGAGCGCAGCCTATAGCCAGTGTGAGAGCGCAGCCTATAGCCAGGTGAAAACACAAACATGTCAGAATGTCAGAAAGAAGTCTAGAACAGGATCACCCACTCCTACAAACAATGACTTGTAAACTCAATTGGGTGTAACTAATCACCTTCTCAATAGCACACAAAGCCACTTGACATTCCGCTGCGGACAAGCTTTCCTGGAGCATTTCAATCCCTAATGGTGCAACTCAGGGATGTTGGATTCCTATCACCCAATGCCCGGGACCTGTAGTTCCAGGTGCCGGGCAGGTAGTTTTTCTACCTTTTAGCCCTGCTGTGGGCAAGCAGCAGGGCTCACCTGTCAGGTCAAGCAATCGGGCAGTGCTGCCACTGATTGCTTCACACAGTAACACTCTCCGCTCCCCTGGTGTGGGGTCTCCCAGACTCTGCTTGCCCATCTGCGGGCCTGGCTTGCCGTCGGCTGAGGGGAGGGAGAAGAGTGGACAAGTCCGCTCCACTCCTTGTGTTGACCCAGAAGTGACGTTACGATGCCACTTCCGGGTCCCCGTTGAGAGATTGTAATGCAATCCCTGGGAAAGAATGTAATATGGTGCGATGTGCACCACATTGCATTCAGTGGTGCAGAAGGGAGACATCCATGGTCTTTTAGACCACCACCTGCCCCCTCGACCCTATCCCCTCAACTCCTACGACCTCCCTCCCCCTCCATCCTACACTCCCTCACCCAAATCTACAATCTCTCCCTCTCCTCTGGCACTTTTCCCTCCCCTCTGAAACATGCACACATCACCCCCATACTTAAAAAGCCCTCCCTGGACCCCAATGACCCGAACAACCTCAGACCCATCTCCCTGCTCCCATTTACATCTAAACTCCTCGAGCACCTAGTCTACACCCGCCTATGCTCTCACCTCAACAACCTCCTCGATCCCCTACAGTCCGGCTTCCGTCCCTTACACTCCACCGAAACTGCCTTACTCAAACTCTCCGACCTGCTAACCGCCAAAGCTAATGGCCACTATTCAGTGCTCCTACTCCTTGACCTCTCTGCAGCCTTTGACACAGTCGACCACCCCCTCCTCCTCAAAAAACTAACACTCCCTCGGCCTCAGAGATTCTGCTCTCTCCTGGCTGTCATCCTACCTGTCACAATGCTCTTTCAGTGTTACCTATAATGCTACCACCTCCCCCTCACTCCCCCTCTCTGTTTGGGTCCCTCAAGGCTCTGTCCTCGGGCCCCTTCTCTTCTCCATCTACACCTCCTCCCTTGGCCAACTCATACATTCACGGCTTCAACTACCTCCTCTATGCTGATGACACACAAATCTATCAAACCCCCCCCACCTCATCCCCTCGGTCTCTGCCCGAATCACACACCTACTGAGCGACATATCAGACTGGATGTCGCTCCACTTTCTTAAACTGAACCTCTCCAAAACAGAGTTTCTTGTCTTCCCTCCCAGCCTGGACACCACCCCCCATTGACTTCTCCATCACATCCAACAACGCCACCATCAAACCCGCCCCGCAGGCCAGAGTACTTGGGGCTGGAAGGATAGGTTGGAATCCAGAATGACACCAAGTCCAATCTTTAACAAACTCGTGCAGACTCCACCTCCGCAACATCGCCAAAATCCGCACGTTCCTAACCCCAGAAACCACTAAACGGCTCATCCACTCCCTCATCATATCACAACTCGACTACTGCAACTCCCTCCTTACTGGCCTGCCTCGCGGCTGGCTATCCCCGCTTCAGTCCATCCTGAATACGGCTGCCAGACTCATTCACCTTTCCAACCGCTCTGTCTCCGCCACCCCCCTCTGCCAATCCCTCCACTGGCTTCCGATTGCGCAACGGATCAAATTCAAAATCCTAACACTGACTTACAAAGCCGTCCACCATACTGCCCCGAACTACATCACTGACCTAATATCCAAGTACCGCCCAGCACGCACACTCCGCTCCTCAAGACCTCCTTCTCTCTAGTTCCCTGGTCTCCTCCTCCCATGCCGGCCTCCAGGGTGTCACTCTGGAACTCCCTGTCCCAACCCATCAGATTATCACCTACACTCCTCCTTTAGGCGCACCCTGAAAACCCATCTCTTCAGGAAAGCCTACCCCACCCCCTGCTAACTTGCTGACCACCTCCACTCTTCCTACCACTCCATCCCCCACAGCTATCTCCTCCTGTACCACCATCCCCTCCCTCCTAGATTGTAAGCTCCAAGGAGCAGGGCCCTCAAGCCCCTCCTGTTTTGCATTGTATTGTTGTTCCGTCACATGTTTTGTCCCCCTTTGTAATGTACAGTGCTGAGAAAACCATTGGCGTTTTATAAATACTGTATAATAGAACAAAAATCATCACATAAGGGACTTGTGTGATGAAGAGAAGGTGGGGGGGAATTTTTTATTGTAAAAAATGAGTTACACCCAAGCACATACCATCCCCCCAAAAAATTGAGGCCCCCACATACGCACGTACAAATGTAAAAGCACACGCTGGGGCGACTATGCATGAAACCATTGATTGCGATACACATCGCTAGAATGAGAGCAATAATTCTAGCACCAGACCACCTCCTCTAACATTAAACTGGTGGCCTATAAGGAGCTTTAAAAGTGTTAACCTATAGAAAATATAGGGTGCTGAAGTTCGTCGCCATTTCACAAGAGCGCACAAATTTATGGTTTGACAAGTATATCTATTTACTTGCTGCAACCTCGTCTTTTATATTTTACAAAAAAAATAAAGCAATGTATTGCTTTTTTTGTGCCCTAAAATTAACTTTAGTATTTTTTACTGAAATTTTGCGGTAATATCATGCAGCATAAAAAATTGGAACTACCAAGATTTTATTCTCTAGGGTCTCTGCTTTCAGAAAATGTTAGGGGGTTTTTATGTAATCTTCAGGCCTAAAATGATTTTCTTCCTTCCTGCTAGTCCCTGGGGGGGGGGGGGGGGGGGGGGTCCCTGGGGGGGTGCTGGAGAGAGGTAGGAGGGGAGGAAGAGATACAGTGCAATGGTAAATATATTACATGTTTAGGTCGCCATAAAGCCCTTTTTTTTGTTTTTAAAAGCCCCAGACATAACTAAAATCACCTGATTTTAAATACGGGTTTTGGTTACTTTTTTTTTCTTTTTTATCTGGACAAGTAGATTGGGGCCCTGATTTAGTCCCGGAGTCAAATTGGGGACCAGTTGTCCTATAGCCATATGTCCTAGATTATAGGATGCCTGAAAGACTGATTGCACTTACAAAGTAAGGCTTATTTTCTAAATGCAATTGGACTTTCAGGCGTCTTATCTCACATTGGTATAGGACAACCGGTCCCCAATTGGACTCCTATCCTTACCACATGGGACATTGAGTGACAACTATTTATACTCCTATATTCTGCCACAGGGGCGGACTGACAACTCATGGGGCCCCTGTGTCCTTGCCACACTCAAAGCACACCCAAAAAAGCCTATAAAAAAGGTACCAGGGGCATTTCATGGGGCCCCCTACTGACCCTCGGGTAATACCCAAATGCTCGAATGGTCGGTCTGCCCCTGGTCCGTCACTCCATGTGCCTCCACATTGCACCTTTTAGCCTTTTTTTTTTGGTGGAGAGGGCATGGGCTCTGCAGCAGGCCAGGACTGAAATTGCTTTTGAGTTTTTTTTTTTTTTTTTTTTTTTGCCCCACATGGTGTATCATTCACTTGGATGTTATAAATTGTATTGGATAAAACACTGTCTGTCTTTTCAGGCTGCAATGCAACCAAATTATTATTTTAAAGGGGAGTGATTCTTTTCTATACCCACTGTATGTGATTTGTAGAAAAAAAAAATGGCTCAATTGTGTGCATGGATATTAAAAGCAATCTTCTATTGAAAGGATCTACCTTTGTTTTGGATTGAAGGGTGTGAGGGGTTGACACCCTTGCCTAGTTTTATTGCTTTCTTAGCTTAGATTAAGAGTTTTGGTTATAGGTTTGTTTTAATTTTAAAGGAAATCTGTCTTAGAGGTGGGAGCTGCAATTGCCATTTGCCTATACTGTCTCCCGCAGCCAGTGCTCACCATTGATTGTTTGCCAGCAACCCTGTTCCTCTTATGGAAGGTAAGAACATACACTATATTGACAAAAGTATTGGTCGGCCGGCATTTAAAAGCACATGAACTTTAATGGCCCCCCAGTCTTAGTCCCCTGGATTTAATATTGAGTTGGCCTGCCCTTTGCAGCTATAACAGCTTCAACTCTTCTGGGAAGGCCGTCCACAAGGTTTAGGAGGGTGTCTAGGGGAAGGTTTGACCATTCTTCCAGAAGCACATTTATGAGGTCAGATGAGAAGGCCTGGCTCGAAGTTTCCGCTCTAATTTATCCCAAAGGTGTTCTATCTGGTTGAGGTCAGGACTCTGTGCAGGCCAGTCAAGTTCCTCCACCCCAAACGCTCTCATCTGTCCAACCTCTGAAAAACACCACACCATAATCCCCCCCTCTACCAAACCTTACACTTGACACCATGCAGCAGTCAGTCAAGTACTGTTCTGACAACCGCCCAACCCAGACACGTCCATCGGATTGTCAAGTGTGATTTGTCACTCCAGAGAACACGTCTCCATTGCTCTAGAGTCCAGTGGTGGCGTGCTTTACACCATGGCATCCGATGCTTTGCATTGCACTTGGTGATGTAAGGCTTGGATGCAGCTGCTCGGCCATGGAAACCCATTCCATGAAGCTCTCTACACACTGTTGTGCTCATCTGAAGGGCAAATGATGTTTTGAAGGTCTTTTAACTATTGACTCTGCAGACAATTTGTGACTTCTGCGCACTTCAGCATGCTCTGACCCCGCCCTGTCATGTGATGTGGCCTACCACTTTGCAGCTGAGTGGCTGTTGTTCCCAGTTGCTTCCACTTTGTTATAAGCCCCCACTAACAGTTGAGCGTGGAATACTCACCTGCCTTAAATTTTAAAAATCAGGTTTTACCCTTCTGACTGCCCTAATAAAATATGGCAGCATGCAGCCTTCCCCAAAACCTGGGGAAACAAGTAGAGAACATCCATTCTGCTGTCAAAAATCAAAGGTGCTCATAACTTTCTGGTATATGTGCCCTGTGCTGGACTATGGAGATGTTTTGTAGTACAGCAGTTGAGAATTGGTCTGGGCTGATGCCACTGCTTTTTTGGATTTTAGTGTAGGTTTCAGCTGAAAAACAGGGGTTCACTCGGGTGGACTGACAACTCATGGGGCCCCCGGGCAATAGGGGATCATGGGGCCCCGTGTCCTTGCCCAAACTCAAACGCCTATGAAAAAAGTACCAGGAGCATCTCATGAGGCCCCCTACTGACCCTGGGCAGTGCCAGAGTTTCCAAATGGTCAGTCCGCCCCTGAGTGCACTGAATTCTTGATAGGACCAACAGGTACATTTCTGTACCTGTAATGTTTTACAGAGACCAATGATAACAGATGTATTGCATTTTTCACACAGTTAAGTGATCCTGTTATTGCTAATCCTTACACAAAAAAACACCCCCACCGAAATGTCTTTTACCTGTCTTTTAAATGTGGGGCTCCCTCCACCAAAAACATGTTTTAGATGGTGGGGAAGGGTTAGAACTGGTGTGCTGTCTTAGTGGGGGGGGGGCCTTTCCCTCACTTCCTGTCCTTGTGACAGTACTATTTCAGTGCTCACCAAGAACAGTATAGGGGGAACATTCAATTGGGGAATAATTATTAAATCTAAGATTGCACCAGACATTTGGGAGTCCTGTTTAGATGATATGGCTATGCCGGGGTCTCCAAACAAAGGATGCGGTTGCTTCAAACTAGGAGGGCTGGACTGTGACAAGTAGGAGCAGAATATGGTATTAGGGGGAAGAAATTACCATCATTGGTGTCAGCGGGCGGAGTGGTGCCCCCTCATGGTGGTGTCGGAGGAGTGGTGCCCCGTCATTGGTGTCAGCGGGAGGAATATGGCCCTGTTGTCGGTGGCAGGAACTATGCCCTACTGTTGAGGACAGCATGGGCAATAACGGCCAGGTATAAGTAGACAAAGGGCCACATCTGGCCTCAAGGCCACAGTTTGGAGACCACCGGGTTAGTGCATGAAATGCTGGGAAATTTTGCAAGGTCAGGTACAAACACCAATTAAACACCCCCCCCCCCCTCCCCCCTTAAAGTGTTTTTTTTTTTTGCTATTTTCAGAGCATGTCCAGCCAAACTAGTTTCAAATAGTACAAAGGTTAGAACACATTATGAGGTTTTAAATGTTGGTATTCAGGGCTGTTTTTTTTGGGGGTTTTTTTTGTCTGTCCCAGTGATTGGTTTTAGCCCTAAAATGTGTATGTATGAAATGTGAGATTGTACTCCCCTTGAGGGGACCTTAGATTGTACTCCCCTTGAGGGTTAGGGACCTTAGATTGTACCCCCCTTGAGGGTTAGGGACCTTAGATTGTACTCCCCTTGAGGGTTAGGGACCTTAGATTGTACGCCCCTTGAGGGTTAGGGACCTTAGATTGTACGCCCCTTGAGGGTTAGGGACCTTAGATTGCACTCCCCTTGAGGGTTAGGGACCTTAGATTGTACGCCCCTTGAGGGTTAGGGACCTTAGATTGTACGCCCCTTGAGGGTTAGGGACCTTAGATTGTACTCCCCTTGAGGGTTAGGGACCTTAGATTTACGCCCCTTGAGGGTTAGGGACCTTAGATTGTACGCCCCTTGAGGGTTAGGGACCTTAGATTGTGCGCCCCTTGAGGGTTAGGGGATTGACGCCCCTTGAGGGTTTAGGGACCTTAGATTGCACGCCCCTTGAGGGTTAGGGACCTTTAGATTGCACGCCCCTTGAGGGTTAGGGACCTTAGATTGCACGCCCCTTGAGGGTTAGGGACCTTAGATTGTACCCCTTGAGGGTTAGGGACTGATGTGAATGTACAATATATATGTAAAGCACTGCGTAAATTGACGGCGCTATATAAGTACCTGAAATAAATAGCTGGTGTTAAAGGTTTTCTGTTGACACCTCTTACAGCACATATGTCAAACACAAGGCCATTTCATGTGGCCCTTGCACCTCTCCTGCAGTTTCCACTACCTTGTTGCAGCAGCGAGGATGGTAGAATTCCTCCTACAGATTCTGTTCAGCTGCAGCACCCCCTGGTCTCGGCATTCAACAGATTCCACACCCTGTACTTTCTGCTCCCAGCAGCACAAGGTAACGGGGGGGGGGTGCTCCGGCCATCTAGTTTGACAGCTACAACCGGCCTTTTGAGAGTAACCATAATGCAGCCAGCAATGAGTTTGACACCCCTGGCACTATGGATTGCTGACTCACATTTTGGCTCAGGCTGAGTTTGAAACTACACTTGTTCACACAAAACCTAAAGCCCGCTTGCAGTGGTGTTATAGGAGTGATAGTCACTACACGGTTATCATCCAACATTTACGGCAAGTCTTTTCTACACTACTTGAAGCAGGCCTGGCATGGTACATGAAACCATCAACTATGTCTTCACAAGTAGCTACCATCAGTGCCATAAATTGTCCAATGGATGGTCTTGCACAGTATATTCCCAACCAGATCGTATGAAGTGCGGTACCCTTGCTGTAAGATAGGGGGTTCAAAACACTACCACGCAGGAAGAGGAGTATGATCAGGGGTGGACTGTCAACTCATAGAGGCCCCCGGGCAATAGGGGATCATGGGGCCCCTGTGTCCTTGCCCAAACATGCCTATGAAAAAGGTACCAGGGGCATCTCATAGGGCCCCCTACTGACCCTGGGCCCTTGGGCAGTGCCTGAGCTTCCAAATGGTCAGTCTGCCCCTCAGCACGATCATGTATGTATATGCCACCATCCAAGAAAGTAGATCAACCTAAAATGTTCACATTTTGTATATAGTAAGAAATACATTTTCTTTCTGCTGTCTGTCCCATTTGGTATTTTTTGCCCTGTAGGTAATGGGAAGGAAGATGAAATCTCTTCAAACCTTAGGACAATCTTCATTGTCTCCCTGTCTGCCCCAGTGCCAATCCTCACAAGGACAAATATGGGACACTGAAAGAGGTCCTAATCCCTGCATACTCTACCTTCCCCAAAGAAAAGATTTTGTTTTTAAATTCACCCCAACTGCAAACTATAGAGAATATATTACACGTGAAGATTTGGGTCTGGACACTGGCACATTAGTGGATAGTTTTCCTCTCACATGGAGGTCTACCTCTTCATCTGTAAAGGAAAATCATATGCTCAGATCTCGGAGATCATTTTTAACCCCTCACCTACCAGGCACTTTTACCCCCTTCCTTACCAGGCCAATTTTCAGCTTCCAGCGCTGTGGCACTTTGAATGACAATTGCACGGTCATGCAACACTGTACCCATATGAAATTTTTATAATTTTTTCACACAAATAGAGCTTTCTTTTTGGTGGTATTTAATCGCCACTTGGGTTATTTTTTTGCACTATAAAAAAAAAAAAAAGTTTTTGTTTCTATTATCCAGTTTTGCAAACAGGTAATTTTTCTCCTTCACTGATGTGTGTTAATGAGGTTGCACTGATGGGCATTGATGAGAAAGCACTGATATACAGCAATGAAGGGCACTGATAGGCAGCCCTGATTATCAGTGCAGATCTCCTTGGTGACATTTGCCGGTTATTGGCAGTACTCGTCTGTGACAGCGTGAGGAAAGTGCTGCCAATAACCGGCAACTGTATTTACTTTGTGATCAGCTGTGTCATTGGACACAGCTGATCACGAAGTAAAAGTCGTTGCGATTGGCCTTTTACCTAGTCATGTGATCAGCTGTGTCCGCAGGACACATCGATCACTGACAGCGCCAGAACTGGACAACCGCGCTGTAGTCGTCATTCAGCTATAGCGCGGTAGTAAAGTGGTTAAATAATTGCCCTCCTTTGAATCCCTTATATAAAAACATTATCATAGGCTATACTATTGAAACCGCCAATGTTTTCTGCTCCAAAATCTGGAAACGAGTGCTGAGGTTTTAATAAAGAAATTTTATTACAAGACCAATGCTTATAGCAGACTGAATAGAACACAGTGTCACGTTAAGTAGTCTTCTTCTGTTTTTTCTTTTCATTTTCTTCCTTCTCTTTTTCAATCTCTGCCACATACCTCTCAATCTCTTCTGGACTTAGGATCTGTAAGAAGACAGGTTATGGTGAAAAGTGGGGATTTGGGAGAATGAATCCAAAAAATACAGCAGATGCTTTTATCAAAGTAAAGTCACATGGGATCTCCAATATTTGGGAACATGTTTGCAAAGGGGAGAGGCATCTGATACAACCTTGTCACCTGTATCCACATTTTCTGTACCTAAACCTGTCAGAGAAACATCATGATAATTATTGCCAATTCAAAAACCCTAATTACTGACAAACCAGGTGAGATACATATGTTAGCAAGTGCAGCGCTGAAATTACTAATGAATAAAGTGGAACAGTAAAGTGCATCACATAAAAAATATATCAGTAACAAGAAAACAATAGAACTATATAGTGCATCATAAACTATATGTGCCAAAACGGACTAATAAAGTACATCATATGAGAGTGCAGCAAATCTTCAGTAAATCAAATGATAAAATGGAACAGTAAATGCATCAAAAAAAACTGTATAGATAAGGCGGAACAGCAAGGTGCATCATATAAAAGGGTGGAGCCTGTTGCTGATGTCACGCCGCCGAACGATGGAGCGGCAGCCATTTTGGTATTTCTCCTTTACATTTTACTATTGTCTCCACGTGGATGCTTTTATATTTAAATACATGCAATAAATGCTACCCTGAAGAGACATCTTTTATGTCCTTTTCCATCTTTATAAAGTTCCATTACCTTGTTGCGCAGGACTTTTGACAGTTCTTTTCTGATCCCCATGGCTCAGTATCTAGCCTAGTCAGTGCTTCCACGTAAGAGCTAACAAACTCATTGACTATCTATACACTGACACTAATTGCAATTTAAAAAGCCACAGATGTGGGACATAAACCTCTAATTGGCATTGTAACCCGTGTGTGTAAGAGTAACACCTTGTGTGTCTGTACCAAGGCACAATGTGGGACATTCCAGGGGGCGGAGACTTCTGATCCAGGGGGCGGAGACTTCTGATCATGGCCATTTGGGTGATTTCTCTTATCATTAGGATTTAAAAAGGAGCCAAAACAACTATTTGATAATAAATGGCTTCATATGATCCTCATCCTTCAATAAAAGATATCTTTTTTTTTTGGCATGATCAGTCATATTTTCAATACCAATGCCAAAATTTCACAATTTCTGCCAGGGTATGCAAACTTTTGAGCACAACTGTAAGTGTTGGAAGCCAAAGAGACTAGCGAAGGCTGCAGCACTGGAACAGAGAGGTGGTAGAAGAAGACACAGGCTGCTTAAAGTTTAACTGAAGGCAAAACTTATTTTTGGATAGAGTGGAGAGGGATTAGAACCCCTGTCAGTTTTTTTATTGCTGTCTGTGCGATCATCAAGGAGATTGACCCTCTCTATTTGTCCTGTGTACCATTATCATTGAAAGTAAAAGAAAATCTCAAATTTGGGTTGTCCCCAGAAAAGGAATAATGGGGAAATCTTCCAATGGGGACACTACTTCTGGTGACCTGGGGGGTCCCCAAGGAATTCCCTTAATTTGCAAGGATTTCCTTTCACTTCCTGTTTGGCTATGGGACAGGAAGTGAAGGGAAATCTCCCCAATGGGACACAGATGGCAAAAAAAAATCTGATAGGGGTTATAATCCTCCCTTGTGCTATCCAAAATGGAAAAAAAAATAGTTTTGCCTATAGTTCTACTTTAAGAGGTGAGCATACTATCTTTTCTACTGAAAATAGTTCTTGGCAGCAGAGAACAGTCGCTTTACGCTAAATGGTAGAAAAAGCAGCTTCTCATGACAAGATTATGTAAAAAAAAAAAATACTTTAAAGCGGAGTTCCACCCATTTTTTAAAGTTCCTCTGATTACATGGTTCGTGTGTTGTTCAGCACGATTTGGATAAAAAAAATATGTTTTTTTTTTTTTCTTAATGTAACTACCTTAAAATAGTATTTCAGGACTGCATTTTACGGTCTCGGCCGCCTAGGCGAAGACGTGTTAAGGCGATTTGCAACGTCTCCTCGGATGTCTTTTCCTGTATCCCAGGAGTCCTTTGGGTTCCTAGTGACTGAATATCACATTACTTCCAAACCAGAAGTGACGCGAATGCGCAGAGTTTGGCGCCATTTTACCGGAGTCCAGTGTGGGAAGGAAGTGTAAGATCCGTGCTGTTCTAATTATTGTTTCAGGGCTTGCTCTGTTTCCAGACTTCACTTGCCTTCCCCCTGGTGTGATTTGATGGACAGGTTGCCATAAGGGGGTGGGAACTTCCGATTCCCCGCCATTGTTATGGCAAACTGTTCTATACAAGTAGCACTGAGCAGTGTCAGTATTGCGCAAGCACGAGATCGAGTGGTGCATGCTGGGATAACCAGCAGCACCAACTCCAGGAAAAAAAGCCTTGCGGGCTTCAGATGCCCACAGCCATCATGGCGCCTGCCTGCTTCCGAGATCAAGCTAAAGATTTACATATTTAAAATGAATTAGAAGGCTGTAAGTTATAACTTTATCCAATTGTTAATGTTCTCGAAAAGGCAATCCGGGGTCAACTTTTAAAAAAAATTTCTTCTGGGAACTGGAACTCCGCTTTAACCTCTTGCCGTCCGCCTGCTGTTTATAAACGGCAGGACGGTGGCAGTCCAGGGGCGGGTTGCTGTTCATAAATGGCACCCGCCTTTTCTAGCTGTGCACGCTCCTTGGGAGCGCGCAGCACCACGAACCGGTGCCCGCTGTGTCCTCCGGACACAGTGAGACACCGATCGTCGGACAGGACCTCTGTACGAGGTCCCGATCATGTGATAACTGATAGGCTAATCAGTGATCACATGCAAAATAGTAAGCAAGATGTCACTTGTGACATCATTGCTTACTACGTGTGAAATCTGTCACAACAGCCTTGTACCATGTGACAAGGTGTGACCAATCACAGCTCACTCAGTATTTCTCAATGGCTGCAAGAATGCAGACAGAGAGAAAGAGAAATTATTGCTTTTACATCCTATATGGGTGTAAAAGCAATCACTGTAAAAAAAAAAAAAAAAAAAAAAATCTTCATCACCCCCACAAGTAGTACAGTGTCACCATGGTGACACTGTACTGCTAGGGTGACAGTATGTAAAAAAAAAAAAAAATAATATAAAAAAATATAAAAAAAAAAGTTTAAAAATTATAATTTTTGGTTATAAACTAATTTGGCTTATTTTTTTTTTTTTTACTAAAACTATAACGGAATAAATTTTGGTCAAGATTTATGATGAAAGATTATTTATTTGCAAAATGTTATAAGAAAAACACTTTTTTTTTAAATTTTTGGACATTTTCATTTACATAGCAAAAAAAATAAAAATCCCAGCGGTGAATAAATACCACCAAAATAAAGCTTTATCTGTCTCAAAAAAATGGTAAAAAATTCATATGGGTACAGTATTGCATGACCGCGCAATTGTCATTCAAAGTGTGATAACGCTGAAAGCTGAAAATTGCCCTGGACAGGAAGGGGTAAAAGTGTCCGGACAGGAAGTGGTTAAGACAAACGTTCACTGAAGCTAGGGGTCCACATTGCAAGTTAGAAGATTCTGCAGTTTTTTGCCTCAGTTGTAATTTATGAAATCACAGAGCATTCAATAGTAAAATCTGTTTTTCCAAATTCCACTTACCTTTAATGGCTGGTCTCGCCTCATAACCGCTAGTTCAATGTTTTTGCCTCCAGACTGAACAACCTGTGGGAGAAAAATGACAGTTATACACAAAGAAAATTGCTAAGCATCATATCCTCATCGTCAACAACCAATCCAAGGTATTATTTCCTAGGGGAAGCACATATAGGAAGGTTCATTCTATAGAAAGCATTTCTGTCTCTGTCTTCTCAATGCCACCGCAGATATTTTTGTTGACTTCTCTCCTAAAGACTACAGGGCAGTATGTTATCTGCATATACGGTAAGTGAAGATAACCCAAACCGGTTCTAGGATACCACTTCAGCCATCCATAGATATCAGTAATCAGATTTAATTAATGATCGATATTAGTTCACCTAAGAAACATCGTTCATAGAAAGCATCACCAGAAAAATCAATATGGAGACTTGGGATCCTCTGAACTTATCCATCAATTTTTTCTTGCAAAATGAAAACAATTGTCGGCATCATTCAGTGCCAAAAGAAAGTAACGGCCAAATGAATGTGCTACAAGTGAGGTGTCACCAACTATTTACACGGACAGTTTTCTTTGACAGAAGCAAACCTGCACTTTTGGGCTATGTTTACATTGTGTTGCTTGGGCAACATTCTGCTGTCAATGGGGCACATGGGAAAGCATTCAGCAGCCATGGCCAAGTGTCCTGGGCACTGTCCTCACCAATATGTGGCTCAGTGCATTTGCATGTGTTGTTTTGGGGGGTGCTTGGCAAGGCTAATATTTGATTGCCAATTGTTTAATTTTTGTTATACCAGAGGCATCCCTAGGGTTGGTGTCACCTGGGTGCGGTAACACTTGGTGACACCCCCTCTGACAAACCCTGCAGAATGGATCGGATCTGCGAATTGAGCATAATGGATCAGACTCCGATCTATTATGCTCAATCCGCAGATCCGATCCATCCTGCGGGGATCGTCAGCTTTCTTTACAACTTACCTTTTCTTGGAGCGGGTCCGAGACAACTGAACATGTCCCGGTTTCAGGCACAATCAATCAATGATAGCAGTAGTTCTATCATTGATTGATTGTGCCTGAAACCGGGAGATGCGCAGTTGCTTCAGGGGGACATCTACATGGGAGACACATCTTGCCGATACACTGGTGTCACCCCACAGGATCGTCCGCATGCAACCTATACGGCGTGACACCGGACCCGCTCCAAGAAAAGGTAAGTTGTAAAGAAAGCCGGCTTGCTTTACAACTTACCTTTTTGTGGAGCGGGTCTGGTGTCACCCCGTGCGGTCGGCGTCACGGGACGCCAATGTGTTATACTACAAGTAAAATCCTAATAAAAAAAACTTGACCGGCTAATAATGTAGAACTGGAAATAAATAATAAGAAATAAGAACTCACTTCCAGAAGTGCCTTAATGACCAGTTTAATGGTCAGATCATCTGTCTCGATAGCTTCATCCGTGTAGTGTTTCTCCAGGAACTCCCGTACAGACTTGGCCCCTCTGCCGATAGCATTGGCCTGTATGATGACAATAGATTACGCTTTAATGAACCTGCACAGGGCACCAAATGCCAAGGGATTGGAGACAGACTTACTTTCCATGCATGGTAAGTGCCTGAAGGATCTGTCTGGTAGAGACGAGGGGTGCCGTCAAAATCAAAGCCAACAATGAGAGCGGATATACCAAAAGGTCGGCGACCATTGCTCTGAGTGTAGCGCTGGGGGGATACAAAGTTAGGGTTACAGCATATCATCATGCAAACCAACTAGGCTGAAGAATTTGCAGAGGTGAAGCCCTGCAATCCTGTAAAATAAATAAAAAACACATTATACAAAACAAAGATTGCTGGAAATGTAAGCTTTTCAGTATAAAATTCCAGGTGGGCAATCACTGGATTGGAATCGTCCGTATCTTTATTGGGAGGCCTGTTGCTGGATTCTATGCCGAAGAGAGCAGCGATATATAGGACATTTACTGTATATCATGAAACTAAAAGTGGTAGTAAACTGCCAAAAAAATAATTTGTAAAAAAACGTCTTCTGCAAAATAATAGCACATTATGAAAGACTTGCCTTAGAACGAAGCCCTTCAGCGGCACGCGGTCAGTGCTGACAGGGCTCCTATCTTCACCCGGTCCTCCTTCCAGATTCGTGGGCTTCAGCTGTTTGGCCGAGCTGCGATGGCGTCACTCATGCGCATGCACGCAGGAGTCACGGCCGCGGCGAGGCTCTCTCAATGGACGGCACACTGTCCATCGAGAGCGCAGTGCACTTGCGCCGGTGATGTCACAGACTGCTAATACGATGCACATTTAGGAGATATTTACTGTACCTACAGGTAAGGTAGGTACTAGTAAACAAGGTAGGCTTTACTACCACTTACAGGACCGCTATACTTAACAATTCATGTAGGGCTGATACCGCTGACAATGCCACTTGCCTGGCCTGTGCAGCCAGTTCTGGTTTCTCCTACAAAGCAGGTGCACACGGCCCTCTCTCTCATATTAGGTCATCATATGGAATGCTGGACAAAGAAAGCAAAGCCAAAATATTTACAAAATGGGCAGCTTTAGCCCCGGCCAGCTCACGGGATTCTCATGAATATTACAAAATGGTCATCTGCAGTTCTATTTGGTCACTACAAAAGCAGCGGTTTAGATCTTCTCACCTGTTTCAGACTGGCAATGTATCGTGTGATGTACTCCACGGTCACGGGGTCTTCTACTGTCAGTCTGTGGCTCTGACACTCCACCCGTGCCCGATTTATAACTATTCGTGCATCGGCTGTGAGACCTACAAAGGAAATGACGCGTTTACTAGTTTTCTATAAACTTCCATTCGGTTGGTTGCTAGAAAAAGACTGAAAGTGTACCTCAACCCAAAAACAAAACTGTATCACTCCTTATCTATGGTGGCTGTGTTAGCTTTCTTTTTTGCTTTCTTTTCACCTGGTGGTCCTGTCAGTAACACACCTCTTGTCCTAAGGTGACAATGCTTACTCAATGAATGGTCACCCTAGGACAGGAAGTGTTGTAGGACTACAGAACATCTCCCCCTTTCCATCTCTATAACAAAAGGAGGGAGGTGTTCAGTAACTAATGGAGATCAGCATTGTCACCCTAGAAGAGGTAGTGTTGTAGAACTACATAACATCGCCCCCTTTCCATCTATATAATAAAGTTCTGTAACTATTGGGGAGCAGCATTGTCACCCTAGAAGAGGTAGTGTTGTAGAACTACATAACATCTCCCCCTTTCCATCTATATAACAAAGTTCTGTAACTATTGGGGAGCAGCACAGTCACCCTAAAAGATGAAGTGTTATAGAGATGGAAGGGGGGAGATGTTTTGTAATCCTACGACACTTCATCTTTTAGGGTGACTGTGCTGCTCCCCAAAAGTTACAGAACTTTGTTATATAGATGGAAAGGGGGCGATGCTATGTAGTTCTACAACACTACCTCTTCTAGGGTGACAATGCTGCTCCCCAATAGTTACAGAACATGAATGCTGCTCCCTATTAGTTACAGAACTTTATTATATAGATGGAAAGGGGGCGATTTTATGTAGTTCTACAACACTACCTCTTCTAGGGTGACAATGCTGCTCCCCATTAGTTACAGAACACCTTCCCCCTTTGTTGTAGAGATAGAAGGGGGGAGATGTTTTGTAACCCTACAACAAAGGGGGAAGGTGTTTTGTATCTAATAGGGAGAAGCATTGTCACCCTAGAAGAGGTAGTGTTGTAGAACTACATAACATCGCCCCCTTTCCATCTATATAATAAAGTTCTGTAACTATTGGGGAGCAGCATTCATGTTCTGTAACTATTGGGGAGCAGCATTGTCACCCTAGAAGAGGTAGTGTTGTAGAACTACATAACATCGCCCCCTTTTCATTTATATAACAAAGTTCTGTAACTATTGGGGAGCAGCATTCATGTTCCGTAACTAATGGGGATCAGCACAGTCACCCTAAAAGATGAAGTGTTGAAGGATTACAAAACATCTCCCCCCTTCTATCTTTATAACAAAGGGGGAAGGTGTTCTGTAACTAATGGGGAGCGGCACTGTCACCCTAGAAGAGGAAGTCTTGTAAAACTACAGAACATCTCCCCCTTTTCATCTCTATAAGTTTTGTAACTAATGGGGAGCAGCATTGTCACCATAGAACAGGACGTGTTGCCGGACTACAGAACATCTCCCCCTTGCCATAACAGAGCGGAAATGTGCTGTAGTACACACTCAAACCTGGAAACAATGCAAATCAATAGGATTGCAGCAGAGAACACAGGAAGTCATCATCTCACAAGGCTTCTGGCAGGATTAACAGATACTTTTTGCACTCATTGAATATATAGTAAAACATTTTCAATGATATATTTAACAGACCAAAAGGGAACAAATAAGAGAAAATCATCTTCTGAATTTACAGAACGTTTAATCGGTAAGCTCCAGGGGTAAGAGCAGGACATGGTATAAAGTGGTATAGGTTGCTACTTGGTAGTAAGGATGTATTAGATTTGTGTTCATTACCAGAAACCAATCACAATCCTCCTTTCAGCTTCTAATTTGTGGTAAGGACATGAATGAAATGAGCTTATTGGTTTACATTTACAGTTTTATTCCACACATGCACCTCCCTCCCTCCCTCCCTACATACCAGTTACATCAGCTAAGCAATTGTTATACTCTATGTTCATACCAGCAAAGGCCATGAAGACATTGTCATCCAGAGCGCAGATTTTACGCACTGTCCTCTCATCCTGAAGTTTGGCCACAGATTTCTTCTCCACTCCGAGCACCACAATCTCCTTTCCTCGTACCCCGACCTGCAGCACAGAACACAACATCAGACACCAATCCTAGCAGAACTCGTGCTGTGCCTACAAACTACAGTACCAGACTTGTCCTGAAGGTTGGGAAGTACCAGAAAATGTAGAATGTGACGTCATCCTCCCAACTCTCTACCTCAGCCATTCAGAGGAAGCCTTGCATTCATTGATAAAAATACAAGGCTTCCTGCTCATAGCCAAGCAGTGTTCAGACAAACTTGATGAAGTCCCAGCAGCAGAGGGTAAGTCCCCATGCTGCTACCAAAACGCATGCTTCATACATTATTCAGTATTCAGCCCTGACAGCAATTAGTGAAAGGAATTGTTCATTTGGGCCAGCTTGGAAGTGAAGGGAAAGTAAAGCTGGGCTTTAAATCTCACGCCCCTGAACTCCTACAGCCCTTGGGGATATACCCTCCCCAGGAGGACATTCCCCCTTCCTTTCCTTTTCCAATGACAGTAGTCAGTAGTAGAGAGTGAGGCATCTACTGTCTGCTCATTTTGAAGTGTGACCACAGACTCCAAGTACCACAATTTTCCAGACGTATTTAACAGGACAGGAAATTAGGAAAAATATCCCCAACAGGAACCTCCTGTCCTGGTGACACTCAAAGCTCTGAGCAGCTTCTCCACCCTGAAGTGCATGCTACTTTCCATGGAGACTCCACTGAGGAACCAAAGATGTTGTCCCTTTAACCATAGATGGTGTCCCTTTAACCAGAGATGGTGTCCCTTTGACCAGAGATGGTGTCCCTTTGACCAGAGATGGTGTCTCTTTGACCATAGATGGTGTCCCTTTAACCATAGATGGTGTCCCTTTAACCATAGATGGTGTCCCTTTGACCATAGATGGTGTCCCTTTGACCATAGATGGTGTCCCTTAACCATAGATGGTGTCTCTTTGACCATAGATGGTGTCCCTTTAACCATAGATGGTGTCCCTTTAACCATAGATGGTGTCTCTTTGACCATAGATGGTGTCTCTTTGACCATAGATGGTGTCTCTTTGACCATAGAGGTTGTCCCTTTGACCACAGATGGTGTCCCTTTGACCATAGATGTTGTCCCTTTGACCATAGATGTTGTCCCTTTGACCATAGATGTTGTCTCTGTGGCGACACAGGAAGCTGCACCTTGGTACTGACTGAAAAAACCTGTCATATGTTGGCAGAGGAGTCCACATCTGAACAAAAGTGCTGGTAATGGTGTGTTGTGTTGGTAGGGATCATAGGTAACTGAAGAAGATGATCCAGTTAGTAACCTTAATGAAGCAATATTTGATAAATTACTATTGCCCATATTGGTTGGATTTTCCTTTTCTGATCCATGGTCCCCACCATCGCCATCACCATGTTCATGTACAGGCGTCTCTGCAAGCATACGTTTTTTTTTTTTTCAATTAATACCAAGTTGCCTTTATCATCTTGGTGATCTTCAAGCAGGCCAAGGGATTGGCATCAAGCATACATGTAACTTTCATCCTCTTCTGTATGGGGACAGCTATATTCTCCACCATTGCAGTTACTAGTTTGTGGATATCATTATCTTTTAGGCTTTTGCAACAACAGATGTCAGTCATGTCACTTCCTTCTTCACACATCTTGTCTTAACACAATACGATAACACTAAGGCAGCCTTTTCACCATAGAGGAACCCTTGAAATAATTTTCAGGTCTCAGGGAACCCTACTAAAACCACTTCAACAGCGCTCAGCGGGAAAATGTCCCTTACATTGGTGACCAGCGGGAAAATGTACCTTCCATTGGTGACCAGTGGGAAGAATTACCCCTACATTGGAGGTCATTGGGAAAACATCCCTTACAATGGTGACCACTGGAAAGAATGCCCCTTATATTGGTGGACAGTGAGGAGAATGTCCCTTACACAATGGTGATTAGTGAGAAAAATGTCCCTTACATTGGTGACCAGTGGGAAGAATGCCACTTACATTGGGGACCAGTGGGAAGAATGTCCCTTACATTGGGGACCAGTGGGAAGAATGCCACTTACATTGGGGACCAGTGGGAAGAATGCCACTTACATTGGGGACCAGTGGGAAGAATGCCACTTACATTGGGGACCAGTGGGAAGAATGCCACTTACATTGGGGACCAGTGGGAAGAATGCCACTTACATTGGGGACCAGTGGGAAGAATGCCACTTACATTGGGGACCAGTGGGAAGAATGCCACTTACATTGGGGACCAGTGGGAAGAATGCCACTTACATTGGGGACCAGTGGGAAGAATGCCACTTACATTGGGGACCAGTGGGAAGAATGCCACTTACATTGGGGACCAGTGGGAAGAATGCCACTTACATTGGGGACCAGTGGGAAGAATGCCACTTACATTGGGGACCAGTGGGAAGAATGCCACTTACATTGGGGACCAGTGGGAAGATGCCACTTACATTGGGGACCAGTGGGAAGAATGCCACTTACATTGGGGACCAGTGGGAAGAATGCCACTTACATTGGGGACCAGTGGGAAGAATGCCACTTACATTGGGGACCAGTGGGAAGAATGCCACTTACATTGGGGACCAGTGGGAAGAATGCCACTTACATTGGGGACCAGTGGGAAGAATGCCACTTACATTGGGGACCAGTGGGAAGAATGCCACTTACATTGGGGACCAGTGGGAAGAATGCCACTTACATTGGGGACCAGTGGGAAGAATGCCACTTATATTGGGGACCAGTGGGAAGAATGCCACTTATATTGGGGACCAGTGGGAAGAATGCCACTTATATTGGGGACCAGTGGGAAGAATGCCACTTATATTGGGGACCAGTTGGAAGAATGCCATTTATATTGGGGACCAGTGGGGAAATGTCCCTTACATTGGTGACCAGCAAGAAGAAATACCCCTACATTGGAGGTCATTGGGAAAGCGTCCCTTATAATGGTGACCAGTGGAAAGAATGTCCCTTACATTGGAGGTCAGTGAGAAGAATATCCCTTACATTGGTGGTCAGTGGGAAGAATGTCCCTTACATTGGAGGTCAGTGGAAAGAATGCCCCTTATATTGGTGACCAGTGAGAGGAATGTCCCTTACATTGGTGATCAGTGGGAAGAATGTCCCTTACATTGGAGGTCAGTGGGAAGAATGTCCCTTACATTGGAGGTCAGTGGGAAGAATGTCCCTTACATTGGAGGTCAGTGGGAAGAATGTCCCTTACATTGGAGGTCAGTGGGAAGAATGTCCCTTACATTGGAGGTCAGTGGGAAGAATGTCTCTTACATTGGGGGTCAGTGGGAAGAAATTCCCTTACATTGGTGGTCAGTGGGAAGAATGCTCCTTACATTGGGGGTCAGTGGGAAGAATGTCTCTTACATTGGGGGTCAGTGGGAAGAATGTCCCTTACATTGGTGGTCAGTGGGAAGAATGTCCCTTACATTGGTGGTCAGTGGGAAGAATGTCCCTTACATTGGTGGTCAGTGGGAAGAATGTCCCTTACATTGTCAGCGGGAAGAATGTCCCTTACATTGGGGGTCAGCGGGAAGAATGTCCCTTACATTGGGGGTCAGCGGGAAGAATGTCCCTTACATTGGGGGGGTCAGTGGGAAGAATATCCCTTACATTGGTGGTCAGTGGGAAGAATGTCCCTTACATTGGGGTCAGTGAATGTTCCTTACATTGGTGGTCAGTGAGAGGAATGTCCCTTACATTGGGGGTCAATGGGAAGAGAATGTCCCTTACATTGGTGATCAGTGAGAAGAATGTCCCTTACATTGGGGGTCAATGGGAAGAATGTCCCTTACATTGGTGGTCAGTGGGAAGAATGTCCCTTACATTGGTGGTCAGTGGGAAGAATGTCCCTTACATTGGTGGTCAGTGGGAAGAATGTCCCTTACATTGGTGGTCAGTGGGAAGAATGTCCCTTACATTGGAGGTCAGTGGGAAGAATGTCCCTTACATTGGTGGTCAGTGGGAAGAATGTCCCTTACATTGGAGGTCAGTGGGAAGAATGTCCCTTACATTGGTGGTCAGTGGGAAGAATGTCCCTTACATTGGGGGTCAGTGGGAAGAATGTCCCTTACATTGGAGGTCAGTGGGAAGAATGTCCCTTACATTGGTGATCAGTGGGAAGAATGTCCCTTACATTGGAGGTCAGTGGAAAAATGTCCCTTACATTGGTGGTCAGTGGGAAGAATGCTCCTTACATTGGTGGTCAGTGGGAAGAATGTCCCTTACATTGGAGGTTAGTGGGAAGAATGTCCTTACATTGGTGGTCAGTGGAAGAATGTCCCTTACATTGGCGGTCAGTGGGAAGAATGTCCCTTACATTGGTGGTTAGTGGGAAGAATGTCCCTTACATTGGTGGTTAGTGGGAAGAATGTCCCCTTACATTGGAGGTCAGTGGGAAGAATGTCCCTTACATTGGTGGTTAGTGGGAAGAATGTCCCTTACAGGTTAGTGGGAAGAATGTCCCTTACATTGGGGGTCAGTGGGAAGAATGTCCCTTACATTGGGGGTCAGTGGGAAGAATGTCCCTTACATTGGCGGTCAGTGGGACGAACACTTGAAGGTTCCATAGAACTCTGGATTGAGAATGGCTGCTCTACAGGAAGCTGAATGACCTGGCTATACAGCTCGGCAGGATGTGTGAGAATCACAAGAGTAGCCACATTTACACCATGAAAGCTGTCCTTCAAAACTGGGTAGATGGTCCTGAGGACCACATCTACACACAGCAATGGTGTCACCTGAAATTAATATAACGTGCTGTCAGCTATGTCCTGTACCCGGAGATCTGGTGGGTTGCTAAGGTCAACAATTTCACTTCTCACCCAAAACCTTGGAGCTGTTGCCCATAGCAACCATATGCCATGTTTTCTGAGATCCAATTGGCTGCTAAGGGCAACAATTTCACCTCTCCCTTATCAGGCCAAGAGCCCCGACTATGTTGCCTATAGCAACCAGATGCCCTGAATTCCCTTCTCTGTTTCCAGATGCTAAGGACAACCGTTTCACTTCCCACCCATCAAGCTCAGAGGCCTGAAGCAGTTGCCCATAGCAACTGGATGCCCTGAATCTTGAGGTTTTAATTGGTTGCTAGGGGCACAAGCTTCTCTTCCCATACATCAGACCCAGCAACCTGGAGTGGTTGCCCACAACAACCAGGTGGCCTTTGTACTGAGCTCTAATTGGTTGCTAAGAGCAAGTTTCACTTCTCAGGCCCAGAGACCTGGAACTGTTGCCCATAGCAACCATTTGACCTCTATCATGAGAGCTCAACTCTGATTGGATGCTAAGGGCCCCATGTGTCTTCCCTCGTCCCTGGAAGCCCCCATTTTCCCCATGTGGGAGGGTATGTCGCCCTCCTTCCCTCCACAGAGAAGACTGAGCCCTCCTTACCGCCGTGGAGCCTTTCTTCACGGCCTCCTGGGCGTATTCCACCTGGAAGAGATGTCCGTCCGGGGAGAAGACGGTAATAGCTCGGTCGTAGCTCATTGTCACAGCGAACTCAGCCTGCTCACCAAACCGAAAGCTGCTCCTGAAAACAGCTCACTCATCCGCCTCCTATCCACAAATCCGACTTACGCCTCCAGCGCAGCGTAGTGCCTTGCCTGTACGCAGCGCTACGCTACGCAAACGGCGTAACCAAACCCCGCCCACGGGAACCTGCGCTACCCGGCGCTTACAGACAGGAAACCCGGCTCGTGGAGCGTACCAATACTGTCCAGGGGGCCTAAAATCTTCACCCCGCCACAGCACTGATGGTATACCCTCTTCTCCCGATCTTTGTATTTATTAAATAGTTTAAATAAAGCTTCTGTAGAAGTGAGCTGCAATCTGGACGGGGCGCTCCGTCGGATGGGGAATGGGTCATACCATTTGGCACCGTCTCCCCCCTGTCTGCTGCGTAGAATAAGAATCCTCTGGCTAGTAATAAGGGTGCAGATATTAGCAATATCTGGAATAATTTATTCTGCTCAGACACACGCAGGGCCAGAGGGGGGCAACCATGTCTGTGGCCTTTGCATCTGCCAGACCCAGAGGGAAAGGAGAAGTCACCCAGCAAACTATACAGAAGGTACAGGGGCTGCTGATGGTGGAGCAGGGCTGATGGCACCAGCTTTATTCTAGGGGGAGGAGGGGACATGCAGTGCCCATGTGCCATGCATATCATACACCAGACATAGCTGTGCCATCTGCATGATTGATGGCTGGCTGAATGACAAACATTGATTGCCACTTTACAATGGAAACATTTCCAATTCATACAGATTCATTCATATATATATACATGTATGTATGATCAATGGACTATATATATACATGTATGTATGTATGTATGTATGTATGATCAATGGACTATATATATACATGTATGTATATGTATGTATGATCAATGGACTATATATATACATGTATGTATGATCAATGGACTATATATATATGTCTGTATGACATACATACATACATATACATGTATGTATGATCAATGGACTACATATATACATGTATGTATGATCAATGGACTACATATATACATGTATGTATGATCAATGGACTATATATATATATATATATATATGTACATGTATGTATGTATGATCAATGGACTATATATATATATATACATGTATGTATGAGCAATGGACTATATATATACATGTATGTATGATCAATGGACTACATATATATTTATACATGTATGTATGATCAATGGACTATATATATACATGTATGTATGATCAATGGACTATATATATATACATGTATGTATGATCATTGGACTATATATATATATACATGTATGTGTGATCATTGGACTATATATATATATATACATGTATGTGTGATCATTGGACTATATATACATATATACACATGTGTGATCATTGGACTATATATATATCCACATGTATGTATGTATGTATGATCATTGGACTATATATATACATGTATGTGTGATCATTGGACTATATATATATATACACATGTATGTGTGATCATTGGACTATATATATATATATATATATATATATATACACATGTGTGATCATTGGACTATATATATATCCACATGTATGTATGTATGTATGTATGATCATTGGACTATATATACATGTATGTATGATCATTGGACTATATATATATATATATATATATATGTGTGTATATATATATATATATATGTATTGGACTATATGTATACCTGTTTATTGAACTATATATGCATATCATCATTGAGATATATACACACATATATATGATCATTGAGCTATATACATGTATATGCATGATCCTTTAGCTATACATATATGATCATTGAACTATATATATTTATATGCATGATCCTTGAGCTATATATATATGTGATCATTGAACTCTGTATATGCATGATCCCTGAGCTATATATATATATATATATATGATCATTGAACTCTGTATATGCATGATCCCTGAGCTATATATATATATGTGATCATTGAACTCTGTATATGCATGATCCCTGAGCTATATATATATGTGATCATTGAACTCTGTATATGCATGATCCCTGAGCTATATATATATGTGATCATTGAACTCTGTATATGCATGATCCCTGAGCTATATATATATATCATGTGTATATCATTGACCTCTGAGTATATGCATGATCCCTGAGCTATATATATATATGTGATCATTGAACTCTGTATATGCATGATCCTTGAGCTATATATATATATGTGATCATTGAACTCTGTATATGCATGATCCTTGAGCTATATATATATATGTGATCATTGAACTCTGTATATGCATGATCCTTGAGCTATATATATATATGTGATCATTGAACTCTGTATATGCATGATCCCTGAGCTATATATATATGTGATCATTGAACTCTGTATATGCATGATCCTTGAGCTATATATATATATATGTGATCATTGAACTCTGTATATGCATGATCCCTTGAGCTATATATATATATGATCATTGAACTCTGTATATGCATGATCCTTGAGCTATATATATATATATATAATCATTGAACTCTGTATATGCATGATCCTTGAGCTATATATATATGATCATTGAACTATATATATGTATATGCATGATCATTGAAGCCTGCCTGGGTGCCATAGTGAATGTTAATCACTTAAATGTCGTCTCTCAGATGTCATGTGCCTCCATGACAGTTGCAGCCATAGACAACACTTGAGTGCCTTCTTCATCCTTATCTGTGGATTAGGGGAGGAGGGTTCATGAATGACACTTAATATGTCACCACTGACTATGGCTGTTGCATTTCCTCCCACCTCGTTCTCAGATCAGAGAAGCCGGAATAGGGATCAGTGAGGGTGTACAATGTGAATGCTGCACAGTTGTGTCGGATTTCTTTCTATTTGAGATTCATCTCGGTAGTCTGTGTTGTTTTCATGCTGTTGCCTGTTCAATGTCAGTATGGTTGGTTAAAAGCAGAGCAGTGGTGAATGAGACTGAAGTTCTCTCTGCAGCCGGTTGCTTGGGATACGCATGTGGTTCTCATGTTTGATGTGGCTCAAACCAGCCTTGCAGGAAATGCTCAGTTCCTCTTGGTGACTTACGTGTCACATTTCCGCTAATCATGTTACAGAGGTTACTCATTCATGTCATTTATCTCGATGTTAAGTTTTGATTCTTCATGCTGGGTACGACCTGTGTGGGATCAAAGTCATGCATAAATTGGGGTCTATGCTTCAAACTAAACCCTCGGAAAAAAAAACCTTTCATTTAAATATATATTCCTCAATAGTTACAAAGGATATAAATATAATCTTTGTGCTTCAAATATCTTTGCTAACTTAGATATTACCTTGTAAACGTAGAAGTGATATCAGCCCAGCACTGTACATAGCCTGCGCAGAGAGCAGAGCTTTGGGAGGGGCACAGTGAGTCTGCCTACTACAGGTTGCCTGCAGAATACTACAGGAGGGGGCGGAGCCAAGACCAGTCACCCTGCACAAGGAGAGAGAGCAGCAGTGAGCGGTCTTTATTACCGGAAGCTGCTGTACAGAAGGAAAGTCTCACACTGGATTACTGCACAGATCTGGAAGAAAGGAGATCTGTTCTAATGAAAATACAGGGCAGCCATTGACAACCTGGCTGTATAAATACTTTAGTCTTGGTTCTACTGACTTCAGTACTTTTTAAGAAACTGACTTGCAATTCCTTATAATCTTCATACTAGCTCCTGGTCAGGGAATCAGAAAGTACTGAAGCTGTTGGATCAACATGACAGCCAGGTGTCAAGTATTTTCAAAAGGGGAGGCCAACCAAGGCAGCTGTCATACTTTCTCAATACAGATTTTCCTTAAAGTGGACCTTACATGGACCTTACAGGTCCATTTTTCCTGAATCCCCCCCACCCCAAGTCATAATGCTCAGCCAATGAACAAAAAAAAAAGCACACAATGACTTAATTTAATATGTATGGATACTGTTATCAGCAGCCAACCTCACATTAAAGGGGAGCTTTACCACCCCCCAGGTTAATTGTAAAATTAACCCCTTCCAATCTGGTATGTTGGGTTGAGATGGTTTAACATATTAGCCAGCTCGGCAAATCCAATGATGTCCCGATGTCTACCGGAAAACACCACCCTCCACGTCCCGTGCCGCCATCTTCTTTGTGGCACCATATACGTACATCATAAAATACAGTCCATAGGCAGGGTCATGGACCCATTTTTTTTTTTTTTCACCTGCTGCATGTTTCGAAGCTTTGCGCAGCTGTGTGCATGAGCCCACACAGTGCTGCAGATACTATATATTAAAAAAAAAAACCAAGACCAAGGCTTAGTTCACACCTACAAGAGCTTCCAATTGTGGGCATGTTTTCCATGCATAGGGCAGCTTATTCATGTCAATGGGCTGCTCTATGCGCAAGAAAGATGGAAAAATGGTGCTGTAGCTCCATACGGTTGACATGCATTTGCAGGTGTGTAGCATCACTGCATGTCTGCTAAATGGCAGCGCATTTCTCTGCATGTCAGGAAAGGACACGTTTGTGCACACATTCCTGATACGTAATGGTCTGAACATAATGTAAAGCTTTTACAATGTATGGAAGCACGTCCATGTGTCCTGGACTGCTGAGTGCCCAGGAGGTGGAAGTTGGAGCTTCTGATGCATATATTACACCACGAGAGAAGGAAGAACTTACATCCTACCTATTCACACGCATCCTACATATTCACACGCATCCTACATCCTAGGAACTATAGGAAATCTGGTTGCACTAGACTACACGGAACTCATGTTAAAGCCCCAGCTACATTTTTTTGCATTTATTTGAATTCCAGGTATGGATATTTTTTTACCTAGTTACCTTAGTCCAGCTTTGACCAATATATGTATGTGCCGTACCTCTGGGATCTCTACAGTAATTTCCACCTTCCATTGGGGATCCCCAGGTATGGATATTTTGTACCTAGTTGCCTTAGTCAAGATTGACCAATGTATGTATGTGCCGTACCTCTGGGTCTCTACAGTGATTTCCACCTTCCATTGGGGATCCCACAAGTATGGATATTTTATACCTAGTTACCATAGTCCAGCTTTGACCAATGTATGTATGTGCCGTACCTCTGGGATCTCTACAGCGATTTCCACCTTCCTCTGGGGATCCCACAGGTATGGATATTTTTTACCTAGTTACCTTAGTCGAGCTTTGACCAATGTATGTATGTGCCGTACCTCTGGGATCTCTACAGTGATTTCCACCTTCCATTGGGGATCCCACAGGTATGGATATTTTTTACCTAGTTACCTTAGTCCAGCTTTGACCCAATGTATGTATGTGATGTACCTCTGGGATCTCTACAACGATTTCCTCCTTCTACTGGGGATCCCACAGATATGGGATATTTTTTACCTAGTTACTTTAGTCCAGCTTTGACCCAATGTATGTATGTGCCGTACCTCTGGGATCTCTACAGCGATTTCCACCTTCCATTGGGGATCCCACAGGTATGGATATTTTTTACCTAGTTACCTTAGTCCAGCTTTGACCATTGTATGTATGTGCTGTACGTTTGGGATCTCTACAGTGATTTCCACCTTCTATTGGGGATCCCACAGGTATGGATATTTTTTACCTAGTTGCCTTAGTCAAGATTGACCAATGTATGTATGTGCCGTACCTCTGGGATCTCTACAGCGATTTCCACCTTTCATTGGGGATCCCACAGGTATGGATATTTTTTACCTAGTTACCTTAGTCCAGCTTTGACCATTGTAAGTATGTATGTGCCGTACCTCTGGGATCTCTACAGTGATTTCCACCTTCCATTGGGAATCCCACAGGTATGGATATTTTTTACCTAGTTACCTTAGTCCAGCTTTGACCCAATGTATGTATGTGCTGTACGTTTGGGATCTCTACAGTGATTTCCACCTTCCATTGGGAATCCCACAGGTATGGATATTTTTTACCTAGTTGCCTTAGTCAAGACTGACCATTGTAAGTATGTATGTGCCGTACCTCTGGGATCTCTACAGTGATTTCCACCTTCCATTGGGGATCCCACAGGTATGGATATTTTTTACCTAGTTACCTTAGTCCAGCTTTGACCATTGTATGTATGTGCTGTACGTTTGGGATCTCTACAGTGATTTCCACCTTCTATTGGGGATCCCACAGGTATGGATATTTTTTACCTAGTTGCCTTAGTCAAGATTGACCAATGTATGTATGTGCCGTACCTCTGGGATCTCTACAGTGATTTCCACCTTTCGTTGGGGATCCCACAGGTATGGATATTTTTTACCTAGTTACCTTAGTCCAGCTTTGACCATGTAAGTATGTATGTGCCGTACCTCTGGGATCTCTACAGTGATTTCCACCTTCCATTGGGGATCCCACAGGTATGGATATTTTTTACCTAGTTACCTTAGTCCAGCTTTGACCCAATGTATGTATGTGCCGTACCTCTGGGATCTCTACAGTGATTTCCACCTTCCATTGGGGATCCCACAGGTATGGATATTTTTTACCTAGTTACCTTAGTCCAGCTTTGACCATTGTATGTATGTGCCGTACCTCTGGGATCTCTACAGTGATTTCCACCTTCCATTGGGGATCCCACAGGTATGGATATTTTTTACCTAGTTACCTTAGTCCAGCTTTGACCCAATGTATGTATGTGCCGTACCTCTGGGATCTCTACAGTGATTTCCACCTTCCATTGGGGATCCCACAGGTATGGATATTTTTTACCTAGTTACCTTAGTCCAGCTTTGACCATTGTATGTATATGCTGTACCTCTGGGATCTCTACAGTGATTTCCACCTTCCATTGGGGATCCCACAGGTATGGATATTTTTTACCTAGTTACCTTAGTCCAGCTTTGACCCAATGTATGTATGTGCTGTACGTTTGGGATCTCTACAGTGATTTCCACCTTCCATTGGGGATCCGACAGGTATGGCACATACTGTACATACATACATTTGCCAAAACTCAACTAAGGTAACTAGGTTAAAATATTCATGCCTGGAATGCAGCTTTAAAAAAAATATCTCCCCCCCAAAAAAAAAAAAATCTTTTTCCATGAAATAACTTTTTTTTTCCTGTTTCCTTAAATAGATGCTGGATGAGAACCATCATCTGATACAATGTATAATGGATTATCAAAGCAAAGGGAAGACTGCCGAGTGCACACAGTAAGTACTTAGGCAGCCATAGCAAGCATGCATAGAAATGAACTACATGAAATGTGAACAATGCCATGGACTAGAATTTAACACTAATTTAAGCGCACTAAAAATGCTCAAGTGCAAATGTGACCTGAGGATTTGTATATCAAGGTAATCATGGGACTGAGCACTTTCGCCTCCTTTTCTAAAAGAAAAAATAAAAACTGTACTCATGGAAATGGAAATGCAGCTGGATAGACATTGTACCTAAAACCTCTGTTTTAATACTCTTACCTCCACTAAGTAGCTCTGGAGGGCATCTGAATATGACCATGCAGTGCAGTTGGCACCAGAGTTAAACCTAGTGCACTCTATAATCAGCACTCAGTTCCAGCCTTGGTCAGACACGCCCACCCCCCTGTTCTGAGGGGTTTGGCTGTCACTTAGCTATGCTAGCACAGAATACTGGAGTTGGTATTTTAAGTGGGTTTACTAAGCAAAGAGTTTATGGCAAATGTATGTATGTACAATTTCTATTGCACCTTGGGGGGGACCTTGAAATTTCAATAAATATATATGTTTATGTTTGTGTTTTGCATTTGATTAGATATCAGCAGATCCTGCACAGAAATCTGGTCTATCTGGCCACTATAGCAGACTCCAATCAGAACATGCAATCTCTGCTTCCTGCGGTGAGTAGAGAAGTCCACACATACCTCCATCTTTAGGCAAGCCATAGATGATGCGATTTTCTTCCCTGCAACCATGGGTTGCAGGAAAGAAAATTGCTTGATACCCAAATCAACAGTCAGCGGAGCTATTGTGTTCTGCCGGTGGGGGGAGCCTTCTCCACCGGTAAAACACAAAGAGGCTATAGCCGCCAGCAGTAATCGTATGTAAAAAATCAGGCTGGTTGGACTGAAGCCGATCGATGGATCGACTTCAGTACAACCAGCCTGCCCATAGATGGATCGAATCTCAGCTTTTTCCTGAACCGGGCCAAGATTCGATCCATCTATGGCCTGCTTTACTTCAGCTATAGCTAAGGTATTGATGCCTTAAATCGGAGTTCTAGATGGACTGTGAAAAAATAAAAGTCATCAGCTGCAAAAATTGTAGCTGCTGACTTTTAAAAAACAGCCACTTACCTGTCCCACGATCTTGCGGTGTGCTCCCCACAGCCCGTTTCACCAGCCGGCTGGTGTTCCAGGCGTCGGTATCCTCAGTGTGGGCACCCGGCTGTGACAGCTTGCGGCTTCATACCCGGGTGCCCACTGCACATGCCTGAGTAGAGATGCGTTTTGTGAATGGCCCTGTAGTCTTCTGGGATCTGTCGCATGTCCCAGAACACTACGGGGGGAGGACAACCTCCACTTCTGATCGCCTAGACGAATGCAGCGGACGTGGGAGCGGGTACCTGTCAATTTTGGGTACCCGCTCTCCAAAGGTGCCAATTCTTAATGGGGAGCGGAGGACCAGTCTTTAAAGCGGAACTTCCCCTTTTCTTCATGATAGGGGTCCTTAAAGCGGAGCTCCACCGAAAACGGGAAGTTCCGCTTTAAAGACTGGTCCTCCGCTCCCCATTAAGGATTGGCATCTTTGGAGAGCGGGTACCCGAGGTGGAGCTCCGCTTTAAGGACCCCTATCATGAAGATATGGTATTCTGATATGTGCATGTGGTTAACACATGTATCAATATTGTCCAGTCCATTACTTATTGTCTACAGACCTTTATTTATTTCACATGCAGCCAAGCTGACCAGAAAAAGAGACCGCGTTGAGACAAACTGCAACATTGTAACACTGTCATTGGGACTTGAATAGTTACAGAAACAATTTTTTTTTTTTTTTTAAAGCAGATTTGTACCATGAAAATAGTTGGTTATAGCTGTACCCAGGGGTGGACTGACCATTTGGAAACTCGGGCACTGTCCGAGGGCCCGGGGTCAGTAGGGGGCCCCATGAGATGCCCCTGGTACCTTTTTCATAGGCTTTTTTGAGTTTGGGCAAGGACACAGGGGCCCCATGATCCCCTATTGCCCGGGGGCCTCATGAGCTTTCAGTCTGCCCCTGGCTGTACCCCTCCCCCACCAGTGTCATAGTTTGTCGTGGGCACTTTGGTTGCACAGCTTGGCCTACACACACAGATGTGCAATAAAAATACAAATAAATGCATTTGAAATGCAAAATAAAATGGAAGTTGTGTACTGACTGATGTGTATATATATATATATATATATATATATATATATATATATATATATATATATATATATATATATGCTATCATTAGATGTATTAACCCCATTCCATTAACAAAACCCCTTTGCGATAGTGCTCCTAGCGGCCTCTACTTGGCTTCCATAAAGTGGCATGGGGGGTTTTAAAAAAAAAAAAAGTGTTTGATCCTTAGTTACTCAAATGGCTTTATAGTAAACAAAGTGATTGAATTCCTTTTTTTTCAGGAAGGATGTGCGCAAATACAGTCACCTACAGCAACCAATAAAAATGCATCTGTCACTGATCTTTAGCAAACTGAAATGTAATTGGTTGGCGTGGGTCGCTCTGCATTGCACGTTATCATGAATCATTGAGTACTTCTTCATTGTAAATGTTTGGCAGCTATTTCTTTTTATAGGTATTTATCTGGGGGCTGAAAAATTACATAGCTCTTTACATTTTGCGTCTTTACATCAGTCCACGACCTCAAGGAACTTACAATCGCATGTCCCTGTCACATATTTTATTATTTTGACAATCAATGTCTCAGTTCATCGTTTTTCATTTTGCCTGCCATCTTATAAAAGTGTTTGTTAACATGTAGAAGTTTATGTACTTGACAAGGCAAAATGAGGCTCAAAACGTACCTATAGTGCTAATACAGTGTGATTCAAAAAGGATGGTGCAAACACTATTCATAACAGAGGGAACCTAACACACCCGTATTATTAACATGAAGAGGCACTATGGGGGGATTTATTAAAATGGGAGCACTCAGAATCTGGTGCAGCTGTACATGGGAGCCAATCAGCTTCTAACTTTAGCTTGTTCAATGAAGCTTTGACAATAAAACCTGGAAGCTGATTGGTTTCTCAGCAGAGCTGCACCAGATTTTGCACTCTCCAGTTTTAGTAAATAATCCCCTATGGATCAGCTCCGCATAGAAACCAATCAGCTTCCAGGTTTTACTGTCAAAGCTTCATTGAACAAGCTGAAGTTGGAAGGTGATTGGCCGCCATGCACGGCTGCACCAGATTCTGAGTGCTCCGCTTTACCTCTGCGCTTCAAATGTTCTACGTGATCCCCTTTTGTTGACACCACAGGTGATTACCATTTACCAGTGTCACTGGGTTCTCCTACCTGGACATGATTACAGAGTGGCTTGTGGCAAAGATGCCCAACCTAGGGGGTTATTTACGAAGATTACATGATGCAAAATCTGGTGCGGCTCTGCATAGAAACTAATCAGCTTCCAGGTTTTATTGCTAACACTTAAAGTGTTACTAAACCCACAACAGTACAATCAGTCTGTATATGCAGTAAAGCATGCTTGTTATACTCACTGTGGGACCTTTCTGCATTGTGTAAAAAGGCTGTTTGATCCTGTCTTCTCTGCCCCTCCTCTTGGTGAAATGACCACCTGATATAGACTGAACCCGTGGTCACATGCACATGATTAGTTTGGTGTGTATTGCGGGAGAAGTTTTTTTTTTTTCTTGGGAGGGTGCATGTGATCAGCACAGGGCCAAACAGCCCTGTCCAGTCAGAGGGTCAGATGTTTCACATCCTCCTAGAGAAGAAAGAAAACTCCTCCTACAAGCTTTAACCAGTGCTCTGCTGATGAGAAAAGGTATTTAGCAGTTTATATTTGGTAAAATAATTGCATTTCCATGTTGTGTGTACTGTGGGAGACCAGATATAGTGAATGCGGGGTCCGTGGAGACCAGATAGTAGTGAATGCAGGGTCCGGGGAGACCAGATATAGTGAATGCAGGGTCCGGGGAGACCGGATATAGTGAATACCGGGTCCGGGGAGAGCGGATATAGTGAATGCAGGGTCCGGGGAGACCGGATATAGTGAATGCAGGGTCCGTGGAGACCAGATATAGTGAATGCGGGGTCCGGAAAGACCAGATATAGTGAATGCAGGGTCCGGGGAGACCGGATATAGTGAATGCGGGGTCCGGGGAGACGGATATAGTGAATGCAGGGTCCCGGGGGGAGAGCGGATATAGTGAATGCGGGGTCCAGGGAGAGCGGATATAGTGAATGCAGGGTCCAGGGAGACCAGATATAGTGAATGCAGGGTCCGGGGAGACCGGATATAGTGAATGCGGGGTCCGGGGAGACCTGATATAGTGAATGCAGGGTCCGGGGAGAGCGGATATAGTGAATGCGGGGTCCAGGGAGAGCGGATATAGTGAATGCGGGGTCCAGGGAGAGCGGATATAGTGAATGCAGGGTGCGGGAAGACCGGATATAGTGAATGCAGGGTCCGGGGAGACCAGATATAGTGAATGCAGGGTCCGGGGATAGCAGATTTAGTGAATGCAGGGTCCGGGAAGACCGGATATAGTGAATGCGGGGTCCGGGGAAGACCGGATATAGTGAATGCAGGGTCCGGGGAGACTGGATATAGTGTGCAGGGTCGGGGAGATTGGATATAGTGAATGCAGGGTCTGGGGGAGACCAGATATAGTGAATGCAGGGTCCGGGGAGACCAGATATAGTGAATGCAGGGTCCGGGGAGACCGGATATAGTGAATGCAGGGTTCGGGGAGACTGGATATAGTGAATGCAGGGTTCGGGGAGACTGGATATAGTGAATGCAGGGTCCAGGGAGACCAGATATAGTGAATGCAAGGTCCGGGGAGAGCAGATATAGTGAATGCGGGGTCCGGGGAGAGCAGATATAGTGAATGCGGGGTCCGGGGAGACCAGATATAGTGAATGCAGGGTCCGGGGGAGACCGGATATAGTGAATGCAGGGTCCGGGGAGACCGGATATAGTGAATGCAGGGTCCGGGGAGACCGGATATAGTGAATGCAGGGTGCTGGGGAGACCAGATATAGTGAATGTAGGGTCCGGGGAGACCAGATATAGTGAATGCAGGGTCCGGGGAGACTGGATATAGTGAATGCGGGGTTCGGGGAGACCAGATATAGTGAATGCAGGGTCCGGGGAGACCGGATATAGTGAATGCAGGGTCCAGGGAGACCAGGATATAGTGAATGCAGGGTCCGGGGAGACCAGATATAGTGAATGTAGGGTCCGGGGAGAGCAGATATAGTGAATGCAGGGTCCGGGGAGAGCAGATATAGTGAATGCAGGGTCCTGGGATTAGTATCACTTTAATTAAACAAACTGCAGTTAGAAGCTGATTGGCTACCATGCACATCTGCACCAGATTCTGAGTGCTCCAGTTTTAGTAAATCTTTCAGCAGGATGGCGCTCCTCTTCAGGATCACCAATGTCATTCTGGCCTCCACAATCGCCAGAACTAACACCCTGCGACTGCTTTCTGTGGGGGTACATTAAGGACTTGGTGTATGTCCCCCCCCATACCACAGGACCTGTATGACCTGAGATGACACATCACAGAAGCAGTGGAGTCAGTGTCCAAGGTACATGCTGTCACGAGTCTGGACAAAACTGGAGTGCCGTCTTGACATCTGTTGTGTTACCAACGGGGCTCTCATCAACCATTCGTAGTTCAGAGGTAAAACTTGGACAGTTAGTGTGTCTCTGTATGTTAATAAAGTTGTGTTAGGTTCATTCCGTTATGAATAAATCAGCTTTACTTTTGCGTCATCCTTTTTGAATCACACTGTATATTCAGTAAACTGTCACCTGCATTGAAAAGCAGGTATGAACCACTTCCTTCTCGAGCAAACCCTTGGCTCTCTATTGTGCATGCTACTGTAGTCCTGGGCTTTGGCCTGCCTGCTTCCCCTTGGCTGTAACCTATCACCATGATCAGCGGTTTGCCTATCCAAAAGGGAGGGCACAAGAGGGAGCTGGCCAAGATTTGTGTAAGAGGGCACCTGGGCTTATAGGACTTCTGAGAGCTGACATGCAGATACTAGCCATTTTGCCTTGCAGCGTTGGGACCCTCGGTTTGAATCCCAACTAGGATACTACTTGAATGGAGTTTTCATGTTCTTCCTGTGCTTGTGTGTGGTTTCCCCCAGGTACATCGATTTCCCCCCACACTCCTGCTTTGCTTATTTGTCTCCTGTCTAAACTATCTCTAGTATGGCAGATATGTGGCCATTATTATTATTATTATACAGGGTTTATATAGCGCCAACAGTTTGCTCACCTCTTTACAATATAAAGGGAGACAATACAGCAACAATACAGTACAATACAAAAGGGTTAAGAGGGCCCTGCTCCTTGGAGCTTACAATCTAGGAGGGAGGGGCTGGTGGTACAAAAGGTAATAAGTGTGGGGGATGGACTGGTAGGAAGAATAGAAGATTCCGTTACTAGCTGAAGGCAGCATAGGCTTCCCTGAAGAGATAGGTTTTCAGAGATTGCCTAAAAGTGAACAGAGTAGGAGATAGTCGGATAGATTGGGGTAGAGAGTTCCAGATGATGGGGGAGGCTCTGGAGAAGTCCTGGAGACGAGCATGGGAGGAGGAGTAAGGGAGCTAGAGAGCAGGAGGTCATGGGAGGACCGTAGAGGATGGTTTGGGTGACATTTGGAGACAAGATTGGTGATGTAATTTGGGGCAGAGTTATAAATGGCTTTATATGTTATTGTTAATGTTTTGAATTTTGTTCGTTGGGCAATGGGAAGCCAGTGGAGGGATTGGCAGAGAGGGGTGGCAGATACAGAACGGTTAGTAAGGTGGATGAGTCTGGCAGCAGCATTCTTGATAGACTGAAGAGAGGATAGCCTGCGATGAGGTAGGCCAATGAGGAGGGAGTTACAATAGTCAAGGCCAGAGATAACCAGGGAGGGAATAAGTTGCTTAGTGGTTTCCGAGGTTAAGAACGGGTGTATCTTGGAGACGTTGCGGAGGTGAAGTCTACAAGATTTGGACAGTGATTGGATTTGGGGCTGAAAGGACAGATGGGAGTCTACGATTACACCTAGTACCCTGGCATGAGGGGAGGGACTGATGGTTGTATTATTTATCTTGATGGAGAAGTAAGGGGAGGGTTCCTTGCTCCCCTTCCTAGGGGGTAGGGGTTTCTTTTCGGGAGAGTCCCCCCACCTAGTCGTTGGTTGGCTTCAGCTGATCATGAAGTGCATAGGCCATCAGGACCTTTTGTTAGGTGAAGCTGAGTGTGCCCTAACCTTGTCAAGAGTCTTGCACCTCACGGGTCCAGGGAGAGGTCCTTCCCCTTCAGGAGGAGACCAAAGACGCATCGTAGAGCACTTTATCTGTGCTTGTTCACATACACTTTTTTGATTCATTTTGGAGTTTTGTTTTTGCGAACCGCGCCATGGGCTTGAAAAAGAAAGAAATAAAGACTGTGTGGCCCTTAGGTTCCTTCCTCCCCTGCCTTGGGGGGTCTCTCTTCGGGACAGCCCTCACCTAGTACTATGTAGCTGGTCATGAGCAGAGACGTCTGCCAGGCCTTTTGGCTAGAAGGACCAGAGTGCCTTGTCACGGTCACAAGCCTTGTGCCTTGGGGGGCCAAGGAAGGGAACAGTGACCTACCCAGTGCATTTTTTTTGTGTGTTCACATATTCACTTGGTGTTTGTAGGCGCAAAAAAAAAAACAAAACAGTGTATGTATATGCGTGTGAGATTGTAAGTTCCTTAGGGGCTGGCACTGATGTGAACGGACAATATGTAAAGAACTGCGTTTTTGACGCTAAATAAATACAGTATGTGCTTACTACAAGCTGTAGGCTTCATGCACACGACAGGGGGTACAGGGGGTCATACAGCACACGGAGTCTGCATGATCATTCCACCAGGACCTGCCACCACTGTGTACAGCCGTCCATTGAGATGAATTAGAAGATGCGACCGTGTGTGGTTATGCGCCGGGATAGCATACGCCGCGCATGGATGTACACCAGCCGTAACAGGGTGACCGCTGACAGGTAACGTAAATAACATTGATTATCTCGTTACAACGGGAACCTGAAAGTGGGTGGGATGTATTGGGCAGCAAGTAAACATGTTGTCTCTTATAATTCATCTCAATGGACGGCTGTAAGCGGAGGCAGCAGGTCCTGGGAGAGTGACTACGCAGGCTGAGCACGATGCGCACGATGAAGGGAATGAATATATGTATATATCTTTATTCCATCAATGCATGCTAATGTTTTGTAAACCTTCTTTCTGTGTATAGTTCACATATATGAAGAGAACAGCCATAGCGCAGTAGACGTAGAATAGAGAAACCTAGTTGTCTTTGTGTTTGCATCCTTTTGTCTGTTGCCCAGTGCCGTTTTTTTTTTTTTTTTTTTTTTTGCCTGTGAAATGACATAGCTTTATTTGCAGCCGCCAGCGCAGAACATAAACCTGGGCCCTGGAGGGATGAGCCAAACAGGCCCCAGTCAGACCCTCCACTCACAGGGCAACCTGAGTGACGCACTGGGTGCCAGCCTGCCGCCCTCCTCCCTTATGCAGAACCAGATCAGCAACGGTGAGGCCTGTCTCTGATGTGTTACAGTTGCCTAGCAACCGAGGTGCAAATGCTATGTGTATGTGAAAATCCAGTCTGTGAGGGGGCTCGTCAAAAAGACCCTTTGTTATAAAGGAAATGAACAAACGCAGGCATGTCCTCCATTTTTTTGGCAAATTTCAGAGCTTGTGTAGTACCATGGCGCATAAAAAAAAAAGATCTCGCTGTAACCTACAAGATGGCAGTGGAAGTCTCATTTCCCATGTCTGTCAGGTGGCAGTAAGCCTTTTCTGAGAGAAGTACCTTGGAAGGAAATGGAAGGATAGCACTGGGACCATAGGGCTATCCTACAGTCATAGGAGTTGTAGTAGTATCTGGATTCTGGGCTGGCAGCATCTCCATGCCAAAGGATTTCCACAGTACCCTTGGTCTTTAATTTAATGGACCTGAGACTGAAAGGCCACACCAGGGGTGTGCAGAACATGTGTGTCAAATCCAAGCGTTTTTGGGTGCCCAAGAGGCACATGTGCAGCATCCAGTTAGGTGGTGGGCCATCAAGAGACTCTGTCACTTTGCCTCCCCAACCCACTTATACTCTCCTTCACCACACTGCCCTGCTGCTCCATTGCTCAGTTGAACCACCATCATACCTGGTTCTTCTGGGCAATGTGGAGCTAGGCCCTTCTCCCAGAATGCAGTGTTCAGGCCTGAACTGCAAAGGTGAATATAAATTGGTCAGATGTTGAGCCATTAAGAGACTTGCCTCCTTGACTCTTTTACTTTCCTTCTCTGCACTATACACACTGCGCCATCGATCAATTGAAGCACCTAGTTCTTCTGGGCATGGTGGAGCATGAGACTTCCTCCCATGGTGTGGTTCTCAGGCCTGAACATCCAAGGTAAATGGATCAGGCTGTAGGCAATCAAGAGACTCTTTTGCCTCCCTGACCCACTTTTACTCTCCTTCTCTGCACTGCCCCACTGCTGCATTGCACAGTTGATGCACTAGCACAAATGGTTCTTCTGGACATGGTGAATCTTGGGACCTAGTCTCAGGATGCAGTGCTCAGGTTTGAATAGTCAGGGTGATTACAAACGGGTGAAGCGTTGGGCCATCAAGAGACACTTTTGCCTTCCTGACCCACTTTTACTCTCCTTCTCTGCACAGTACTTCTCTACACACTACTCCATTGCTCAGCTGAAGCATCAAAGATGGTTCTTCTGAGCATAGCACTTTCTCCCAGGATGCAGTGCTTAGGCCCGAACATCAAAGATGAGTATAAATGGGTCAAGTCGTGGACCATCAATAGACTCTAACACAGTGTTTCTCAACCTTCCTAATGCCGCGACCCTTTAATACAGTTCCTCATGTTGTGGTGACCCCCAACCATAAAATTATTTTCGTTGCTACTTCATAACTGTAATTTTGCAGTGGGAGGAGTAGTGCCACATCATTGGTGTCAGTGAGAGGAGTAGTGCCACATCATTGATGTCAGTGGGAGGAATAGTGTCCCATTGTTGGTATCAGTGGGAGGAATAGTGTCCCATCATTGGTATCAGTGGGAGGAATAGTGCCCCATCATTGGTGTCAGTGGGAGGAATAGTGCTCCATCATTGGTGTCAGTGGGGGGGGGGGGGGAATAGTGCCCCATCATTGATACTAGTGTGGGGGGGAATTGTGCCCCATCATTGGTGTCAGTGGGGGGGATAGTGCCCCATCGTTGGTGTCAGTGGGGGGAGGAATAGTGCCCCATTGTTGGTGTCAGTGGGGGGAAGAATAGTTCCCCATCGTTGGTGTCAGTGGGGGGGGGGGAGGAAATTGTGCCCCATCATTGGTGTCAGTGGGAGGAATAGTGCCCCATCATTGGTATTAGTGACACCAATGATGGGGCACTATTCCTCCCACTGACACCAATGATACTTACCTTGCTGACTCTTGCTCCAGCCTGGGCTCGCTCCCTCCCTCTCCTATCTACAGCCAGCATACCTGGCTGCAGCAGCACCATCTGCACGCTACAGACACTTACCTGTCAGCTGTCTTCCTTCTCCGGCCGCTCCCTCGCTCGATCTTCTTTGATCTTCGCGCTGCTGCTTGGCTCCTCCTCCTCGCTGGTAATTGGCCGCCTGTGTGCCTCTCCTGAGCTACAGTTCCGGCGGCCAATCACTGGCGAGGAGCGCGGAGCTGTTGAGTGATCCCGGGGATGTGGCCAGATGACAGGGGCGGCATGTCATCCCGCACACACATCGCGGTCCAGGGAAATGTGGACGTATCTGCATGTGGGCGGACCCGCCTGGAGACTGATAGAGGAGCGGTGTCTCGGTTCCTAAGACCATCGGAAATATGTGTTTTCCGATGGTCTTAGGAGACCCCTGTGAAAGGGTTGTTCGACCCCCAAAGGGGGTAGCGACCCACAGGTTGAGAACCGTTGCTCTAACACTTTGCCTCCCTGACCCACTTATGCTCTCCTTCTTTGCGCTGCCGCACTGCTCCATTGCTTAATTGAAGCACCATCATAGGTGGTACTTTTGGGTATTGTGGAGCATGAGACCTTCTCCCAGGAGAAAGTATTTTGGCCTGAGCAGCCAAAATGAATATGAATAGGTCAGGTGGTGGGCTATCAAGGAATTCTAACAGTTTGTCCATTCCAGATCAGACTACCCACGCACAGGTGGTTGGGCCCATCAAGGTTTTTTTGGATGCCCAGGAAGTGCTGCTTCAGCATCCAGCTCTGCTGCTAGCAGCCTGTTTAAATCTACTGAAATAGACTAAACTTACGTTTAGCTGTTGGCAGTGAGGCTGGACACTGCACCTGTGCTTCCCGGGCTCCTAAAAATGTTGGAATTTGACACACATGGGCTCAACCCATGATGTGCCTATAACTTTAAATGTCCAGATATATATTTATTCTGGGCCAACACATTTCAGGGCTCAGGGAATGCCCCCTTCATCTGGGCTTTAGAGACATAATTCCATTTTTATGACCATGTTTCATGTTACACCCGTATTTTCAGGGTACCGCGTATAGTGTTTTTACAGACCTGAATGCAGCAGTATTATTTATTATGGGCCCATGCACACAGATGTGTTGTGCTCAGTAATCCTGCACTGCGTTCAGCTGCAGTAGACAATTCAGTGTCTGCGGTCAGTATTTACACGGGTACATGTGTAAATGCCTATTCGTGCTGAGATGAAAAACTGAACTAGAAGAATGGAATCTGATTTTTAAGGATGTGAATGTCTTGCGGATGTGTATCTAAGCACATGTAATGCAAGCACCCTATGACCATTACATGCGTTTTTTTTATGCAGGATCTTTTTGCCAGAAAGATCCTGCATATATATTGTTATTTTATTATACCTGTGTGCATAGGCTAGGGGTAGGCAACTTGTGGCTCTCTAGCTGTTGTGGAACTACATTTCCCATGAGGTATTGCAACATTACAAAACTGACAGTTACAGCTATGACTTGCAGAGGCATGATGGAACTTCTGGTCCTGCAACAGCTGGAGAGCCGCAGGTTGCCTACCCCTGGCATAGGCCCTTACACATATTCCCCAATATCAGTAATTATCCAAGTAGAACAAAAAAGTTTGGGTTTACTTTAATTAAATTCTGATTAAATACGGATATTTAATTCTGATTAAATACTGTATTTTTCCTTCTAATTGTTTTAGGACCAAATCATGTGTCTCTGCAGCAGTCTGGCCAAGCCACGATGCCCACAACCAGCATGAGTATGGCAGTGAGTTCCCATGGCACAGCTCCTGGGTATAGCCATGCTGTGCCCAGCTCTCAAAATTTGCCAATGCAAAGCCAGGGAACCATAGGGAACTATGTGTCAAGGGCTAATATGAATTTGCCATCCAACCCAGGTAAGATGAATACTGGACCCAGAATCTCATTCGTTTTATATTTAGGCTCTTGAAATGACCACACATGTTAAAATCTGATTGCACAATTTACAAACACTATATAGTAGGAGGGCCTGTCTAATTGGATTTGTATTGAATAGAGGGTTTGGGTAGTCCTTTGTACTACACAGTTGTTGGTAAACCTAAAGGGGGTTGTACAAAGATGGCACAATCAGATTATATTATGTGTGACCAGCTATAGATTACTGAGTGTCCTTTCTCCGCTCATTCCTCACCAGCTACACTGTTTATTCACATTCTCAAACTAGGCCACCAATGCTTTCTCACAAAGTAGAGGGCCTTGGCTAGTTGTTCTTGCTGTCTATGTCTTTGGTGGGAAGATTCATTCTCTCCTTTTATACCGGATACCATTGCCACCGGGACAGAAAGTGATGGTAAATCCACACTCAGAAACAGGAAAAATATGGAAGTCTTCCAATGGGGACAACTGTTCTGCTCTTTTTTGAGAGATTCATCTGACTTCCTGTTATGTTTCTGGCTGAGATGTCAGCACGTACTTGTCAATAGGTTCAATTCAGAAAGCTTTAGTACGAGGATAGGGACCTTTATTTTAGCTATATGACTCTTATTTTCATATCTCATGATCAGTAACTGTCATTTTTTTTAATACCTATCCTTATCCTGGTGTGGTAGCTTTGTGAATTGTGCCCAATGTCTTTGAGAGCCACACTGACCAATAGTAAGTTAGGAGAGGGCTGGGCACAAATAGTTCATCAACTTATAAAAAGTTTTCAGATTTATTTGTGTTTTAGTTACACTTTTTGATAATAGAATTCATATTTAATTTGACCAATGTCGCCCTCTGTAAAGTTTGACATAGACCTGCTTTCAGTTTCTGAACCAGCTTCCAACATCTCTTTGTTGATCTTTTTTTTGACAATTGATCTTTTTGCTCCATGACGTTCCACAGTGTCCATGATGCACCAACAAGCTGCCGGCTCGCATTACACCACAGCGCAAGGTGGAGGTCAGCATTACCAAGGGCAATCTTCCATCTCCATAATGAGCCAGAGTACCCAAGGAAGCAGCATGATGGGTCAGAGACCTTTGGGACCATACAGACCATCACAGCAAGGTGAGGAGGTGTCATTCAACTTGTAGATCAGCAAATCACAGGAACAATGACACGTTATATTTTTACTATGCTTGCTAACTTTGTGTTCACAATTGTTGGATCAAGTGTTTAAAAGAAGATCTGAACCGTGGGCGTGCACCAACCAAGCAATCCGAGAACAGAGCCCAGAAAATCATCCAAAGCAAACACCAACAGAAGGAGCACTTAACCAATTGGTAAAGGACTCCAAATCACTTTAATAATTTACAGATAAAAAAAAAAATCAGCTAACCTTTGGCCACCAAAAACACTCCCCCTTCATCAGGGCGTGAGATATATGTAACCAAAAATAATAGCTTTCTTATGGTAATCTAGATTGTAAGCTCGAAAGAGCAGGGCCCTTGAACCACTCGTGTATTGCATTGTTACCGTTTTGTCTCATGTTCTGTCCCCCTTGCTATTGTACAGCGCTGAGCAAACCCTTTGGCGCTATATAAATACTGTATAATAATAATAATCTGCATGGAAGAGGTGTTAATGTATCAGGTGAACCAGTAACCAGTGGTTTCAGGGTCATTGGCAGTAATAGTAAAGCATAAGAAAGTTCTTTCTTGAGACGATTCAAGGTCTTGCCCTGATGAAGGGAGAGTGTGGTGGGACCCTAAGCTCTTTGGCTGTTTTTTATCTGTAAAACAATAAAATGATTGCAACTCATTTACTGATTGTTTTGGTACTCCTCCTTTCTATTCTTAACTGTGTCTCTGTGATGTGGTTTAGTTTCTAATGTCAAAGCTGCCTCATAGCTGATAATCAAATGACTGGTGGGTAATATTCAAGAAGCAGCAAGAGAAGTGGAGGAAACAGAGATGTATAGAATGAATGAAGCTGAAGCAGGGATATTCTTGCACTGCAGGTTCTCAGGCACAGCTTCCTCTCCAGCAAGGAGAACGGTGTCAGGAACCATGAACCAGGCGGAGACAGGAAGTGCAGTTAAAATCACACCTTTAATGAAATAGCAAATATAATATAGATCAGGAACGTAGTCAAAATGGAAGCCAAGGTTTGGATGCCAGAGAGGGTAATCAGACGAGTCAGAGTCATGAAACCAGAAGTCAGCGTAGTCAGAAGCCAAAAATCAGGAACAGGAATCTGAAGAGAAGTCAGCCATACTGAGTTGTACACAGGCAGGAACATACTGGAGAGCATAGACTACTCAAGGGCAAGGAGGAAATGAGGTAAGTTGCTAAAATAGCAAAAAGAGCTGGCTGTGGGCTGGACTAATGAGGCAGGTAATGGTATCCAGGTGAGTCACTGTGGAGACACTGAGTGGCTGGTAATTAACCAACAGCTGAACACTAAAAGAAAAGAGCTGCAGGTTAAGTAGTAGGAACCCATCCCTGACAAACGGTGAGCAGCTCAATCGTAGCATCACCAAATCTCCTGAGACTAGCAGCCATCGGCAGCAGAGCTATAGATGATCTCACAGCTAAGAAGCTCAAGGGACAGGAGTGCAAACCTATTTGTTAGGAGGAAGTCAGGACAAAAGGTTGATTTTTTTTTTTAGGGTGCGACTTAGGCACAGTTAACATTTTTAGATGTTCCCGTAACATAGCAAATCTTAACTTTTTTGAGTTCAGGAACTTTTTAAATCTGCCTCGTTGTGCACAGTCCAGTAACCTCAGGGGATCAATGCATTTAGGAGTCCTAAAGCATTGCCTCAGTGGTTTTTTTTTTTTTTTCGCATAGCTGAGACTGGCTGTATGTATATAATATCTATTCTCTACATTTTCAGGCTCCGCCCAGCAATACATTGGCCAGGAAGAGTATTATAGCGAGCAATATGGACACAGCCAAAGTTCCTCTGAATCTATGAGCCAGCAGTATTATACTGACGGTAAGTCTAGCAGGTATATAAGCATTTCAAATCGTTTTCAGACTCTTCAACCTGATTCAATGATATCCACTTCTTTACTGCCTACCCCAATTTTACTGCGGCACGGCAGCCGCACACTGCGCCGGATCACATACAAGTATGCGATGTGGCATTTCCCAGCGAATGGGTGGCGCTCCCAGCCTGTACTGCCTTTTGCTAATGTACAAGTCGGTCAGCTGGCCCTGCCCAATGATTTATGGCTCAGACCTGTACAGAGCCCTGTGCTGACAAACCACACAGGACTCTGTACAGACAGCTGCGAAGTGGCTGTTTTTTTTCTCCCTGCATGGAAAAGAAAAGGAGAGAGGGGCGCCAAACTAAGTGCAGTATTGAAAGGTTATTTTATTGAGCAAGGTAACTGAGGTAACTCACTAGATTACACAGGAGAAAGGCATGTATCTCAGGATGGACATCGTCCTTCAGAGGTCCTGGAGGCTGGGGGAGAGGGTGGAATATCATCTAGGAGCCAGGGCTGATGTGGGAGCCTGGTCTCCCGGTTCCACGCAGGTAGCGTCCAGCAGGTGTGATGGAAACCAGGTGTCAGGGCTCCAGGTATGACCAGAGGGGTGTGGACTGACACAGGGAAACGCAGGCTTCAGATATGGTATAAACAATATAATTTATTAAGACTAACAATACAAAACGCAGTGCAAAACTAAACATAAACACAGTGCAAACAAACCAAACCACCCACAATACATACAATACAAAGAGTAGTCAGGCAGGCCGGGTCAGTAGCAAACGGGCAAACGGAGTACCAGGAACAGGCGGGAGAGTGGTTGGGGTCACAAGCTGGGTTCAGTAACTCACGGGCAGCGCGGTACAGAGGGTCAGGCAGAGAATGGTCAGGGTCACAAGCCAGGGATCAAGCAGGAGAAGTCAGCAGAGGTCAGGATCAGGCAGGGTCGGCAACAAGTCAGACAGGAACAGGAATACAGGATACAAGGTACAGGGGCCCATGGAAAATCACACACCAAGGCATTGACTGTGAGTCTGGCCATTCCTTAAATACAACCCCTGCAATCAGCTTCAGGTGTTTGGCTGATTGCAGGGGTGAGTCTCTGATTGCTGAGAGCACCCGCTGGCCAGCCCTGGTACTGCAGCCCACAAGGCAGGTGAGTCCCACCATTATTGGCAAGTCCATTCCTGACACCAGGCTGCAACGCAAATGGCGGCCGGGCAGACGTGACGTCACCACGTGAGCGTAATGCCGCAAACGGGGGCGGTAACGCGTTTTGAAGCATCAGCTTTTTCGTCAGTGGGGAGATAAAACGGTCACATCGCTTCGTAAAAGCAGCACATATTGCACACATTACACATGTTAGGCACACAGTTAACCCTTTGATTGTCCTAGATGTTAACCCCTTCCCAGCTGGTGCCATTACTACAGTGACAGTGCATAGTATGATCACTGAGTGTCTTAGATTGCCCACTGCACTATCACAGTCCCACTTTAGGTCGCTGATCACCACCATTACTAGTATAATAAATAAAACATGCAGTATATATACACCATAGTTTGAGATGTTTTTTTTTTTAGTATTATTATTTATTATTTCAGGTACTTATATAGCGCTGTCAATTTACACAGCACTTTACATATATATTGTACATTCACATCAGTCCCTAACCCTCAAGGGGTGTACAGTCTAAGGTCCCTAACTTACATTCATACATACACATACTAGGGCCAATTTGGACAGGAGCCAATTAACCTACCAGCATGTCTTTGGAGTGTGGGAGGAAACCGGAGTACCCGGAGGAAACCCACGCAGGCACAGGGAGAACATGCAGACTCCAGGCAGGAGGTATCGTGGCTGGGATTCAACCAAAAACATGTAGCAGAATGCATTTTGGCCTAAATTTATAAAGAATTAGATTTTTTTTTATTATCAGATATGCTTTATAACAGAAAATATCAATTAAATATATATTTATTATTATAGATTTAATTTTAATTTTTTTTTCTCACTTTTTTTCGCTTATGTAATAAAAAAACCCAGTGGTGATCAAATACCACCAAGAGAAAGTTCTATTTGTTTGAAAAGAAATGATAGAAATTTATTGTGGGTACGATGTTGCATGACTGTGCAATTGCCAGTTAAAATTAGCACAGTGCCGATTAGCAGAAAATGCCCTGGTCATGACGGGTGTAAACTCTTCTGGAGCTCAAGTGGATGTTCTTTTATTTGATGTTTGAAGAACTTGTTCTCTTTTTCAAGGTCACAGTGAGTACGCTTACCAACAATCTTCCTATGGGGAGCAGAGCTACGACAGGACGTTCGACGATTCCTCGCAACATTACTATGAAGGAGGTCAGAAGAATAAAAGAATCCCATATCCTGTGGCTTATCATCATCATTTTATTATAAAACTGTAGCGCCAGGCTGATTATACAGTTGTATTTGTTATTCAGCCTGATAGTAAGGGCCATTTTCAAACTAGCAATCCTGTCATTGGCACCAACTCGCCAGCATCACAATCGCTAAAAAGGACACTCGCCTGCTTCTACGGCGCTCCACCACCATAGAAGTAAGTGGTTTCTAGCATTCCTGTCGCTGGTGAGTTGCCATCAGCAGTATTGCTAGAGTGTAGATTGGTTGGATGACCCAAAGGTTTAGGTAGGGTCAGGGGCGGACTGACCATTTGGAAACTCAAGCAATGCCCGAGGGCCCGGGGTCAGTAGGGGGCCCCATGAGATGCCCCTGGTACCTTTTTCATAGGCTTTTTTGAGTGTGGGCAAGGACACAGGGGCCCCATGATCCCCTATTGCCCGGGGGCCCCATGAGTTGTCAGTCCGCCCCTGGGTAGGGTAGATGGTGAGTATAAGGGGTGAGCTAAAAGAATGGGCAGCACTATTTGTTATAGTCAGTCTTGGTAATCCTAAAGCCTAACTCCATCCAAATGTATTTAGATAAAGAAAAAGTTCTGATTTTCTCTTTACAGCCCCTTGCACTCGGGCGTTCCGTATGTTCGTGTTTCATCTGTCTGTTTACGGGTGAAAAACGGACCCCCATGTATTTCTATGGACTAGCGGATGTAAACGGATGATCATCTATTTACATCCATTAATGTCCGCATCCGTTAACATCCGTTTTTTTTTGAACGGAAGAAAACCCTATTTTTCTTCTGTTAAATAAAAAGGGAACGGACAAAAAAAAATGGATGTAAATGGACAAAAACAGATGTAAACAAACAAAAACGAATGTAAACTGACAAAAAATGGATGAAAACGGATGTACATGAACCAAAAACTGATGTAAACAGATGAAAGCGGATGTAAACGGATGATCATCTATTTACATATATTAATGTCCGCATCCGTTAACATCCGTTTTTTTTTTGAACGGAAGAAAACCCTATTTTTCTTCTGTTAAATAAAAAGGGAACGGACAAAAAAAATGGATGTAAATGGACAAAAACAGATGTAAACAAACAAAAAAGGATGTAAACTGACAAAAAATGGATGTAAACAGACAAAACGGATGTACATGAATGAAAAACTGATGTAAACAGATGAAAGCGGATGTAAATGGACAAAAAACTGATGAAAAATGAATGGAAAAAAGATGAAAAACGGATGCAAAAGGACAATAATAGATGTAAGCTGACAAAAAATGGATGTAAACAGACAAAAAAAGATGCAAATGGCTAAACGGACAAAAACAAATAACTGACAAAAAATGGATGTAAACGGATGAAAAAATGATGAAAAACGGATGTGACCTGATCTATTTTTTCTTTGAAAAAAACGTGACTGAACTGATGAAAAAAAAAAAAACGGAACGCCCGTGTGAAAGGGGCCTACTTCTATTTTTACTGCTGTCTGAGCAGGAAGTGATGGTAAACCTCCCAACCCCTCCCCCATACATTTTTGTACAGGTGTCAAAGAGACAGGAAGTGACTTAAAATCTCTCCAACAGGGTCACAGATGGAAATTTTAAATCTTTTTCCACTATACCCGAAAGAAAAGTATTGTCTTGGGTTAGTCACTTCTGTAGGCTCATTTACCCGGCGAACGCAAAGAATGGTATAAATGAAGCTGTGAATGTCCCACACTCTGTAATCATTTATTTTTGTGCAGGAAACACCCAGTACACCCAGCAGCAGAGTGGATATCAGCAGGGAGCGGGACAACAACAGGCGTACTCCCAGCAGCAGCAGTACTCCAATCAGCAAAACTATCCGGGGCAGCAGCAGCAGGGATATGGTGAGAAGAACACTATTGTATAGAGCTGTGCCACAAAATGCTGTATAGTTTTTATATTTCTGTAGATATGCCATAGACGGGTCGAAAATCCGGCCGATTTTCGCACCATTAGTGGGTTAATTGGTCGGCCGTTTTGTGGGCTTTTTTGCACATTTTTTTTATTGGGCACGTTGGAAAATTCATGGGCGATTTTGACGATCGGCCTATTTTCCCGGCAATGATGGGCAAATCGGCCGATCATTTTACCGATTAAAAAATCTGCACGTGAGCCGTGACCTGCAAGAAGAAGAAAATTAAAAGAAGAAGAATTCCAATCCACTATTATATTTGAAAAGTCTTGCGGTTGCAACAATGTATCTATTTGTATCAGAATAAAAACATCTGTATCTGAAATGGATACATTGTTACAACCGCAAGACTTTTCATATAAAATATAATAGCAGACTGGAATTCTTCTCTCCTTCTCCTCCTCCTCCCCCTCCTCCTCCTCCTCTTCCTCCTCCTCTTCTTCCTCTTCCTCTTCCTCCTCTTTCCTCTTCCTCTTCCTCCCGTCTCTGCAAGGGACAGAAGTAATTATGGGGTTAAATGCCAGCCGTAGACGGGACGAAAATCGGCTGATTTTTTTACCGTTGGTGGTAACGTCGGCCGATCAAACGACCGATTTTTCATTTTTTTTTTTAAATAAAATGGCCGGTTTTCGACCTGTCTATGGCCTGCTTTAGGTCTTGTGTGCATTTCCAACCAGGGACACTGTCTGCATAGAGCTTGCATGTTTTTCCATACTTTACTTTGGGCTTTCACCACGTGCTCTGATTCCCTCCCACAAGGGATTGGAGAAAAAGTGGAAAATTCTTTTAAATGCCCCTTAGACCTGGTAGAAATGCAAACTGTGGGACCTTTTCACATGCATGGTGCCCTCTAAAGAGTGCTCCATGTCCGGATGCATTGCACCAGGCAGACTTGCATTGGTTGTGTTCGGAGGCGACAGTGGCTGTTTATTATTTGCAGCCGCATGTGTATATCCATGATCGGATGGATGTCAGTGTTCAGGTGGTCAGGAGGTGCCTGAATTTACTACCCCCTAGCCACTTGTGTAAATGAGGCCTTAAACATGGAGGGCGGAAAAGGGTACTAGAATCAGCATGAATGCATGTGATCGCTGCAAGGGCGAAACCCCCTGGTGCTCCAGATTTCGATCACTGACAATGTGAAGGAAGACACTTCAGCATTGGAGCTTACAATGCAAAGCTAGTAGGTAAAATCTGATTCTCATATCCCTTTACTCTGTACGCCCTCTGCCTTCTGCTATCCCAATTGTTTCCAGGGGTCCTGAGCTCTAAGTGTACTTGCATGGACAGCCCACCCATCCTCTAAGTCTTATACTCACCTGTCCCAGTCTAGCAAGATATCATCCACATAGACAAGGAGCCGGTGAGAATCTCCTGAGCCAAGCTCACTCATGAGCAGTACGTTCCGTGCTCCTGCACTGAACATGCTGGATCAGGTACAGGTGAGAATAAGACTTTGGGGCGGCTGAGGAACAGTACATTGTGAGGAGAGAGGTAGAAACAGACAGTATACACTGTGCTGCGCATTTTATATAACATTCAACATATGTTCTTCTTCCCAGTTCCAGCACAAGGCACTTCTTCACAGTATTCCAGCTACCAGCAAGGCCAGAGCCAGCCATACTCCAGCTACCGGACACCCCAGACAGCATCCTCCGCCCAGCAACAGAGGCCATACGGTTATGGCGAGGTAAGACTAGCGCTCATTTGAAGATACTCTGTCACTTTTCCTCCCCCATCCACTTATATTCTCCTTCACTACACTGGCCTGCTGCTCCATTGCTTATTTGAAGCATCAACATACCTGGATCTTCTGGGCATGGTAGAATATGGGACTTCCTCCCAGGATGCATTGCCCAGGCCTGAACAGCCAAGGTGAATGTTAATGAGTCAAGTGGTGGGCCATCAAGAGACTGTCACTTTGCCTCACCAGCACATTTATACTCTACTGTACTGCCCCACTATTTTGTTGCTCAGTCGAAGCACCATCATACCTGGTTCTTCTGGGCATAGTAGAACATGGGACCTTCCCCCAGGATGGAATGCCCAGGCCTGAACAGCAAAGATGAGTGTAAATGGGTTAGAGGGTGGGCCATCAAGATCTTCTGTCACTTTGCCTCACCAGCACATTTATACTCTACCGTATTGCTCCACTACTTCATTGTTCAGTTGAAACACCATCATACCTGGTTCTTCTGGGCATAGTAGAACATGGGACCTTCCCCCAGGATGGAATGCCCAGGCCTGAACAGCAAAGATGAGTGTAAATGGGTCAGGGGGTGGGTCATCAAGAGATTCTGTGACTTTGTCTCCCTGGTACACTTATACTTTTTCACTGCTTCATTGCTCAGGTAAAGCACCATCATACCTGGTTCTTCTGCGCATGGTGGAGCATAGGACTCAGGATGAAGTGCTCAGGCTTAAGCAGCCAAGATGAGTATAAATGGGTCAGGTGGTGGGCCATCAAGAGACTGTCACTTTGCCTCACCAAGCCATTTATATTTTTCTTCCCTGCAATGCCCTGCTGCTTCATTGCTTAGTTGAAGCACCTGGTTCTTCTGGGTATAGTGGACCATGGGACCTCCTCCCAGGATTCAGTGCTCCTCCAAGATGAGTATAAATGAGTCAGGCAGTGTGCCTTCAAGAGACTCTAACAATTTGCCTCCCTAACCCACTTATACTCTCCATCTCTGCACCGCCCCACTGCTCCATTGCTCAACTGAAGCACCATCATAGGTGGTGACTCTGGGTATTGTGAAGCGTGAGACTTTCTCACAGGAGAGTGTTTGGGTACGAGCAGCCAAAATGAGTATAAATGGGTCAGGTTGTGGCTATCTAACACTTTGCTTATGCAGGGTAACGCTACAAGCACACGAGTGGTTTGGCCCATCAGTGTCAAATATTGGTGTTTCGGGCACCCTAGAGGCACAGCTGCAGCGTCCAGCTCTTCTGCCTGCAGTCTTTTAAAATCTGTAACAAGCTGAAATACGCCATGGATGGACACTGTACCGAGCGCACTCGCATTTAGGGCTGTCCCTGCAGACATACGGCTCTGTACAGTGTCCAGCTGCCATGTATTGCAGCTTGTCATAGCAGGGCTGGTTGCTTCCCATGTGCCTCCCATGCACCTAAAATGGTGAGATTTGATGCTGATGGTCCAAACCAATTGTGTGCACGAGTCCTAAAGCGGCAGATTCTCTTTAAAGGCATTATATGCACATTAACCACTTCCTGTCCGGCCCATGTATACAAACGGTGGGACGGGAGCAGTGCAGGGGCGGGTGGCCATTTATAAACGTCCTACCCGCTTCCCTGTTTGTATGCGCTCCTTGGGAGCGTGCAGCACCGCGATCGCTGTACGGGACCTCTGTGTGAGGTCCCGATCATGTGATCACTGATTGGCCAGTCAGTGATCACATGAAGAGTTGTAAGCAAGATATCACTTCTGACATCATTGCTTACTACGTGTGAAATCTGTGAATGATCACAAAGGTCACATGGGACAAGGCCATTCACAACACTGCCCCTAACTACCTCACCGACCTGATTCCCAGGTACCACCCTGCCCGTACCCTTCGCTCTTCACAGGACCTCCTTCTATCTTGCTCCCTGGTCTCCTCCTCCCATGCACGACTGCAAGACTTCTCCGGGTCCTCCCCCATCCTCTGGAACTCACTACCCCAATCCATCAGACTGTCACCTTCCCTCCTCACCTTCAGGTGCTCCCTGAAAACCCACCTCTTCAGGGAAGCCTACCCCACCCTCACCTAACAGCCGCTTCCCTTCCCTCCTCCTACCACTCCATCCCCCACAGCCATTTCCTCCTGTGCCTCTACCCCCTTCCTCCTAGATTGTAAGCTCGAAAGAGTAGGGCCCTCTTACCTCTTGTGTGCTGTTTGTTGTTACTGTACTGTTTCATGTATTGTCCCCCCCTCTATTGTACAGCGCTGAGCAAACCCTTTGGCGCTATATAAACTCGATAAAATAAATAAATAAATAAGCTGTGACTAATCACAGCTCTCACAGTATTTCTCAATGGCTGCAAGAATGCAGCCAGAGAGGAGGAGAAATTATTGCTTTTACAGTCTTTATGGGTGTAAAAGCAATCCGTGTAAAAAAAAAAAAAAAAAATCTTCACAAGTGTCACTATGGTGACACTGTACTGCTAGGGTGACGGTATGTTAAAACAAAACCCAAAACAAATAATAATATAAAAAAAAATAAAAATGTAAAAAAACATTTTTGAAAATTATTATAATTTTTGGTTATAAACTAATTTGGGTTATTTTTTTTTTTTTACTAAAAAGGTAACTGAATAAATTTTGGATTGAAAGATTTATGAAGAAAGATTATTTATTTGCAAAATTTTATAAGCAAAACACTTTTTTTCAAAATTTTTGGACATTTCATTGATATAGCAAAAAAAATAAAAATCCCAGCGGTGAATAAATACCACCAAAATAAAGTTTTATCTGTCTCAAAAAAATGTTAAAAAATTCATATGGGTACAGTGTTGCATGACCGCGCAATTGTCATTCAAAGTGTGACAGCGCTGAAAGCTGAAAATTGGCCTGGGCAGGAAAGGGGGACAGTGCCCGGACTTGAAGTGGTTAAGTCACAATAACAAATCTGTATTTTTTCTAGAACATGCAGGAAAAAAAAAGTTGATTGCTGATTGGCTGTTAAGAAATATAGAATTGTGTGCACTGTTCTGTGTTCTGAAATAATGTTCTGTCCTTACAGGGTCAGTATGGAAACTACCAGCAGTAAGCCAGCACTTGGACCCTCAGGCAGTCAAATCACAGGTCTGAGGTTAACAGGACTGAGAACAATACCTATAAAGCGACGCCTACTGCACATACTGATTTCAAGATGGAAAGGAGAATGTGGCAACTTCACCCCATATTGGTGGAATCATCCCATTTATTAGATCCAGAATGGTGTGCGATCTGTCA